AACTTCTAGACCTCGGCTTAATTCGTCCGAGTTCTTCGCCATGGGGTGCTCCAATTTTATTTGTTAAAAAGAAAAATGGTGAGATGCGCATGTGTGTTGATTACAGAGCCCTGAACAAAGTTACTATCCGCAATAACCATCCATTGCCACGCATCGATGAGTGTTTGGAACGCCTTCGTGGAGCAAACCATTTCACCAGTTTGGACCTCAAAAGCGGTTACCATCAAGTGAGAATTCAAGACTCAGATGTGCCAAAAACCGCCTTTAACACCCGATATGGCCAATACGAGTTTCTGGTTCTTCCCTTTGGTCTCACCAATGCCCCACCGACGTTTCAGCATCTTATGAACAAAGTTCTTGGAGATTGTTTGGATAAGTTTGCCTTAGTCTATTTGGATGATATCCTAATCTTTAGCACGACACCAGAAGAACACGAAGAACATGTACGACATGTGTTAAACCGACTACGTGAAGCGAAATTAATTGCCAACCTTAAAAAATGCGAATTTAACAAAAACGAACTAACTTTCCTTGGATTCAACGTATCTGCGCAAGGCATCTTACCATCGCCAGACAAAGTAAAGACTATAAAAGAATGGACACCGCCAACAAATGTACAAGAAGTTAGACAATTTATTGGCCTTGCACAGCACTACCGCCGCTTCATCCCTGGGTTTGCTGGAATCGCTGCGCCCTTAACAGACTTAACTAAAGGGACAGGACCAAAACGACGGCCTATCGTTTGGACGGAGACATGCCAGGAAAGTTTCGATTTACTAAAAGAGAAAATGAGTACTGCACCTGTATTACTTGCCCCAGACATGGATAAACCATTCCGCATTGAAACAGATGCTTCAGATTTTGGTGTTGGTGCCGTATTAATGCAAGAAGACGAAAACGGAAGTTGGAAACCATTAGCGTTCGAATCGAAAAAACTCTCCCCTGCCGAAAGATCGTATCCTGCTCAAGAGCGCGAGTTACTCGGTATTCTACATGCCTTGCGTACTTGGCGCTGCATGATCGAAGGAAAACCGTTCACTGTATTCACCGATCACTTACCACTCAAGTATTTTCGCAGTCAGGTTAAGCCCACGCCTCGCCTGATAAGGTGGATTTCTGAATTCGAGCTGTACGACCCGATAATTCAATACAAACCGGGCAAAGACAATGGTGTCCCTGATGTGCTCTCTCGTCTCGATGGCCCAGAATACGATGCAACATTAATTAAATCAATGGAACCAGAATACCTGTACACCATACCAGACTCACAAACGTCCGACTGGCCAAAATTTTATGCACGAAAAGAAGATGAATGGCCAGAAGACATAAAAGAATTACTCCATCGGCAACGCAATAAGTTTGTGGTCCACAACCAAAAGGTTTTCCGTCTCGTTAAAATAGGTGACACGGTACAAGAAATTCGTTTTGCACTGTTTGCCAAGCGGGCAGACTTAGTAAATAATTTCCACAATAGTTTCGGACATGCTGGAGAAACAACGGTGTATGATTTAATGAAGAAGCGTTGGTGGTGGCCAGCCATGAGAAGTCAAATTCAAGAATGGTTATCGAAATGTCCTCAATGTCAATTGGCCTCAAACGCAGAACGCAACATACACCATGCCCCTTTGGAACCATTGGATATCCCCCCTGCTTTCTCTCGTTGGCATCTCGATTTCATTGGAGAACTTCCCACTACAATCAACGGAAATCGATGGATTTTGGTTGCCGTTGACTACGCTACGAATTGGCCAATTGCACGTGCTGTTCCTGCTGCTACGGGCGAAGCTATCGCCAACTTTTTGTACGAAGAAATAGTCATGCGTTTTGGTTGCCCAGACGAAATTCTGACAGATCGTGGTGCAAACTTTATGTCACATATTTTGAGCTTTTACATTAAGAAAATTAAGCTCCATCATAAATTAACCTCAGCATTTCACCCACGTACTAATGGAAAATGTGAAAGGTTAAATGGTGTTCTTAAACAGATGTTACGTAAATATGTACATGGTGCAATTCACCGGTGGGACGAATATCTGGAAACAGCACTTTGGGCTTGCCGAATCAGAAAGCATCGTACAACTGGGTTCAGTCCATTTTTCTTGACTTATGGCCGCGAACCTCGTATTCCTGGCGATCCCCTACGTCCATTTATGGATACATCTATCCCTGACGACCCGACCCTCGTATCCGATGGCGCTATCCCTTTTCTTCGTAATCTCCAACAGGCTCGCAAAAATGCTGACGCTCGAGTAACCGCCAACAGCCAACAAGACAAGGAACGATGGGATTCGATCATGAAACCTCATCAGTTCGCAATCGGTGAACATTTGTTGTTGCGGCATGAAAACAAATTTGGACTAGAATATAACTGGATGGGCCCATATATTGTAGTAGATAAAAATTTCGATAAGAATATATACAAGCTCACAACAATGGAAGGTGTCCCTTATACTTCTTGGGTTCATGCTGATCGCCTCAAAATAGCCAAATCCGACGATTTCGACCGCACCTGGTATCACCCGACCGCTGCTCGTAACAATATGCGACGTGATCTGGCCATCGATTCCTCTTCCACCTTGCCGTTCTCGATGATAGAGTCTACCAGAGTTGACCGAGGACGATCAACAGTTTCGAGAGGGGGTGATGTCGGACATTATTTTGATGAATCCGAGAAATCGGGATAATTGACCGCAGCAGTTCTGTATGTCAAAGATACCTCATAGATAACGAACCGCAGTAATGTCTTGTAAAGATCAACCACAGTAACATCTTCTGAGCATCAACCGCAGTAAAAGGACTTCTCTTGTAATTAAATAGAGTATAATAGTTTACTGCGGATAATGCGCAGTATTAGTTTAGAAAACTATATAAGACAATTCAATTCCTATCAATAAAAAGCACCTTTTATCCTCTCTTCGACTTTACATATACTCTCCGATCCCCAGTGGGTTTGACCTTTTGACTTTGCTATAGTAAAAGGAAGACCATCCCAGATCAGGAACGACAGGTTGATCTTCCTTTTACTATAACAAAGTCAAAAGGTCAAACCCACTAGGGGATCAAGGTGTCAGAGTCGACATTGTAGATAGAAATCCTTAAGTCAGGTATCCAATCAGTTATTCCTTTTAACATATGCCCTCAATGTTAAATCAATTGGTTTCTCTTTTTGTTAACCAAGACATATTATATCGCCTTCCATAAATGTAAAACCAATATGTCTTGAGTAAAATAATTAGATTAGATAGTTTCAATTTTAAGAAATCTGTATAAATACTCCAAGATTTATATCAATAAAAAGCATTCAATTCTCTATATTCCTATCTGTTTCTATTTATTTACAACATCCTAGTTGGTGGTGATCTATTATCAAAACTTATACAAGTTAAAATAATAGAAAGATACACCCAGTTGAGACTTGACAAAGGAGTATATGTAAAATCAAAGAGAGGATAAAAGATACTTTTTATTGATATGAATTGAATTGTCTTATATAGTTTTCTAAACTAATATTGCACATTATTCACAGTAGTTATTAAATTATATTTAAATAAAAGGAGGGTCATTATACTGTAGTTAACACTCAGGAAGATGTTACTGCACATAAAGAGATACTGTGGTTAACCATCTTCAGATTTTATGGATTTATCAAAATAATATCGGACAAAAGTTATATTTTTTTCAAACTATATATTTTACAAAATCAAAACTTTCATTTTGTGCTCTGACTATATATAAAAAAAATCAATTTATTTCTTGGCTATTTGTATATTGGGGGAAGAAGCAAATTCTATGTGTGGTATTTCAGGTACGAAACAATAGAAAAATAAAATATTTGATAATAGAGATGTATAGAAATACTTTGAGACTGTATATCAGTTGTCTTTATTCATAAATAAAAAGTGTCCCTTTTTATAAGAAAACACAATCTGCTCTTGTCATTACGTCTTAGTTTCTTAAGGCTTTCTTCCTTTACTATATTTGGTTATTAGAGTGTATTTACTGCTTAACTAGTGTCGGTATTACAATTATGACATCAAGTCATAAATCATACTTCTTTAGCTCTTAGCTATTCTTTTCTCTTTTATACTAGAGCTTTAGGACTTCCTACTAAATTAGCTCCATATCGATCTGACACAGTTTACCCGGCAGTATGATATAATTATCTTAACAATCTTTAAAATATTATCTACAGTACTAACTGTAATAATTATTGGGCTGATTACTTAATCGTTTATATATATTTTATACTGACAAGATGATAGCTACTACGCTATCCCAATATGAATATGTTCTTATATGTGATAAATCCAACATCCGAGTGTCTGGATCACCACACTATGATCAACTCAGTCTTGACAGTTTTCCATAGCAATATGATGGGAGCACTCAGCAATATACTCCAAAAAATAACTACAGACCAACCTAGACTTTCTCTTAACCAGTGTTTTGAGTTTGAAGAAGCACTTTTCAATCAGTTTTAGAAAAGAAGAGTGTTATAAATGAGTATTGACTACTGCTATAATCGAAAATAAGTCTGAAGGAAATAATATAAGGCCTCAGCTATTCCAGTCAAAGGTGTCTACCAATTTCTTTATTATTTAACACACGGGTTTATTATGCATGATAGTGATTATATTTCATATGATGATATCACCATAATATGAGATACATCAGTGGATTATTATAAGCATAATTATAACTCATAAACACATTTACTTTCGATGTTAATACTTTATTGAGACTACACACATTTATATAATTAATCATACATTAATTATCCCAAGATCACGTTGCTCTGATTAAGGCTCAGATAGGATTGATTATCTGACCTCAGTCATATAATTTTCCCAATCCAAAACAATATAAATAGTGGTGATAGTTCAGTGTAGAAACCTCGTCAAATTTTGATATGAAATCTTTCTCAATAAACAAAACCTACACAAGTTCTCACAAATATTTATTACTTATTTCAAATCTTGAATTCTTTCTTTTACAACTTCTTAAAACTTCAACCACCACAACAGAGAGTATGGAGGGGAAAAGTGTAGATGGTGTTGTGAATTAGCAAACAATTCAATGACAATGTAAAATCTATGGATTAAGACATTATTCATAATGAAGTTGTGGGGGGCAGAATTACTGTAGTCAAGCAAATCCATAATCATCTTTACAAATTCAACAAAAATTGGTCCTATCATGCCATCAGGACTCAACTTTGCCTGCACACTCTCAACACTCTGGTAAGAAATACCAGCAAGAATTGAGATGTTTAGTCCCCTTTTCAACTTTGTTTTCACAATGCTGGCCTTGCCTTTCTTAGACCACCCTTGTTCTCTGATCAGGTTTGCATTAAAGTCTGCTTCGTCTGCAAAAATGTAATTGGTTTTATACAATAAACTATTTGTATGCATATTGTCTACATATACTTTTCTCAGCTTAATAGTCTTTGAGTCGTTTCTTTTTTCCTCCACTGGCTTGATTCTCTTCAGTGTGAATCCAATGTTGTTGACAATGTGCTTATGTAAGCCACTGATGCTCAAGTTCTGCTATTGAAGCTCTGAAAATTTTCTAAACAGTTTCTATCTCATTTGACCAAGAGTCAAGGTGCAGCATTTGATCAAGAAGTCTTGAATAAACTTTGAACACTCATTGATTATCTTAAGACTTTCTATGTGTGAGCCGCCTTGCTTCTTAGGCTCTACAGTAGCATCACTCTCAAACTTGGTGATGATGTTGTTAATTGATGCCCATGAGACACCAAACGCCCTGGCTGCTTCAGCTTAGATCACAGACTCTTCTATATGACATTTCTCCACAATCATATTCTTGATGTGAATCAGAAGAACCTTTTGTGGTTTATTTCTCTTTCTTCTCTTAGCAATAGCAGTTTGATTAGGGTTCATGTAGAAGGATTTGAATATAGAAAAAGATAATGGATAAAGACAGTACTCAAAATCATATTGCAAACTTAGCATTATATACTTTTCTTATAACAATATATTGACATTATATGTTTTCTTTTATTGTTTTTAATAAACAGTATAGATATTCTTTAAATACTTTATTGCACATATTAGTATTCTTCATGCTCTTTATTAATTTGCTTTAAATTTCTTTCTATCCACATTAATTAATTTTTTTTTCATATATAGTCGGAGCGCAAAATAAAAGGCTTGATTTTGCAAAATATATAGTTTGAAAAAAATATAACTTTTGGAGTGGAAATCCTATACAAGTTCTAGTGACTTGTTATTACAAAAGAAGCAGAAATTAAAATGATTATTTATCAGTTTGTAATTTTAGAAATTTGTAATCAGTTTATAATAATTTGTAATATTACTAAACACTACTTGAGTATAGTCAAAAATGAATAATCATTTTAAAAAGTATACAAGATAACTCAAATCAAAATAATAAGATAATATCTAGCCATTATAATTTATATGTAATAAACTATTTTCTGTTATGACAATTAATAGAGCATCTTTTATAAGATTTACTTCTGTTACAATAACCAATAAAATGGAGGTACTCAGCCAGATTGATCGCTCAAATTTTAAATTTAGAACGCGATATTATTGGACTAAAATTGTAATAGCAACAATCAAAATTTGATCAAAAAATATACGCTCTCTGATTGGCTGAATCCTTACTTTTTTATATGCAATATGATACTGTTTTTATCTTTCTCCTTAATAAATCATAGAATTTACTGTCAACAAAGTCATGTAACACTTCTTTCACTCCGTATAACATGCCAAAATACAGTGCAAAGCAACAAACAGTTGCTGCCTTAAAGAAATTGCATAAAATCAGAAAATTTGTAGCAAAGAAAAAAAAAAGTCTGGTACAATCTTTATCAGCAAGCGCAGATGAGCTGTTGAAAAATATTTCAGAAGTCCTTGAAGAGAAAGTTGATGCAGAGTTAAAGAAGATAGCTGTTGTGAAGGATCTTGAGCAGAACCTTCAAGCCAACAGATACTTACACAAGGGTGACAATACATTGCCAAAGCTTAAATCAAAGGAAGAAAAACTTGCTTTCCTTGAAGACCTAGATGCAGATGGGTTCAAAGAAGAAATCAGAATGTTCAAAAGCTCGTTTAATAAGCTATACAAGATAATCAAAGACTGTTCTTTATATAAGTCACTGAAAGGACATAAGCAGACTGATGTAAAGCTTCAATTAGCTTTGGTCTTGGAGAGACTTGGCTCAGATGAGAATGCTGTATCCTTGTTATATTTTTAGAAAAAGAAAGAAAAACAAAGTGCAGACGAGAAGTACGGTAAGACTTTGTTTATTGATGAAAAAAGAGATCCCCTTCTATTGCTATTTGCTATGTGAGTTTATATAGACATTGCGTGTGTATTTAGGATAATGATATGAGTATATCATGTGATGTCTGTTTTCTTATATCATAGATAATATATTGTTAAGTTATTACTCACGCTCTTGTTTGAGTGATTAGTGATGTTGACTAAGGTGTGTGACCTTGTTATCGGTATATTCTTTATTTAATGATAGTGTGAGAAATAATGTATAATTGATACTGGCCACTTATTCAATATGTCTTTGTCTTATTGTCTGTGCGCTCTATTTGAATCTACGATTATGTTGGATACAACAAGTAGAAACCAACTATTACACAACAGGGATTTGAATTACAGGGATTTGAATAGTAGCAGATATAAACAATATTATTTTGTCTCTTTAATAAATAACACTCTCACAGTATCTACTTTTCCCATTATTGAGATACTTACCCATAAACAATCCCGAATATCTCATTTCATAATCTCAAACAACAACAACAGACGGTCTCATCGAATTCTGAGAGAATTCTAAAGTTGACCCTTAATTCACTGGATAGACCAGAGAACAAGGAAGACAAAGCCCAAGTCTCCCACCTACCCATATCTGTAATGACCAGTAGCTGATCAATTAGATACACAAAGAATAAGAAATTACTTTATATAGTTTTTTTGCTGTTTGAATAAAAGATGATTAATATCACTTGGGCCTTGTCTTCCTTGTTCTCTGGTCTATCCAGTGGAATTTGATCAATTTAATCTGGTGTGACAAAGACAATGTATTATCTGACATTTGAAAAGAAATTTGAAAAATCCGAATGCATAAAGGTCGCTAATATAAGCCAAAATAAAAAATTAGTGGAAGAAAAGTGATCACATAACTTACAAAACTCTACAAACAAATATTTTAAGTTTTTTTCCCTATTTAATTAGACTTTTAATAAAATCCTAGGCCTTTCATTGACTTCTACAAAAAAAAAAGACATTAAAAAAAATATCATTTCCAATAGAAAAGCCAATAAAGGATCATTAAAAAGTGAAGGTTTGCAAAAAAGTATTTAAACTCCATGGCACTAAAGTGGATTTTTAGCAAAAAAAAAAAAAAAAAAACTGTCAGAAAACTGCCTTGTCAAACTGCTAGAAAACCACATTTTTTTCTCCCATAGCGTGAAAGAGTAATGACCAACAATGATACAATGAGTTCTCTCACAAGACAGCAGATAATTCGTGAGATGGAAGCAGAAGAAGTCGATGATGATGCAAGAGAGATGATGATTGTTGCTCCTACATCCGTAGAACATAGTAACTGGCAAGTTCAGTCATTTGTTGATGAGAACACTGCACACGTAGTTGAGGTTACGGATCGTAATTTGATCATTAAATGTACATGTTCCGATTATGAAAGAAGACAGAGACCATGCAAACACATGTACTTGCTGAAATTGCACACTACCTTTCAATTACACTTTTCCATCGCTCCTTCAAACACCACTTACGAAACTTATGTCAATCCTAACCCTAAAACCGCCATCACAGCCAATCTCTCCTCCTTTTTCTTCGATCAATGTATTCAAACAAGTCAAAAACTGTATCAATCTCACCAAGACCTTGACACATTATCCCAATATACAACAAATGATGAGGCAAAACGTATATATGACATACAGCAACAATTACTTTTTTCAATTCAATCCTCAAAAGACAAATATGAAGTAAACTTCCGCAAATCAAATAATCAATAATAAAAAATATAAATATTGCTTTTTTTAAAAGAAATCTTTAATAAATTGAAGCAATTCTCAAAGTGTCTTTGTAAATTATAAATTTTCTTATTTTCTGGTAAATGCATTTTTTTTGTCTTATTTCCTGGTATGTACGCCTCAATTTCGGCTAATGTTTTGCCATATACCAGGAAATATAGGCATTCATAGTTTGGCTTTCGATGTGTAGCAATGACCTGAGTATTAACGTAGCGTGTAATAAAATACTGAAACACTCGTCATGTATATATATATATATTATTAGTGAAACTAAACAAGACCTAAATTAGGAAGGATGGAAGAGGAGGGGACTTTGGAAGGCATTAGTTTATTCTGATTTTTTTTAAAAAAAAACAATTTACTTATTTGTACTTTACTGTACCTTAAAAATGAATTAGTAAGCAATTGAGTTGATCTCAAACATTCGGTTGAATTATTGCTTAAGACTTGTATATTTATGGAATATCTCAAGATTAAGTATCTGAAGGTTGGGTCATAATGAAAATATGTACCTTCCCTTTAGGTTCAGAAAATGCTCATATGCTTCAAAAACAGTACCGCATTTTGTGACTAAAGGTACGTCTTGAAAATGAAAAGAAGGAATACATATGTACCAACTCCACACTAAAACAAGAGAAGTAAAGAGGAAACTTAATTTTGATAAGCTTCCTTTATTTTTCTAAAAAGAAAAAGAAAAACAGAATACGCGCACAAACACACAAATATATATAAATACTCAGTTCAATAATCCTTTTAAAATTACATTCTATACATCCTTTATTGTTTTAATACACTTGTCAAACCAATGCAATCAATTAAGCTGTACGATCTTCCGCTCAGAAACTTTGAAGGAAAGTGCTGGTCTTACAATACTCTTAAAGCCCGTGTTTCCTTAAACATCAAGGTAAATACATTAATATACATTTTAAATATGCACCCAATTCAAAAGCTATGAGTATATATTTATGTATATATATATATGTATGTGTGTGTGTGTATTATGGGTATAAAAGGGTATTCCGTTTGATACTGTATGGGTTCCATTTAGCCAAATCTCAACTGTAATTCCTAAATTGACGTAAGTGAAGTTGCGCCATAATACGTACGCTAATCTTGTTTATTTTCGTCTTCGAAGCATAACTGACAGCCAACACATGTTGTTTTCCTTTTCTTTTTTTTTCTGCCTATAGAAAGTCCACAAAAACCCCAACGGTTCCCATTATTGTGGACACGAGTAAAAATTTTGTTATACAAGATTCATGGAAAATTGCTCAGTACCTTGAGGCTACCTACCCTGACGCCCCCAGTCTTTTCCACGGAAATGAAGCTCTACATGAGGCTGCCGAAGCAAACTTTAGCTCATTCTCAGGTGCTTTCTTCTGTCTTATTGTCGTGACTGAGTCAAAAAACATTGGTGATGAAGACGACAATACTGCCTTTCGAAAGAGTCGTGAATCTATGTTTGGAACTACTATTGAAAACTTTGCCGGAAATCCAGAAGATAAAATCAGAATTATCAATGAAGGACTAATAGATGTCAGAGCTAAATTAGCAAAGTCTGCTTACTTGTCAGGATCTAAAGGTATGTATCGATGAGTCACCCAATTAGATGGATATGTATAAATTTGACGACCTATTCTTATTAATCAATTACCGTGTTTTTTTATTAGTGGGATGGACTGATGCTGTATTGGTTGCAAACTTTATGATGGTAGACGTTATTAACCATGATATCTTTCAATCCAGAATATTGGATGGTGTTCCGGGCGACAATACTTTGAGGGAATGGTATGAGCGTATGGTCAAATACATATAAGTCAATATTAGTATTATCCAATATACTAGAATACGAATATATTCTACTCTTTTTAAAGGAAAACAAAATAAATTGAAAAATCTTTATTTCTTGAATTGTCCACGTTGAAATATATGATCCATGGCTGATATACTATTCATGAAATATACGATTAAAAGAAAGATACAGTTGTATATAATCAATAATCAATGCTTCTTTGAAAGCCAAAAACTTAATTAATAAAATAGACCTTGGCCTTGATATAACATTAGTATTCCAACAAGTAAAGGCCATGTTTGTTAAATTACATGCTTTCTCAAAAGATTATATTATATATATATATATATTAGTACTATTGCAGCTTTAACTATTTGCTTACAAATTAACTGGCTTTTATTTTTTTTTGTTAACACACACAAGAGTTTTGTACTACCTAACAAACTTCAACTTATTCTTTTAGGCAAGATATGAAGGTACAGAAAAGTAAGAATACATGTATATATAAAAAGCAAACCAAACTGAAACAAGACGAAATGGAGTATATGCTACTCAAGTTGAAAGAACGATTATACGCACCAAAACTATAAATACAAATGTATTATTAACTCCAATTTTTTAATTTCTCACACCTCTTTACTATTTTTCTACATTATGTCTACGAAGCCTATCCAATTTTATGATCTCCGTCTTCCAGCTCTCGGCGAGAAAGCTTGGTCTCCAAATACATATAAGGCACGCTATGCACTGAATATAAAGGTATCACTTTATCATTTCTAGTGCTCAAAGCAAAATATCAATATATCAATATATCAATATATATATGTATATGTATATATGTATACCACACACCCACCCAACTTTTAACTAATAAGTCCCAAATCACTTTTAGGGTCTTCCTTATGAAACAAAATGGGTTACTTTTCAAGAAGTTCATACTATAATTCCAGAAATCACGTAAGTCTATATTTTATTCTATTATACTATCACTGTAAAGCGCATATATATATACGCAAATAGTAACTAATCTCATCATTACTCTTTACTTTTTGCAGCAAGACTGGCGAGGCTCCTACTGTACCCATCATTGTAGATGTTGAGAAAGACAAGGTTATTCAGGATTCTTTCAAGATTGCAAAGTATCTGGAGGCCACATACCCTCAGACGCCTAGTTTATTCCATGGCAATGAACAGCTGCATACATCCATGCAAGAGAAATTTGTCACTCGCCTGGCTCGTCCTCTGTTTTGTCTTGTTGTGTTTAAGGTTATCAAGGCAACTGGTGATGAGGATGTGCAGTCCTGGTTCCAAAAGACTCGGGAAGCCAAGTATGGAATGCCTATTGAACAGTTTGCGGGAAATCCAGAGGACCGTATTAAGGAGATTCATGAAGGATTGAAAGATACCAGAAAGACTTTAACAGAAACGCCTTATTTGACCGGATCAAAAGGTATTTGAATTGATTACTGTTATTATTTGGTTATTTAGCTAATAATTTATCTATTAACTAATTACTGAAAATTGTTTTTAAATTTTATATATTATTATATAATTTTGGCTTATAGTTGGTTGGGCCGATGTCGTGTTGTTCTCGCAGTTAAAGATGATAGATTCTATTGATAAGGCATTACTGGAGTCAAGAATATTGGATGGTACAAATGGAGAAAAGTCACTGAGAGAGTGGTATGAGCGTATGTCTCAGTACGAATAAGTTATGGGCCATATAATAAATGTTTAAAATCTACAATTAACGATTATGTGAATATACATATAAAGATATTTAAAGAAGTCTAATTATCTAAAACATACACCTTGCTCTTGACCATCAAAATACTTCTTTTTGAATGATCTGTTATGATGACACAAAAGTAGATAGGGAAGAGGTGGCGAGCCCAATAATAATTTCTATTCTACTCTATATATCTATATATCTATATGTGTGTGTAGTATAAGAACCATATTACAGTGTTTCTACTTGAGATTAAGACAACTTGGGAAATGTTTTCGACAAATCAAAATGTAATTTTAGACAAGATGCTTGCCTTTTGTGGACAGAACGAGAATGAAATTTAGGCAAAGAGAATGTAGTCTTCAAAGTAAATATTTATTCAGACATTTTAACTATACGTCTAAATGACTCAAAGAGACAGACTAACTTAGGCACAGTGGTGGAATTGTTATTGCTGTAGTTCATGCTGCTTTGATTGTTGTGGCTATTACTGCTTGTTTGCTTGCCTTTATCAGATCTTTGAAAGGCGGTTAGACTTTTTGAATTTTGAATTTTTATTTCTGCACAAGTACTCAGGTTCATCAAGAACATCTTTAGCAGTTAGATTTCAGAAAACATTTTATATAGTGTATATTAGCCACACCGAGAATTAAATACAGATCGAAAAGAGATGCCCAAGCTGTGCTTATTTTATAAAAGAACATTTAAACTTTTTGACGATCCAAATGCTCTTTCTTTACTGGTCTGTAAAACCTGTAATACACTGTGGCAGCGAGATGTTAATGCTGCAAAGAAAAATATGATGACAATTGCTTTGTCTACTTGGAGAGGAGTCCATTGACCAACCGCTTCCCAACGTTCTGATAAAGTCAAGCAAGCAAGCAACAACAATAACAACAACAATCCAATCACTGTAACGTAAACAGGTTGTCTCTTTGAGTCAATTAGACATATAGTTAAAATGTCTGAATAAATTTCTACTTTGAAAGCTAATTTCTCTAATAATAATAAGCTCAATGTGTCTGCTTGTTTGTTCGTTTATGTGTGTGTGTGTGTTTGAGTGAATGAGTATTGGAAGGATAGAAAGAGAAAGAAAAAGAAGAAGAAAAAGGGAGGGCTTTATTCCTTGAGCTCCATCCCCATCCCCATCTCAATCCCAATCCCAATCTCTTTACTTTCCCACATCTACTGATCTTGTGTGTGTGTGTGTGTGTGTTTTTTTTTGGGGTTTTAGTTTTCTTTTATGTTATCCTTTAAATTCAATTTAGGCTTCATCATCATTGGCCTCGTCCTTTTTAACTTTCTGTTGCTTCTTCTTTTGAGCTTTGATGCGGTTGTCCTTGGTAACGTTCTTGACCTGGTTCAGCTTACGCACAAGTTTTGTCTTTGAGCCCTTTGCCTTGTCATCAGATGATGGCTTGGTAGAAGAGGTGACTTGGGCGGGATCGTCGGTGGAAGCAGCAGTAGTCTCCTTGTTAGAGTCCGAGGTAGTGAGAGAATGATCGTTGCTAAGGCGGGGTACACCTGCAGGAAGGTCTACAGTCTCGGTAGAGGTTTCAGTGGTAGGAGCAGTGTCTTTGTTAGAACCATTCTTGGAGACAGGCTTCTTTTTCTTCTTATCGGCAGCTGCCTTTTTGGCTGCTGATTTCTTTTTGGGGGCAGGCTTATTAGACTCAGAGGCATCTGTATCAGAATCGCTGCTGGATTCCGAAGCAAAGCGGCTCAAAATAGTGTCGACGATCTCTTTACCAAGGGCTTCATGAGCAGAGGTGCGTCTGGCGACAGCAGGAGTAGTGGAAGAAGATGGCTCATCAGCAGCACCGGATTCTGGTTCAGTATGCGAAGCTTCAGGCTCGCTGGGGAATACCGGCTCAACAGGCTCGGCCTTGATTGCCTTGGCTGCCTTCTTAGACTTGGAGGTCTTACGGCTGGAAGACTTCTTGGGAGCAGGAGCAGCATCATGAGCATCGGACTCGTTCTCAGAGTCATCCTTTGGGGGGTGGTTTTTGATGTATTCCTCCATCTCATGGGAATACCGGACCTTGTCCTTATTGGCCAGGTCAATGTAGGGCTATATACATACACGACCGACCAAATGATCGATTAAAAGATTAAGCGATTAAGTGAGTGAGTGAGCGAGTGAGTGAGTGAGTGATTGGATGATTAAATGATTTAGGTGCGTGTAAAGTTTTTTTTCTTCTTTTTTGTAAAAAAAAAAAAAAACCTCCTCCCAATGATAATAATGATGATGATGACGATAATATCAGTGCGTTTACCTGCTTTTCCTCCTCAGTCAAAGCATTCCACTTTACGCCAACCTCCTTGTAAACCTCCTTTTGGTTCAGTTCAGGATGCTCGGCTTTGATAAGAGGGCTCATTTTTACGGCAAAGTGAACATAGCTGTGATAGTTTCTCTTGGGTGCATTCTTGTCCTTGGATTTACTAACCTTGCGCTTCTTTTTATGGTCTGATTCAGCTGGGACTTCTTTGATATTTGCTTCAAAGTCGTCCAAGTATTCAACAAGAACCATAAATCCCTCGGAGATGTTTCTAATTGCTGATTGAAGCTATATTTTATATATATATATATATTTATAAGAATACAAATAAATACAAAAAGATATATATATATATATATGCATACACGTATAAATCTAAATTATTATCCTTATTATTTTCATAGCTAACTAGCTAACTAGCTAACTAACTAATTAATTAATTAATATTGATAATGAGTATAATGAAAATGGTAAAGATAATTGTGATGATTATGGATTTGATGATGATGATGACAATGATGATGACAATGCAACGAATAAAAATAAAAATAAAAATAAAAGGAAAAAAGGTTTTCTACAGCTATACAAAGTCAATAGACTTATTGATATTTACCCTCTTTCTTTTTTGAGGGGTGAGCTGGCTAAGTGGAACTGACATGTCTTGTTGTCTTTGTTTTTGTTTTTGTTTTTTTGTGTGCGTGTGCGTGTACGTGTGCGTGCGTGCGTGTTTTTTTTTTATTTAGGTATTTGATATTTTGTTTTGACCTTTGGCGTTCACCTAATTGTGGTCGACCGGCTTTTATCGGTCAACTATAAAATTCTTTCTTTACTGTTTATAGTAATTTTTGAATTTGAAAAAGACAGTCCTCTGATGTCAGTTGCACAGAGCATTCGCATTTTGCTAAAAAAAAAAATGCGCGCTTCAGTAATATACCTGTAATCTTTTTCTATCCTTTTTCTTTTATAAGCATGCTCAACAACAGTAATCAGCCCATCAATTCTCGAAAGAAGTCTACTCTATCATGTAGCTTTTGTAACAAAGAAAAATGAAAAAAAGAAAAAAGAAATGAGAGCCTTAAAACTATTCACGATGCCTACGAAGAAAAGCAAGATTCAGTTGACGCAGATGACCAACTTACTTGAAGACTGCAACATCAAAAAGGAAAAAAAAAAGATAGACAATGTGTGCCTACTTCTTCTTTCTCAACGAAACAATTTAGAATGTTAAAGCTGAGAAACTATGATGGATTTCTTCTGTGTGTATTATGATAACTTCGAGCACATGCACGCAACACTTTTGCGAAAAATAATTAACCGACTTGAAGATAAAACAATCTGGTGGACGCAGTACGCATCCAATATTATATGACGCTCCTCATATGGACTATTAAAGACACAGTAAAATAGGGTACTATCAATGAAAAGTATCATATAAGTCACTACTTATTTGAAGTTGTCGTATATTGACCACCCCCCAGAAAATAATCACCAGCATATACTATACCTGTGTCATCTTGTTGACATGGACAATATAGCTTGTGAAATTATTATACAAGCCTGATTCTATAACAGCTTTTTTATATTAAAAAAAAATAGGTGCTTGCAGCTGTTGTCTATTTCTTTCTTACATTTTCACATGGGGGGTTTTTTTTTGGAAAAATAAGTTGTATTCATGACATTTCAAGCATGTAATTGATGCTGTATTAAGCAAAGTTTCTCACTCTCTTTCCAAATGTACATAAACACCATAATTCTTTCTAGAAGAAAAAAGGCTACTGATTGATCAGCACAGACGCTTTAAAGTCGCTGAAAAGATGAGAGGGGAGGAAATGTTTGCAAAGGCAGATGGTTCCTGAGACGACACGAAAGAGTCGGTGCTCTTACAGGAGTACACAAAACTTTTCCTTCCTTCTTGTAGGAAAGCCGCCCGCAAAAAGGTATGGAACAAGATTGTCAAAAGTGACAATGAAGCGACACCCGAAGAACTGGACCTGTCATACGATACTTGTCGCCATAATAGGGGGTTTCATTATCTCTTAGGATTAGGATTAGGATTAGGATGTTAAACCTGTAGCCAATGGCAGCGAATATGAAATGAAAATTATTGAGTCCCCCTTTTTAATTAATTGTTTTATTCTTGAACCTGATATTTTATTATAAGCAATTAAGTTAATTTCTATTAATTATATTGAGAATTTAGCTTATAAAAAGTTGATATATAAAGTAGAAATATGTAAGAGAGGCAAATAAATTGATAAACTTTTGCTCCAAGTATTTTAAGACGTCAAAATGAGCAATCCTCAATTTCAATCCGAAAGCCTTTTCCTTCGGATTAAATCTACACATTTTAATTCTATTCAGATTCTTCTCAGCCAATAATTTCACCATTTAAACGCCCGCTTTCCGAATCCTAATTCGAATCCTAATCCTAAGAGATAATGAAACCCCCTAATATGCTGAAGCTTGTAGGCAACTACAAGAAAGCCTTTAACGAGAAAACCATTTGCTGGTACCTCAGACACAAACAGAAACAGGCCAGAGGCATAGAAGGCTGTCAGTATGGCTCTTAATAAGATACACCTAATTATGTACTTGGTTTTCTTTGAGGTTTCTGATTACATATGTGGGTTTCATTAAACTTAAAAGGAGCAGCACGAGGCGTTCAAGTTGCCTGGACGTCAACAAGAGATTTCCAAGCATTAGATGAAACTTGGGGTCGAAGGCGAGTTATGGGCTATCTGGACAGCACCTCCTGGTTGAGTCGAGGAACTTTGAGAGTGTTACAGGCGGTGCTGCCGATCAGAAGACACAGCGAGGGAAGAGGAGTTCCCAGCAGCGTATAATATGGCTGTAGTCCGGTCAGCGGCTACTCAGACTAGCTTAGCTTATAGTGAGGAGAAGGAGAAGAAAGACGAGGATCATCCAAAGGTAGAAGAGAAATTACCAGAGTTCCAGGCCACGTATAATACTGAAGTCCTGGGTATATCAAAGCAGATACTTTAAAAGATCTATGATGTTGAGGGAATTAAAAAAAAATCCAAAAAAAATTGGTATTAATTTATTTAAAATGATATGCTGTCTTAATCCAGAGATACACTTCTTTGAAATTGGGCGACTATGAACCAAAATATGAGCTTATTCGTGATCTGTTGTGTACTGATCGTTCGTAGAACCGATATATAGCCCAAGAAATCTTCCGGTAATCCCATCAGGAGTAATAATGGACTGGTACTTTAAAGCATAAAAATGCTTCCACCCATTGTAAACGGCTTTTTTTTTTTTTTTGGAAATTCACTAGCTTGACTTTTATATGGTATTACTTGCATGGTAACCGTTGTTAAAAGCCTTAACATTTTGGTAAGATCCCAACTTTTGTCGTAAGGGGGTTTTTTTTGTAAAACCATTTACAAATTTTCCTAGGTGAACCTTGCTTGATATTAAATTGTAAACCCCACTTTGTCTGAGTAATGACTAAGGTCTTTTATTCACCCATAGATAGAAATACATAGTAAAAAAAAACCCCCCATCTCAATCTCACCAAAGTGACTTTGAAAATTATATTTTTTCAGCAACATTACAAAGCCAAGGTTGGTACAGACTAGTACATTCAAAAAGAGGTGTATGTTTATGCAGTAAATACTGCCATTACTTTCTACATGTCTCTCTCTTTCTTTTTAATTCATACAAAAGAACAGACAAAAATAGATAAATATGACCACCAGAATTCAAAGTATTTAGATCAAGTGTGGTGTATATAGTTCTGCTAGTCTTTCTATAGACTTGACATATTTAGATTATTGATTTTTTGAAGAGTAAGTTGAGACTGTCAATTAAGTTTTCCTTAAAGGGATTGACGTTTGATGTAAATCCATATCCCTTGTGCTGGTAATACAATGTTAAGGTTTCATCATTTTAGGTAATAAAAAGCTTTATCTATAAGTGGAAGTAAAACCGATCAATTCTTATATACACGCAAAATGCGGCTGATCACAATTATACAGGTTAACGCCTCTTGCATGCATATAAAAAAATACGTAAAAATAACCAAGTAGAGAAAGGATTGAGTGGAATTGGGGATAATGGGGATAGAATAAGTTGATGGGTGGTGGGGTTTGTTGTTTAAAGCAGCGCTTTTATGTCTTTTTGAATATATATAGTGGATTATTAATCAACAGGTAATCCTTTAGTACGTCTCTTTGAATCCTTCTTCTTCTTTTTTCTTAAGAATTTGTTTTTTTTTCTTTTAGTATTATTAATATGAAGCCTATTCAATTTTATGATCTTGCCCTTAAAGGTTTGGGAGAAGTACCTTGGTCTCCCAATACTTACAAGACGCGCTTCACACTAAATATCAAGGTAATGTAACATAACCCATTTTCGATGGATACACAGGCACATGAATAGGAATAGGAATAGCAAAAGGCATACAGTGCATATACAAATGGCTTTACTGCTGAGCAAACAAAAGAAAAGAAAAGAAAGTTTAATTGAACTAATAAATAATTGTCTACTTTTTATTAGGAACTCTCTTATGTAACAACATGGCTTTCGATTGATGAAATACACACCGTTATCCCGAAAGTCACGTAAGATTACTATACTTTTTCTTAAGAAAAAAAAAAGACATGCACTCAAGAGGTCAATTGCACCATAAAGTCTCTAATTGTTATTTATATTATTAGAAATACCGGTGAGACTCCCACTGTACCTGTGATCGTAGATACCGAGAAAGACCAGGTCATTCAGGATTCTTTCAAGATTGCAAAGTATCTGGAGGCCACATACCCTCAGACGCCTAGTTTATTCCATGGCAATGAACAGCTGCATACATCCATGCAAGAGACATTTGACACTCGCCTGCTCCGTCATCTCTTTTGTCTTTCGGTCCTGGCCATCTATAGAAACTGCGGTGACGAAAGTATGCAGGCTGAGTTCCGTAAGAATAAGGAACAAAAGTTTGGGGTTACTCTTGAACAATTTGCAGGAAATCCAGAGGACCATATCAAGGAAATCGGCAATATCTTGAAGGACACCAAGAATACTTTGACAGAAACACTTTATCTGACTGGATCCAAAGGTACAGAATGATATAAAAATACATAGAGATGGTTATTAATCTATCTATCTTTAGTTGGATGGGCCGATGTTGTGCTGGCTTCCTACCTAAAGATGGTGGATGTTCTGAACCATGATGTTTTTGAATCTGGTATCTTGGGTAGCAAAGAAGCCGAAGATTCTCTAAGAAAATGGTACGAGCGTATGTCTCGATACGCATAAGTTGACTTGTAAAATGATATTTATATTATCTCTTTCTCCGTGTGTGTGTATTGGGTGTGGTAGAGATCAAAAGTGATTTTGATGTTAGTCAAGTATATAAAAGCCATAAATAAAAGTAGGAAGATGTTTGGACTGATTATACGTTTTGGTGTATTGGAAATCGTGCCAAAAAGATGCATTATAGGACTTTACGCTGACCTTGAATAAGTTTACGTATATTACCAAAAAGGAAATTTTGAGAGAAAGCACCCATTGTTGTTTTTATTTATTTTTTCATTCTTTTTCTCAATCAAATCTTCTCATGTCTCCTAAAATCATTAAACAATCTCGTAAAAAGAGTCCCGAACTTTCAGATTACATGAAAGGCAAGATTGTGGGTGCTTATGACTTTGGAATTCCCATGGCTAAGATTGCGCGCAAGTATGAGCTACCCTACACGACAGTGACAACAACCATTGAGAGAGTGAAGAAAACGGGTACTGCCCTTACCAAAAAACGTGAAGGGAGACCTGTTCTCTTGAATGATCGTGATTTGAGAGCTCTGGGAAATATTGCGCGCAACGACCCAACTGCAACATTCGACGTGATTACAGCTGAAATTCAGGAATCTTCAGGTGTACCCATCAAGAGGGATGCTGTTCGTAATTCCTTAAAAAAGATTGGTTTACGCTCTTGTGTTGCTGCAAAGAAGCCTTTGCTAAAGGAAAGGCACATAAAAAACAGGTTAAAGTTTGCAAGAGATGCTCGTCGTCACAATCAACAGTGGAATCGGGTAATCTGGAGTGATGAGTCCAGATTCATGGTCTATCCAAGGGCAGGAAATGTGCGTGTTTGGCGCACTCCAGCACAGAAATATAGAAGAGGCTATGTACGTCCAAGAGTACAAGGCGGAGGAGGCTCAGTGATGGTCTGGGGGTGCATTTGGGCTGGTGGAGTGGGAAAACTTGTAATTGTCGATGGCACGCTAAATCAGACGAAGTACATAAGACTCTTACGACTTCATTTTATGCCCTGGTTTCGATGTTTTAAGCAAAGGAAAGATGGTGAGTTCATTTTCCAAGAAGATAATGCACCCTGCCATAAAGGTATTTTGGCAAAAGAATACAAAGAAGAGGTGAATCTGCCAGTGATGACATGGCCAGCAAACAGCCCTGATCTGAGCCCAATAGAAAACATTTGGGCATACTTGGAACGCCAGCTGAGAGCTAGAAGGGTAAAGCCAACAAATTCACACTCGTTGGCCAGAGCTCTTCAAGAAGAATGGAAAAAAATACCGAAGAAAGTAGTGAAAGCACATTGCATGTCAATGCCAAATCGAATCAAAGAACTTAGAAAAAATAATGGATTCCATACCCACTATTAAACTTTCTAATAAATTACATATACCTATTCACATAGCTAATATATATTACTCATAATTATTTCAGAGCTCTAGCTATACGTTAAAATGATAAAAAGATGTAAAGAAGTTGTATATTTTCATTGAAAAAAATCGGGATTTTAAAAAATACTTAAATTAAATATGGGTCAGTGTATATATATCTTTTGAGCTATGGAATTTAGGGCATGAGGTATATATTCTTATTGGATTGAAACCAAGAAGATTGTGGTAGTGGTCAAAGCGCGCTAAATATGCTAATATGTAATTGTTACTATTGATATTATCAAAATTACGTAATTATTGCCAAAATAAATCATAATAGTTATTTTATACACATTTAACATCATGAGTTAAAGTACTATGTCTGTTCTTGATGAGGGTTATAATTATCTATCACAAAATAGAATATCATCTGACCACTCCTCCTCTCTTTTTTGGTTTTTAATTTCTAGTTGTTTGAAAGCTGGTACAATTTTATATGATTTGGTACAATTTTAGAAAAAAGGAGAATTAGATGATTCATGATTCATGATTCATTCGTTTGTCTCCTATTGACATTCTTATATTTGCTAGAAGATTCCCTGTCTATTACATGCTACATATTGTAATCTCGGTGGAATGACAGAGATATGGGTGTATAGTATGTATACTATGTAGGTGTAGATTGGGGGTCATGAAATAATTGTGGTTCTATAGTTTTTGATTCGATCTCCTTGATGTTCCGCACTGCCAGTTGTGTGTACACTACACTGATGAAGGTTAAACTGGTCACTACTACTTACAGTGGTCAATTTAATTTTTTTTTATTTCTTTTGGGGAGGGGAACAAATAGGCGTACCTTTATATATACATATATAAATTGTAGTGTCAAAATATCAAAATATTAACATTCGATGGACAATTTGTATATTTTGAAACAAACAAAAAAAAGACTTTAATTAATGGTAGAGATATTCTTTCATGTTCTTTGTCTTATTTAACAGTGCATATGCATGCAGATGATAAAGCAAGGGTTTTTATGCATTTATTTAAATAAATAAAGAACTATTGCATTTTGGGTTAATTTATGTGCATTTTGCATTAATGAAGACAAAAAAGGGTTATTAAAGACATCTCTCCGACAGATAAGCAAGGATCGAATATGTTTAATAATCAAGAATGATCCAAGCTTAATCTTACAAGCATATTTCTTATTTCTTGTTTGGATCTAGGCTCTACAGATACTAGTCTTTTATTAGTTTTTGTGTTTCTTTATCATTGGAATTATGATTAATTTCTACCAATTGTAGGGCTTTGATAGTTGATCTATAGAGAGGTAAGATATGTGCTATGTATAATTATTAAGACTATTAAGATTCAAGAAGAAGAAGAAGAAAAAAAATTGTACAAGACATGTGTGGTTTGTACTTTCTGGAAACAGATTTCCCCCAAGAATACAGAAATATATTGATCGAAATTGAATCAAGGTGAATTGTATTGTCTAAAGTATAAAGAGTCCAATAATAGGGGGGAACCAGTTTAATGTTTAATCATTGAGATTTCTTTTTGTCTAACAAGATTTCCTTGGCTCCTTTCTTGACCCTCTTTTAATACACAAAATAATCATAGACCTAAATAAGAAAGTGTCCCAACAAAAAAAAAAAAAAAAAAAAAAAACAATAATTATAATTTGTACCCACACACAAAGAGAAAGAAAGAGAAAGCCAAAAAAGACTTGTATTTGTTTGTTATTGTCCAACAAGATATTTATTTTATTTTTTCTTCTCCTATTGTGTTTGATAACCTAGGTAACACATCATCTGTATTGTTTTTATATATATGAAAGCTAAGCAAGAAGATTGAAACAATTTGAAACAGAAAAAGGAAAAGATATATTCAATGATAAAGACATAATGATAATAAAAGAACTGTTGTTTGTTCTTACTTGAGTTTAAGGTTTCTAGAATTCAAATATTTACATTTATGTATAAAGCATTAGTGGGCATTCTACAAATGGAATTATTTAGCGATCTTCATTTGCTTCTTTTTGTATTTTTTCTTTTTTCTTACACAAGTACAAGCACAAGAAGAAGCACAAATACGACTATTACATATATATATATATTTTGTCACAGATTCTCAGCATTTGGGGGCAATTAATGAGTTGAGCTTCAAAAGAGGACCAATAGGCACTACGCCAAAAAAAATAGGAGTTTTAGAGGTGGTTTCACAGGTGGTTCCGGAGGGGAAGCCAGGGCGCGTTTTGTGTCCTCCCCCCTTTTTTCCAACCCTGAGTTCATGTGCATTTTAATACATCTCCGCTTACCGGTAGTTTTAAGATTCTATTAATATATTGATAACCTTTTCTTTTGCTAATATTTGTCTTTCAATTGGACAAAACTTCTTTAAGTATAGTTGAAATATTATATGCCATTGGTTACTACTAATTCATTATTCTTTTAATTTAGATTCTTTTAAATATTTCTTGCTTAATCATTGTTTTTATTGGATAAGACATAATTGCACTGTAGTGTATTTTATAAAAATACATTTTTATTGGTTTCTCAAATGGATATATTTTTTATTTATCGTTTTTATTGGTTATTACACTACACAATTACATTTTATATATCACTTTTATTGGCTGTTATGATAGACATTACATTTTATACATCATTTTTATTGGTTATAAACAGTCAAATACATCATATACTTCCAATATTAAATATACTACTTTACACTTCAGTGGATAGTTACTTACAATTGCCTCCTTTGACGGTCTTTCCAGAGATGACTGACTCTTGCAATGGATGCCCAATTTTGATGGCATCTGGTGAAATCTATACCAACCCTCTTAAGCATGTTTGCATGTTTATTGCAAATCATTGTTCGATCACATCGCTGGTGAGAATCCAATTCCTGCCAGCACAATGATACAGCTTCCTCTGGGTAGACAGCTTGCAGTTGCTTTGGCCAACGACCGCACCAGAAAAGAGATGTTGTATCGCCACCATCATACGCAAAAGGCTGATGGCAGCATTTCCGATGTCTTTGACGGACAGGCATACCAGTCAAAGAAGCATCTTTTCTCGGGTGAAAACGACATCGCCATTTCGCTGTCTGTTGATGGGTTTGCTCCCCATAGTGTTCCGGGTTCGGTAACCATTGTCCACGTTACCAACCTCAACCTTCCCCCAATGATCCGCTACGAGCGCAGCCGTATGATCCAAGTCGCGATCATCCCTGGTCCCAAAGCACCCGCCGACTTCTGGTCATTCCTGGAGCCTGTTCTGAAAGAACTTCGGGTTCTCCAAGCCGGTGGAATGGTTGTGAAGACACCATCTGGAGATATTAGTGCAAAAGTCCATGTACTAATGACAACTGGCGACATCCCAGCTCTGGGAAAGATGGCTTGTCATGTGGGCCATATGAGTAAGGATGGCTGCCGCATCTGCCACGTTGTGGGTCAATCTCCTGGCCATGGCCAATATTTCCGAATGCCATCTGCCATCACCATGCGCACACCGGAAAGTTTCAAGCACTTTGATGAGGTGGCCTCATCCAGCAAAAAAGGGTTAACTGGCCAATCTCCCTTCTCCTTACTGGATTCCTTCTCTGGTCCGTTCTTCTTTGCATTGGATGAAATGCACGGCATTTGTCACGGCATTGGCAAACAGGTCTGGGGGCTCGTGTGTGGCAAGTATGGAAAAGATCATCCTCTCTCTCTCTCCCTTGTTGCTCAGAAAGAAATTGGTACTGCCATGGTGTCAACCAGAAGAAGTATTTCGACATCTTTCCACGGTGCATGGATCAACATCGCAACAAGATCAGGGTACTTCCGGGCTGTGGACTGGGCTGACTTCATCTTGTTTGTTATCCCCACGCTCGTGGCAGAGCGTGTCCGTGACCAAGCTGCCCGTAAGGCATTGCTTGACCTGGTGCAGACATGCAACCTACTCATGAGCTGGGAGTTATCAGCAGAGGAGAAAACCTTGATCAAAACGTAAGCTTTAATTATAATTAATATTATTATTTTATAACTTGTGTTAACTTATCTTTTTTTTTTTAGAAATCTCGTCGCATGGAATGCGTATCTGGAAGTCTCGCTAGCTAAAGGAGAGGTCCAGCTCAAGGTCTTTACGATCAACCAGCACCTCCTGCAGCACTATCCCGCAATGATAGAAGCGTATGGTCCCCCCAGAGCGTATAGTGCACGATCTGTCGAGAGGGCGATTGGGGAATACTCGCGAGCAATAAAGAGTAATTCGGCAATTGGAATCAACGCTGGCAACATCATGCTTGGCTTGACACAGATTCGACAGATGAGAGTTGAAAATTAAATAACGACAACAGCAACAGTAACAGCAACAACTCTCCTTCAGTATGACGATCCCTCTGCTGGTTGGCCAATTGACCGAGAAGGTAGTAATGTTGGTACTGATTCTGACATTGAGTTCTGGGGGCCTTTGAGGAACAGAACGATTGTTGATAGTTTTGGAGGCATTTCTTGTATTCCAGAGCTTCTTCAAAAGTTCTACGAATCAAAGGGGGAAGAGTGTAGTATGATTGAAGCAGCCATTAAAACAAGCCGTAAGGCATTTGTAAATGGTTGTGTTATTGACTCTGCACTCGACCATAATTGTGTAAGAGAGGCACACAACGTCAGACTTCAGGTTCAGGTTGATGAGAACCGCAACATTGGGCAAAGCTACTCTCCAGTCTACAAGGATTTCTTTGGGAAGGTCGTCGTTTTCTTTGAGCACAAGCTCAACAACAAGAGGTGCCCGCTTGTCCTTGTCAATGTTTATGCAGTTCGTTTGGTAAATAGTATACCAGTTGTTAACAATGGGCAAATGAAGCCAAAGGTAGTTCACCTGGCAGATGTCAAAGAATTGGTTGGTTTGGTGAAGTCGGACGCGACTATAAATATAACAACAACAGCAACAACAACATACATAGTGTGGCCAGAGCTTAACCGCGGCCCAAAACTGTCACTTGGTTCTCTTGCAGACTTATAATTTTTTTTTTCTTGTAATACATTATTTTTTTTTCAAATTTTCTTAACATATTTTATCCTCCCAGCAAAAAGTTTAGATATTTTTCTCTCTTTTACCTCTGACTTTTAATAGTCATCAATTGCAATCTACATTTACTAAAAATGTAAAATCTGTAGTTAAAGCTTACTTTTGTCTATCAGGAGATTTAATTTTAGGTGGTCAATCTGCTTTTTGTCAACCTTTTCAAAAAACAGAGATTTTCTAGTTTCAAATTGGATTTTTGGTGATTTTTTAATTATTATAGGCCAAAAACAAAGTCACAAATACAAAAAACCGCCCCTATTTGTCGTAGTGTAAAGAATAATAAATAAATAAAATAAGAATCAAGATTAATCGATTTTGAGTTTGTGCGTCTCATTCTTATTTTGTTATGTTTTTGGGGATTGGAATGGAATAAATTTGTACCACTTTTGAAATAATAAGCAAAAAGGTAAAGAAATACTTGTCCTATATAAAAAAATCATTCTCTTAATTTCACCCCCCCATTGAACACCCCAAAAAGCGTGGTCAATCAATGACGCAATCCAAATAGGCATAGACAAAGAGAGAGAGAGACATTCTATTAACATTCATTCAATTTTATTCAGCCTTACTCCGTCATGCATTTCTCTTCTTGTATATATATATATAATACACATATATTTTAATTTTTATATTAATTTTCCTGTCCTTGTTTCACTCTTTACTCTTTTCTTCACTTTCTTTTCTTTTCTTTTTTCACTATATTAACAGTAACAGTAACAACGACAAGAAAAAGCCAATTTTAAATTTAAATATATATATAGTTTAGAGATGGTTGACCCAAATCTAAAAAAGAAGTCTGAAAAGCACAGCCCTTTAGCAACAAACAAACCCAAGAACAAACCCACAGCCACGGCTACGGACACGGCCACAGCCACGGCTACCATAAACTCTCGAGACCATACAAATAATCCAAACAAGCGCCGGATCAAAGAATTTGATGTCGAATACGTCAATGAAGATCATGTCGCTGCTTTCGTAAAGGCCCTCGCTCAAGATCCACTTAACAACTCGGAAAATAGCCCAGAACACATTTCGGCCTCTAGCCAACTTATGCCGGTCAGAAAGAAGCTTCCGAGAAAGGAAAGGCGTCTGGCACGCGAGCAAGAAGCCATCACGCCAAACGGAATTTCCCAGTCTTTACTGCGATATCCCTTGATAGTAAGAATCACATGAACGAATAGTAGCAAAAGAAGAAAAAGAAAAAAAGGCGCTTTATAGTAATTATCACTATTGTAGATCTGTATCGGATTCACTATACTCGTTGAACTGTTGCTTTACATTGGATTAAGGCAGATTGTCAGGGTGTGGGAGAATAGCATTAGTTGGTAAGTTATAATTCAATATTATATGATATGATATCACTCTAAATAATAATTAGGCGAGGAAAACGCCGTCAGTTGAGAAACAGACTCCGGGAAGCTGGATCATATGCAGAATGGTGCACGGCTGCAGACGCACTCGACAACTACATGGGCAAGGACCAGTGGAAGAAGGCTGCACCCTATGGATTCTACGACTATCGGCTCATCCAGAAAGTCATCCAGCACCTCAAAAAATACCGCCAAAGCGATGATCCCGAAGACGCCTTTAATCTCAAGGACGTCCTCTACGCATGTCTCAAGCAAAACTTTGCCGGAATTGAAAACTCAAAGCTGTACAGCAACACTTACCTTGGAACAAAAGTACTTGTAGAAGAATACGTCAACGAAGGTAATATATATAAGATATATATATATATATATATATATATATTTGAACTAATGTTTGTTTGGTAGTTACACGCGCAATCGATGCCTTGGCCAGATCTCCTCACCTGTCATCCAAAGACAAACTACTGGCCTTCAAACTCTACTCTCGCAACTACGGCCGGTCCGCATTCTGTCTGTCTGGTGGTGCCGGATTCGGCTACTACCACCTGGGTGTCATCCGTGCCCTGCTGGACAGAAACCTGCTGCCGTCCATCATCACCGGTACATCGGCTGGATCGCTGCTGGGCGCCATTGTGTGTACTCGCACCGACGAAGAACTCCGCCAGGTGCTCGTTCCTGGTCTTGCTGAGCGGATCAACATTGTCGACGGCACCTTTGTCGACCGGCTCAAGAACTACTTCAAGACCGGCGCCATCTTTGATTCCGAAAAGTGGTGTCGGGAGGCAATGTGGTACACGCGCGGATCGATGACCTTTAAAGAAGCATATGAACGAACAGGACGAATCTACAATGTGTCGGTTGTTCCGTCAGATGCCCACTCGCCCCCCAAACTACTAAACTACATCACTGCTCCTGACTGTGTTATCTGGAGTGCTGTACTGGCATCAGCTGCCATTCCTGGTGTAAGATTACATATATATATATATTTATTTATTTTATTAAGATTATTGTCATGTAGGTCCTTAATGCAGTTGTGTTGATGCAAAAGACAAAAACCGGCCAATTGATTCCGTACAACTACGGCCATCGATTCAAGGACGGAAGTTTGCGCACAGACATTCCTTCCCAGACCCTGCACAACTACTTTAATGTCAACTATACTATCGTCAGCCAAGTCAACCCTCACATCCATCTCTTTTTTTATGCTCCCCAAGGTAGTCCCGGAAGACCTGTGACTCATTTGAATGGCAAAGGATGGTAAGTCTCATATCTTTCATCATAATTTTTCTAATCTTTCTTTGATTTTAGGCGTGGTGGATTCTTGGCTTCGACTATGGAACAAGTATTGAAACTCGAATTGTCTAAATGGCTCAAGGTGCTCAGAGATCTCGATCTGCTTCCCAAACTTCTCAACCAAGACTGGAGTTCCATTTGGTTACAAAAGTTTGATGGTGATGTTACTATTCTTGTAAGTAATATGAAAAATAAAAAAGATTTATATTTATATTTATATGTATATATATTGTAGCCTAAATCAAAGCTGTCTGATTGGTTACACTTGTTGTCTGATCCTAATGAGGAACGACTCAAGATGCTCTTCCGAGTCGGTGAGTTGCGTACCTGGCCAAAGATCACGATGATTTCAAACCGGATGAGAATCGAGAATGCAATTGAACTGAACCGCAAGGCTCTCAAGAACACGATCTACAACATGCGCCATAAAGACGACATCAAGACAGCAGCTGTAGATCAGAATCAAAAGACAGCCACAGGACCATCGATAATGTCCGATAGTTCGTTCCAGCAACAGATCCAGTCCCTCCAGTCTCAGATGAAGGATGGCCTGGTGCTCGGGAGTGGGACGAGTGATGAGTGCTCGGGTAGTGAGGCCGATGAACAAAAGTTCCTCAAGAGTCGCAGGGCCAGTATTGCGTCGTCTGGACACAACATGACTGAAGAAGATCTAAAGGAAGAAGAGAGCCGACGAAGAAGGTTCTTGGCTCAGTTTTCTGATAGACGAGAAGTGATTGATGGCCAAGAGATTGTAGCCGATGCCAACCGTCATCTTGATAGTGACAGCGACAGTATCTCATCAATTTCATCAATATCATCAACATCAACATCAACAGCATAAACACAACTGACTCTACACCATCACCTTTTATTTATCTCTTTTTTTTTATATTTTCTAAACACAATGTATATGAACACATTCATACCCACCCTTTTTGCTTTATTTTATTATTCATATATATATATATATATATATATTTAACAATCCTTATTATCTTTTTTACTTTTTCGTATATTGTAGTGTAGTGCTTTATATTATGTTACTGGCATTTGTAATATATATATAAATGAAAACACTAGAATCATTATGATTGGATAAGATAAAATGGGACTGGTCGTGACTTTCTCTTTTTTTTTAAAAAAAAAAAAAAAAAAGAAAAATTTCTTTCAAAAAAAAAAAAAAGTATATATATATAAATCTTTTTCTTTCCTCTTTTCTTTCCTTTTTCTATATAATTTTACTATCTTGATAGCCAAGTGTTTGAAAGAATATATTTAAAGGGTAAGTTTCTTGTTTAAATTAATTAATTAATTTAGATATATATTATTTTGTTGGTTTGATTTGCATATGATGTCCTCTTCAAAAAATTGCTTTTTTGTTGAATTTCTTCAAATGATCCAAACTGATTCTAATTGACACCCTGAAGCAATCAAACCATATAAATATTTTATTTTTCTCTTTTTTTTTAAAAAAACAAAAAATAATAATTAAATATTCATGTCTAATAAGAAAAACATAAACTCACTCAATTTGTTTGTTTTTTTTTTATTAGGTAAATAATCACTATTTATTTTATTTTATTTTATTTTATTTTAATTTTTTAATGTCAATAAACAATTAAAAAAAATTCTTTAAGCAAACAAAAAAAAATTGTCTTTTGGGGTTTTTTTTTTTTTTTTTTTTTTTTTAAAAAAAAAGTACAATTTCTGATACAAATTTAAGTTTTTGTAAAGCTTTATCTGGTAGCCTGTATTCTTTAAAGACCTTTTATATATATATATATATATATATATTTATTATTTACAAATGACATGGAGTTTCATCAACCAATCAATTGTTATTATTGGAATCTATAAATAAATTCATCTAATTAGCTATCTAAATTAAGTAGATGAAAAGTATCGGATATACCTGAATTATAAGAAAGAGTCACAGGGCCTTTTCTTTTTTAAATGATAATCTTGCGTCACAAACATGTTTTAAAATGGATTATTATTATTGTTTTACATTTACAAGCATATATTATATTGTATTGTATTGTATTGTATTTTATTTTATTGTATTTATTTAACAACAAGTTGAAACATCTGGCTCGGCTGCTTTTGGTGATTGCTTGAGACGCCACCAGCTCTCAACCGATGTCTCGGAGGCCAAAAGAGAGGCCGATTTTTTTGATTCAGGGGGTGACAATTGTGAGTGGGGGAATGTTTGCTGCTGTGGACTGATGATAGACTTGCGCTTCCAGGCAAAAGATAAGCTTGATAGCCTCGAAGGCACATTCGTGTTCACATTCGCATTCACGGTCGTGTTCACATTCGAGACTGCTGTTGTCGAGAAAGTCTTTTGTTTTGGTGAAAGGGTTGGCAGATTAGAGATTGGCAGATTGGCAGAAGAGTTTGTTGTCGAGCGTCTGGTGGGTGTGATAAGGTGAGTCGGTGTGGTGGGGGTGGGTGGGACAGAATAGGTTTGGTTCTGAGGCCGGAGTGTCTTTTGTTCAAATTCACGCAATTGATAGAGCAAACCGAGATTGGGACTGATGGCCGGTGCGCGTGCCTTGACATAATCGTAGGCCTCCTGGAGTGGCAGCCGCAGAGTCTTGATCACATATGCCACGATCACGGTCGCCGAACGCGCTACTCCACACTGGCAGTGTACCAGAATCGATTGGCCGGTCTCGCGTGCCCGATCAATGGCCTCCAGGGCCACTTCGAGTTCGGTTGCCAGATTGGCCTGGTGGTGTTGCCAGGGCATCTTTTTGTAAGACATCTTTGGCTCATCGTCCTTGTTAAGGTTCATTTTCTGGATTGATAATGATGATTTTGATGCTTGTGATAATGATAATTTTGATGATTTTGATGCTTGTAATGATGATTTTGTTGATGATTTTGTGAGTGCTTCGTCAAGTGGGCGGAAGAGGTGTTCATGTGGATTGTGGACCTCGGCTGCCAGATTGAGCAGACATTGGATATGGTATTTACGGAGCTGGGTAAGATCTGCCGCATTGGATTCGGCGCCGAGATAAAGAAAGGGCATGATAAAGGCAGGTCCGTTCTGGTATGGGTTTGAGGACTGGCTGGTGGCCTCTGGTCTGGCAAAGGTGGGTGAGGCCAGGTCGGCAAACATCTGGGCGGATGAGCTGCTGCTGAGACACAATGAGAGATTTTTGTTGTTTCTGCGTCGGTTGGCCAATCCAGATCCAGACGGAGCAGCACTCGATGAGGCCGGGAGAGCCAAAGAGAGTGGCCGCTTTGTTGATGCCAGAGACAAAGGTGTACTGGTAGTCAAGGTAGGTTGCATTTTCTTCATCATTATCAAGAGGTTATTAAAAGAGATATATATTTATTTATTTATTTATTTATTAGAGGATATAAAAGAAAATTATAGGGTGGTTGAATGGGTAAAGATGATAAACGAAAGAAATAAAGAAAGAAGAGGAATAAATAATAAATAATAAATAATAAATAATAAAAAATTATAAATTATAAATTGAATTTTTTTTTATAGTGTAATATAAAATATATATATATATATATATATTTATTTATTTTTTTTATTGATGACCGTAGTTGTTGTTGCTGTTGCTTTTGCTTATATTTTATTCTTTTATTCTTTTACGTTAATTACTTGCCCAATCGTGTGTTTGACAAGATTGGCAAATAAAGCTAATTGGCAAAATTGACTTTTTGTGCTTGTACAACCATAGTGCAAGAGACTAGATATTTTTTTGAGAGGTAGCTATTTTACTTGTTTTACATATATATATATATATATATATATATATTTATATATATATTCTTAATAATCTTGGTGTTCCAGACCAGGAGAATAAAAATAAATATATATTTTATATATCTATTATACTGCACTAATACTAAGCACTAATACACTATATACCATATTATATTATATTATATTATATTAGATTACATACATAAACATATATACATATCTTTTTCTTTTTAAACAATTAAATCAACCAATTACTTAATTACTTAATTAATTAATTAATTAATTAATTAATTATATAATCATATTAAATAAGAAAAACAAAGAAATATTAATCTCTCTTGAATGGAACTGCATTTTTAACAAGTGGGTCGGAGGGATCCTCAATTGGTGGACGTGGCTCAGGCTTGCGGAACTTTTCAGGTAATTTGTGCTGACTGGCCTGGTACTCATCCAAGGTCTCAACCTTGCCATCATCGGCATCATCATTTCCCTTTGGCAGAGGGGAGCCAGCACTAGCAGGATCCTTTGGGTCTTGAGGCTCAACAGCACTACAATACATTTAATTTTTAATTTTTAATTTTTATTTTAATTCAAAACACACTTACACATTCAATTCAGATTCAACCAAATCTCCCCAGCCTTGCTTGACCTTCTTTTCAGTAGTTCTACATATACATTTAAAGAAAGAGAAAAAAGAGATTAAAATCATTATATACACAGTAGTAAGAACTATTATATATATATATATATTTACCCGTAACCAAGGTTGCCAAAACTCTCTGTGGGTCTTCCATGGGGATGGTAGCCAGAAGACTCATGATGACCTTTTTCATGAGGTGGGGAACTCTTGTGACTAGATACAGATACGGGTGTGCTGTCTGTGGTTTCATGTGCAGAAGGCGCGTCTACACCGCGGTCGCGTCCTCGGCGAATATCAGGAGGAGAGACTATATATATTAAAAAAAATAAATGCATTGATATTGATATCAATATTGGTTAAGAATATCTAATTACCTGCAGTTCTTGGCTGGGCTGCTCTCTTTTCATGTCTTGTCTTTGGTTCTCCAACCTCTTCTTCAACTGGTTTGACGTTTCCAAGCTTGTCGATTTCAACCTTTTGGCCGTCGATAATTTCAAAGCGGTTTTGACGTTCAGACATAGTTATAGCTATTAGTTGTTGATTGTTATTCAAGTTATTTATTTAAAACAAATATGAATATAAAAGTTAATAAAAATAAAAAATCAAAAAAATCAAAAATTGGGAAAAACAAATGCTTTTATTTTATGCATTTTTTTTTTTTAATTATATGCGTCATGCAAGTTTATTAGTGTGTGTGAAATAGAGAGAGAGAAAAAAAAAAAGACTTTAAAAATCATATATACAGCAGTAACAGTAACAGTAACAGTAACAGTAACAGTAACGATATAATGTATGTATGTATATAAAATAATAAGAGAGAGGTTCTCATGACGCAATAGTGACACTCACAAGGTACATATATGTACTTTTGTGCTTTAGAACAAAGATCTGTACTAAAAGATACACATAGTGAAAAAAAAAAACAGGTGAAGAGTACAAAAGGCGCCATATGTTTTAAGGTTTATATTCTTGCTTTTCATTTTTGCTCTTATTCTTGTCTGTTCATTCGTTCGCTTGTTCGCGCAGCCATTCAGTCGCGCAGTCGTACGTTGGTTTCCTTTTCTTTCTTTTTCTTTTATATGTCTGTGTGCATTTTAGAGGAGCGAAATCCCCATTTGTGACTATTCTTTTTATCTTTGGTATTATAAAAATATATATAAGTTGATTGCTTGATTACTAGACTTTTAACACACTACACTATAATATATTGTGTGTATATCTATTAATTATTTAATCATTTTGTTTGTCTGTTTGTTTGTTTTTTTGGTCTAAAATACAACACAAAGCAACAGCTAGCAAAACACGAAAATATTGCTTGTTTTGTCACCAACCAACAACCAACCAATAAATCTTCCTCCTAGGATAATTTTTTTTTTTTTTTTTAAATTGAATATTTTGTGAACACTAAATAACATAAGAAAAAATATATGTATATTATAGAAATCACCCCACCAATAAAATAAAAATAAAAAAATCAGAGCATTTTTGGGTTGAATCGGTTTATTCCAAGATTCAACAAAAACATAATAACCATAACTTTTGACACAATGGACAGTAAACAAAAAAGAAGATCATTGTTTGCTTGTCAACCTATAGAACTCTTGTCTTGGGGTTATATTTAACTATATATTAATGCTCTTCTTCTTCTTGTTGTTGTTGTATTTGCAAATACAACAAAATATAAAGAATAAAGATTTTATATATATATATATATATAAAAAAGAAAAAAAAAATGTACATATAAAAGAATGCGCGCGTGTGTGTGTGTAAAATAAATGAAACAAAAATGAAACAAAACCAAAACCAAAAATAAATAAATAAATAAAAGAAAAGAATTGAAAGGGAGGGGGAAATCAATGTAATTTTGTATACAAGAAAGAAAAAAGAAAAAGAGAGGTATTAAAACAAATAAATAAATTGTTGTTGTTGTTGTTTTTTTTTAATGCTTGTGATTAATGTGTTCGGTCTTGAAGGTTGCAAGTTCATCTGTACCATCGCTATTGGTGTTAGTGTTGACGATAGCAGAACCACGGCCATCTACAGTGAACTCGGCATCGTCCTTGATAGTCGTTTCTTCGTTAAAGTCAATATCACGACCGGTGGTTTCTGGCATGAAGATCAAGAGGAACACAAATGCAACAAAATTGAGGGCAACAAACACAGTAAAACTATACTCTTTGAGGTTGGCGTCCATGTAAGGCCAGACAGTGTTGATGATAAAGTTGCAAAGCCAGTTTGCACCATTTCCAAGAGCACTTCCGGCAGAAAGAGCATGGAGAGGCAGCAGTTCAGGCGCAATCATCCAAGGAATCACACCACAGCCCATAGAGTACGTAAAAGTAAACAGCAATACTAATCATTCATAAAAGTGTTGGTCAATACATACATTATGTTATCAATCAGTTGTTTGATTATCATTCTTTCTTACCTGATGTAATGACAAGTGGTGCAAGTTTGGTGCCGCCTGATGATCCTACTACCATCATAATAGATGCAATGCAAGTTCCGGCAGTCGAAATCAACATAAAGCCTTTGCGGCCAACACGGTTCATAAATCCAATGGCAATAAAGACAGCCACAATGTTTCCTGCGGCTGCAGCCAGTGAAATGTCGGTGGCCAGGGAAGAATCACCATTGAAAATCTTGGTCAAGAATCCGACCGAGTAGACTGAGATGGGTCCAATGCCACCGACCTGGTTATAGGCCTGCAGGACCATGACGATCACGGTGTTCCAGGAGATAGTCTTGTCTTTCAGGACGATGATGTCCCAGATGTTCATGCTTGGCCTGCCGTTTTCTTCGCGCTGGCGGGCAGCAAGCATCTCTGCGAATTCTTCTTCGATATCTGCGTCGGAGCGTAGGCGTTGCAGGGCTGCACATGCCGGGTCGTATTCCTTGGTCGAGCAGAGGTAGCGCGGAGATTCGACGACAAAGAAGACCAGCAAAACGGCCTGGATTGCGGCCAAAAAGGTTGGAATGGCCCACAGGAAACGCCAGGCATTAGCGGTGCTCATGTACATGCCGCAGATCTGGGTGATCAGGATACCGGTGTTGAGGAACAGTTCGAACAGACTTCCAAGTGCACCACGGCTCTTTGTAGTCGAGATTTCGGATACGTAGATAGCGACTGATGATCCAGACATGCCAGATGCAACACCAACAAATGCTCTGCCAAATGAATACTAAAATAATTTATATATATATATATAAAATTAGTAAAACTAAAGAATCATTTTGGTTTAATTTAATTTTCAATTATTTACCATGACAATGTTAATGGCACATGAAGACAAGATACCACCAGCAATCATCCAAGCACAGGCAATCAACATGTTTGCTCGTCTGCCGTATTTGTTGTTAAGGTACATGCTTGCTATACTTCCAAAGAAGCCACCGATTGGAAAGGCACCAATAGTATAACCCCTATTTTTTTTATTTTTTATTTTTTTGGTTTTTTGATTAATACATATGTTTGGAATATCTCGATATCTAAATATTTACCAAGTGAAATCACTCATTGGAAGACATGCTGGTAAACTAGTTGCACTAATAGTTCCATCAGTGCACTGTGTAATTACTGCTTGAGGCACATTTGGTACACCTTTAAAAATCATAATAAAGTTAATGAGATATCTAATCACATAGATACATAGATAGATATAAAATAAAATTTAAACTTTATATTATATTATAAAATAAAAATAAATTAAGGTACTTACTGATATGCCAACCAACTGTAAATCCAGATATTGCTGCAACACATGCACACATAATCATATAGGAAGTGAATCCCAAATCTTGGGATTTTGTTGTGCTAGGCATTCTAAATAGAGGTGTGCTATAATGATGCTGCTAATTGATATACTACTTTTTTCTTTTTTTTTAATATATATAGAATATATACAATATTATATAATATAATATAATATAATATAATATATGTTTGTTCTATATATTTTCTTTAGAAAAAATGCAATGCAATGAAATGAAACAAAGAGAGTAAAGAGAGGGAGAGAAAGAAAGAGAGAGAGAAAGAAAAATTTAAAGGACTAAAAGCAATAGAGTAATATATTTTATTTTATTTTTTTATTTGTTTTATTTTGGCCTTTTTTTTTTTATGTTGTTGTTGTTGCTGCTGCTGCTGTTGTTGTCTGATTTATAAATAAAACAAAATATAAAATAAATTAGTTCGGCTCCGGTGATAAGATAAGTAACAGATTTTTTTTTGTTTTGTTTTATTTTATATTATATATTATAGTAAGAAGAAGAAACAGAGTGACAGAAGTAGTAGAGGGACAGAGTGACAGGCAGATAGAGGGGGGAGAGAGAAAAAGGGAGGCTTGTACAATTTTTCTTTTTTAGGGAAAAATTTCAAAAGCGCTGAAATATTTTATTTTGACTACCGAGGTTTTAAAAAAAAAAAAAAAGTGAAAAGGAGAAGAAGAAGAAGAAGTAGAAAGATAAGGATAAGATTAAATAAAGAAAAGCAAAGAAAAAGGGAAATACAAGATTAGAATAACGAAATAATATTGCATAAAAAAATATATAAATAAAAATTATTCGTATAATGATTTTCATCCTCTTTGTTACCTATTAATTCTTTTTCAAAAAAAATAGCAGTAAATAACAAATATACATTCATTGATTATACCCTTTTTTTTAAAAAAAAAATAAAAAATAAAATAATAATATAAATAAATTGTATTTGATGCGGCCAGTAAGTTGGAAAAAATAAGTTCCGAGTTGAATTCAATTGGATATTTCGGAGCCAATATATAAATATAATATATATAGTTTGTTGTCATGACTACACAATTTTATTTAATTTATCACCGTGTTATTTATCACTAGGTTATTTATCACTAGGTTGTTTATCACTAGGCTACATATATTACTCTTGGAGTAAAAAAAACAAATAAAAATAAAATAGGCAATTAAAGAAAGAAAGTATACATGAAAATGATATAAAGACATAAAGATGTTAAAGATAGATAATGATAGATAAAGACAAATTGCCCATTTAGGTGAGCTTCTTTCCGTAAGAATTTTTTATTTATTTATTTATTTATATATCATGAATCTTAATCTTAATTATTATCATTATCATTATCATTATCAAATAGCCATGTGTGAAAAATCTCTACACAAAAACCTATAAGCGTATAAAGGAGATATACATATATCTTTTATACATGTCTATATATTCCACGGACACGGTTCGTACTACAGAACACCCTTTTTCCTTGGTATTTTCCTTGGTGTTATATCTTTTGTGCACTTCCTAACACAGTCACTACAACTACAACTACAACTACCACCACCATCATAACCTTTTTATTTACGTATTTATATAAGAATAAGAATAAGAAGCAAGGTATCCAATTGACAGCCTCCATATTATTTCTCTTGTCTAAAATTGGTGTTTTTGTTTTCTTTTTCTTATTCTTGATTTTATATATATATTTGATTATCAAAAAAAAAAATAAGACCAATTAAAACAAAGTAACAAGTCCAACACCGATTATTAGATTATTTTTTTTTGAGGGAAAGAAAGAAAAAAAAAGTAAATAATATTTTAGCCAAAACCATCTACATAGTCATTATTTGTTTTACTCCACTCTCATACAAAAAAGTAAGACACATGAAACAAGTACTTTATATACAACGCATAAACCATCATTTTTATTGAAATGAAAAATGTATTTGATGTTTCAAACAAAAACAAAGGCCAAGAAACCAAATCATACAAGTAAAACTATATGTGTCTCTTTAAACTTGACGTTTCAACTCCGATTTTTATACTTGAGACAAATTAATGCTTGGCTGTCATCAAAAAAAAATTAAATACACTGTATAATAAAATCCAATGATTAATTAATTACTATGTTTCTACACACATTCTCCACATTCATCAACTAACTCTATCCAACCACCACTCCTTTTTTTTTTTGGTATGCTTGTCTGACTATCTACCCTTACTTCTTCCTTTTTCAATTAGCTAAACCATATACTTTTACGTCTTGAACTGATTCTGTATAGAATAAACCATACTCACTCAATATTAAAAAGATGTATAATATATAATTTAGCTAGCCAGCTAGCCAGCCAGCCAGCCAGCCAGCCATTTATATAACATACCATGCCCTGCTTTTACACACACACACCTCTTTGCCTACAAATCAAAGCAATTTTTTTTTAATTCAACAGCGGCTGTGTTTATACACAGCTTTAAATTAGACGGATTTCAAAATTCAATATATTTTGGACATCACGTGCCAAGAAACACCCAAAAGTGCAGTGATCATAAAATAGTACATCCAGTCAATCTCATTCGTGGAACCCCACGCGGCTCTACGGGCCTGCCAGAGCTTCCGATCATCATCACCATTCTTTACTCCTACCACTCCTACCACTTCTACTCCTACTCCTACTTCATTTGGCTCTTGCTTTGACTTTGTTTCTGTTTGTCCAATTGGCCCCACTTGACCACAATTATTGGAGCCATCATTATCATCATAATTGTCTACCCCTGTCAATGTCTTTGTATCCAAATCTGTGCCAGTCTCAGTCTCTGTCTTTGGTTGTGTTGGTTTGTCGGGTGTTACGTCTACCCACAAATAGGCATGATCGCTAGCTTTGTAATCCAGATTGCCGCGGCCCCTTTTCAATACACTCATGCCACGGACTAAAGTCCAGTCCAGTTTGGCCTTGAACAGTCCTCCATAAGCTGGATTCTCAAGCGTGACCTCTTCTGGATCCCAAGGGTCGTAGAATCCAGGGTTCCGAGCTGCTCTGAGCGTATGCTCCTCAAACCCACTCCCAACCCACCTCGACAGCCAGTCCATCAGCCTAGGTTGGTGTCGGTAGCCAAGCTCGACTAGCCAGCTCGGCACAACCACAAACAGCCCACACGCTCTGGCCAGTCGGCTATTAATCGGACCCTGGGTGATATGGAATCCAAAGAACCGATCATCCCACCAACCGCTCTCTGTCTGCCCAAGACTGGCCCACCGGTATCGATCTCGACAATACACAGCCGACAGGCGAGCAATCGAGTGCCCCATCGTATTGAGATCCCCAAAGATAAGCTGGTGAGGGTATTTGTCTTGTCTTGAGGCATGTTCAAGGATCTCTGAAAAACATTCAATTCTTCCAATAATACCCGTAAACACCTTTATATATATATATAATTTTTATTATGGATCATAAATGTTAAATGTATCTGTTCTCTATCTCCCCTTTCCTCTTTTCATGTCGTAGTAATAAAGTATATACCAATACTTTATTGTCCTATTCTTACCTCCAAGTGAACACTGTAACATAATACGGGAGGGAATGAAGGAGGTCGAACAGTACTCACTAATGTGTACCGTCTACAATACTAATTGAATACTCTCATATATATATATATATATATATAAATTTTTATATATAAACTTACCTTCCTATACGTGGTTCCTTTAGAGTTCCACCGTCTCTGTCCCAATTGAATGGATGATGTTTATGTTCCAACACTTCAAATGAAATATCATATTTCGACAGAATTGCGTTGCCATGGACACCCCCACCCTTTATTATCAATCATTAATCATTATTATTATTTTCTAAAATGGTTGAATCGTATGTATATATATATATATATATACTTTACTGCATCTCTTGGCTTTCGACAGGGATCGTCTAGCTCATGGAACTCGGACACAAAACCTCCTTTCATTTCAAGGGTCATGCAAAGATCCTTCATGTGATTCTTACTACCAGAACGTTTGCACCCAATGTCAATCTCTTGCAGAATGACCACATCGGCATCGACATTTTTAAGAAGAATCAAGATGTCTTGTGATTCTATTATTTACCAAAATCACAATCATTATTTATTTATTTCTCAAAGAATGAAATTGAAAAAAGGGGTGGAATAGGACGGGAAAAATGGCTATATATAATTGCTCATACCATAGTTACGTTCGATATTCCATTGAATTACTTTTAAAAAAGGGGGAGCCAAAGAAGTCTGACTGGTGGTGGGGCGGTAATCATATTCTAGTATTTGGCCAGGTGGAGTTTTGCTGGCAGGGTCTATATCTTCTTTATTCATTTTTTCTAGAGCCAGTCAAACAAATATAGCTACTGCTACTATTGTTTCTAATACTTATTACAACAAAGGATGTTGTTTCTTTTTTAATAAAATTAAATTAAACAAATAAAATTGTATAACCACTATCTTTAAAATATACATAATAATAATAATAATAATAATAATATAGAGTGATACAGTATTATATATCCATATATCTAATGTCTAATTTTGTGACGCCATTAAAAATATGTATAATGAGTATAGTGAGCAAGTAAGCAAGTGTTTGTTGGTCTTTCACTTTCACTATTTCTGTGAGGTTTCTGAACTTTAAAATAGATAAAAATTGACTTGTATTTTTGGTAGAGCTCTTTAATGCTACTTTTTTTTTTCCATCTTTTATTTAACCAATTATGTGATGTCATTGTTAGCTAGATAGATTATAGTTCTTCAATACTACTATACATAAATACATTTAAAATAATATTCTTCTAATTTTACCTACAGAAATTGAACCAAATTGAACCAAATTGAACCAAATTGAACCAAATTGAACCAAATTGAACCAAATTGAATTGCCAAGAATTAGAAAATAGATAAATGAAATTAAATGACATGAATATATGTATATACATATAATTAATGTGGATCGTTTTGGATAAACAAATTGTTAGATTTTTTTCTTTTTTTTTTTAGAAACCAACCATTTATGGGTGTGAATATTGTCTTGATTTCATATAGAGTACCCCAGAAAATATAAAATATTTTGTTTTTAAAAGAGGCTCAAGAAAATAAATCAAGTCAATTCTGCACAGACCTTATTGTTTTTCTGTATGTTTTGAATCATTATTATTTTCTTACGATCACTAATATAAAGGTATCCGATTCAGCGATATCCAATTATATACAAACATGTAAATATGTATGTATATCACTGAGATGCATATCCGACAAAGTCTCAACCTATCCAAATATATATATATCTTTTATTCAAAGTACGACACTTCATCGTCGATGGGCTATCACAAGCCAAAAAATAATTATAATTAAAGAATTAAAGATTATCAAAAAAAAATGTCCTTTTTTGTTGTAATTCTTTAAATTCTCTTTCTCGTATTTCTTTCTTTCCTTCTTCCCTAGATTTATTAAACAGCTTATACATACCTCCTTCCATTCTTATTTTTCTTTTTAAAAAAAAATGCCTCCAGATCCACTATTTATCTCACTTGGGGCAGCTTCCTCAACAGATCGTTTGATCGATACTGTTGATAAACGTACACCTATTACAACCGATTCAGGCATGTGGACAACTAATATTGGATCAAAAGACAAACCGTCAAATCAAAAACTACTGCCATCATCACCACTATCAACATCACCCTTGGCTCCCTCTTCGCCATATTCATATTCATACTCATCATTAAATGACAAACGTATAAAAAGATCAGCAACAGAAAGACTGGCCATCATGTCTCGCACAGCACTGTCGCTAGCCTTGTCTTGTCCACTGCTTCTTGTACTCTTGACCATCTCACTCTACAAGACCATCCATAGAGCTTACTTTGTTGAATCGGCCATAGACGATGATGAGCCAGAAGAAAATCAACCAAAAGAAGACATCATACCTGACGAGATCTATTACGCCTCCAGGTGGGGATACGACAGCACTCTGCACCAGGTTGTTACAAAAGACGGGTATATTCTATCCATGTATCGAGTCAGCAAAAAAGGAGTCAATCCAATAGGTAACTAAATGTATATATTTATAAGTCTACAGAAATAATAACAATTCTTTAAATAATAGTATAAGAATAAGAATAAGAATAATGAAATTAAGATCAAAAAGTATAAATACAAAAAGGGGGGGAATAAACGATAAAGGAAACAAAGGAAGGAGAGTGAAAGGGGTGTATGTATGTGGTTAGAAAACATTCTGCACAACATTAATAACAAGAATCATCTTTAATTCCAAGTAACTATAATGATATTAAATATGGACAAATTGTATTCTATAGACAAACCACCGGTTTTAGTTGTTCACGGTCTCTTTCAATGCTCGGGTGCATTTGTACTTAATGAAGAACAATCCTTGGCATTTGCATTGGTTGATCAAGGATATGATGTCTGGCTAGGTAATAATCGATCTACGGGTGGACTGGATCATGTTTCGATGTCCCATAAGGATCCCGAATACTGGAATTGGGGTCTCAAAGAACTCGGGATCTACGATTGTGTTGGAATGGTAAATTATGTCAGGCAGACAACTGGCCAGCCAAAGGTAAATCATAGTAATACATAGAGAGATTAAGGTGAATATTACGATCACTTGGATGTTAAATAACTTTATCTTTATCATTAGGTTGGTTACATTGGACATTCTCAAGGTAATGCCCAGGCATTTATTGCACTCTCTTTACAACCAGAGATGTCCGATTGTCTCAGTTGTTTTATTGCCTTGGCCCCAGCTGTTTATTCAGGCGATCTTGTCAGGTAAACTACACATTTAAATGAACAATTTCACCAGAATATATATATGTTGTTTATTCTTATACAAAAATCAAACTACAAAATCTTAATGATAATTTTGTCTATCATAATAGATCCTACCCTCTCAAATATTTGGTCGATCTAGATGACCAAGCTTTTACTGTATTATTTGGTAAATAAATACATATACATATATATATCTACTGAATCTCTCTAATATGTTTTATTATTTGTATATTTAATAAAAGGCAACGGATGCTTTCTTCCAATCATGAATCTCTCCCAAGCACTGTGTAATCCCAAATTATTCTGTTTCTTGGCCTACAGCATGTTTTCTTACTTGTTTGCCTGGTGGGACAGTAACTGGATTTCTCGTCGCAAGCCAAAATATTTTCAATTCACTCCACGCCCTGTCAGTTCACAGCTCATTCTGGATTGGATGCATGGTTGGGGAAAACGTGGGCTATTGTTGCACATCCCCGACAACAGTATGTCATTACAATCACCACCACTGCAACTTTTACCTGATTCATTACAGCAGCAGCAAAGCCATTATCATCATGAGGAACAATATGAAGAAGAATATGATAAAGGCTCGGAACATAATGTTTCCAAAAAGATTCCTTTGGCTGTATTCTATGGTACGGCTGATTATCTTGTCGATGGTGAAAAACTGGTTCGTAAATTGCAAAAGAATCACAAACAAGCAAACCTTGGAAAATCCACAGACCCATCGATATTTCTTCCGATGCTTGAACTTGTGCACGTGGAACGAATAGATGATTATGAGCACATGGATACTATCTGGGGCCATGACAACCACATAACCACGTACCCAGGAATTTTTCAGATGTTGGCTACTGCTGAATGGCATGTCTAAAATAGAGATAATAATAATAATAATCATAGTAATTATACATACTACATATGTATCTTTCTATCTATGTAACTCATACACATGGTTTTGTTTGTTTGCTTGTTTGCTTGTTTGCTTTATACATGACTTTAATCCATATCTTTAATATTTTTTTTTGTATATATATTTGATAGAAGAAAACAAATATGTTATATGATATATTGAATGGCGTGGAAATGCAATTTAAAGAAAGAAGGATTGAAAGAGAGAAAGAGAAAAGGAGGGGAAGAAGTGCGAGTTTTGTGTACAGGGAAGAAATACATCTTTCTTTCTTTCTTCTTTGTTGTTTGTTTGTTTATTTGTTGTGCTTGTGCGCGTGTATGCTTGTGTTTGTGATTATGTTTGTGCTTGTGTTTGTGTGCAAAATATTTACAGGCTGGCCTTCTTGACAGGGACGTACCAGGCCATCTCGTACTCCTTTTGAGTAAATCCACACTTTTCGTAAAAAGGAATGTTCTATAAAATATATACAGTGCCTTTTAGTTCATCTCATCTCTCCCAGTAAATAATGACACTATATATACATATAAAGACCATTCCAGTATAAACTCCTTTTTTTTCCACTTCTTCTTACCTTTGCAGAGCAATCAAGGATAACTAAAAATCAAAATAATAATTATGTTATTGTTATTATTATTATAAGAGTATTATGATAAAACAACACCATCAATTGTTTACCTTTGTAACAACCACGCTTTGCGCCAATGTGCATCAAGGCATGGATAATTCTCAGACCAAGTTTCTTTCCTTGTTGACTAGCATCGACGGCAATATCCTCAATGTGACCAACCAAACCATTCTTGTGTACAAATTTACGTTCTACGAACACAGTACCAGCTGCGACAACGCGGTCCTTCACATCGTCTGTAATAACAATAGTAAAGTCTAATATATACATATATAAAAAAAAGGAACAATAAGTAATTGATTGATGGATCGATTGATTTGTTTGTTTTGAAGAAACCACACAGATATATATATAAAGTAGACTAAGACAAGGAAACTATACGTACATTCATGGTTGTGTCTCTTGATATAATCAAATCGTTCTATTGTAAAAAGGAGAAGTCAAGTTAATTAAGAGTTTGTATATCTATTGATGTTACTGTTTCTATAGTTACTGTTGCTATAGTAATATATTATCCATCGTTTTGTTTTTAAACTAACCAAGCCATTCTTCTTTGGTGTGGTTGCCGACTTCAGTCAATACTTCAAGAACCTGAAGGAAACCGCGTTCATAATCGCCTGAACGGAGGGCGCGGATGGTGTGGTTAGGAGGAAGGGCGGCCTGAACCTCTGGGGAGATAAGGTTGTGATCAAAGAGGGCGATATCAGACATGGTAAAGAAAGAAGAAAAAGGGTACAAAAGTGATTGATATAAAAGTTCTGATATAATTTATTTATTTATTTATTTTATATATATTTTCTATATATTATTCTAACCGCGGAAGGAGAATCCTTGATTTTAGTTGTGGGAGGTGAGGGGGAGTTGTTAACCACCTGTGAAATGGGCTTGGTCTGATTGCCATGTGTGAGGTTCTTTCCGCGGAATGGAATCAAATAAGAATTTTTAGTTTATTTATTTATTTATAATCTATTTTTACCATGAAAATTTACACTCACACTCACACTCACACTCACACTCACACACTATGGATAGAGAGAGAGAGAGAGAGAAGTAGAGGGGGAGAAATATTGTTATTAAACCTCAGCATGCATTTGCCTTTTCTGCCTTTTATAGACATACTTATAATTTCCTAGTGCTTAAAAATAAAATTACAAATGATAATAATAATATGACCTTTTTTTTTTAAAAAAAAAAAAACAAAAAGAGGAAAGAAAACCTATTTATCTATTTACTTAGAACATCCAACAAATAGATATATAGATATAGACACCCAAGTACACACAAAGCGCACACAAGCATATTCGCACTGACAGTAATAAGAATAAGAGCAATACTTTGGTAGTGAAAGTAAAAGTGCAAGTGCAAGTGCAAGTTACAATAGTAATAATAATAATAATAATAATGCCGCAAAAGATCGAAATGATACACGCCTACATAGTTGCTCTGTGGGCAAAAATAGTCTACTTTATTTCCCAGAACCTATTGCGCTTCATACTACCAGACCCTTACATAGAAGCAGGCAACATCAGAGTCAATGAGAAACCAATGTACGAAAGTAGGGTCACAATGACCGAGATCATCTCTCCAGCCCATGCCAATCTCAAAGTATTTTACTCTTCCTCATTTTTCTGTTTCTTTAAAATAATAATTTATTAATAAAACAACAAACACATGTACATTATTTTCTTTTCTTTTAAAGGGTCTTGCTTATGCTGGTACAATCCTAGGTTGGATTGATATCGCAGCCGGTCTAGCAGCAAAGCGTCACTCTGCCTCTCCATCTGCAAGTATCTCTATTTTGTATCTATTGTTCAATACACAAAGATCACAAAAATCACCCCACAAATATGTATATTAATTTTTATTATCTAATCCTTGTTTTAGGTTACTCGATCTGTAGACGATGTTGCCTTTCTACACCCTGTAAAAGTTGGAGATATTGTAAGTTAAACATTCATTCAATCAATTAAAAACAGTAATACAAAGTTTTAGTATATTTATAAAAAAAAAAGATCACTATCCAAGCATCAGTCAACAAATCATGGAATACATCTATGGAAGTTGGTGTAAAGGTCGAGGCAGAATCACCTCTCACTGGCGAACGCTTCTTTGTGGCCCATGCATATCTCACATTTGTTGCCCTCTCTCCAAGACCCTCTCCACGCACCTTCCTCGGCCGAAAGCTCGCGGAATTCCATCCGACACACGTACCGACAATCGTACCCTTGTCCGACATGGAGAAGAAGCGGTTCGAAATGGCCGAAACACGTCGAAAGGCCCGCCTGGAGAGAAAACTACCTGGTCATGCCGGCATCAGAGAACTTATGCATGCCTGGTCCCAGGGCCGCAAGGAACATGCAGATGACGATGCTCCAATCATACCACATCCCATTCTCAACCAACTCCACCATCACGACAACGATTGCGACGATGAAAGCCAAGCAGACAAAGAAGGAGAATCGGAAAGCCATGACCTGCGCTCTAGAGCCCTCAGTGCCCTCAAGAGAGTAAACCGGAGATTCTCGTCTGATCCAAGGATGGTCCAGCCAAAAGAAAGAAGAATGGAAAGGACCTTTACAGAAGTAGTAGAGCTGGTTATGCCTCAGCACGCCAACACATTGAGTATCACATTTGGCGGTCAGATTATGGCATGGATGGAAATATGCGCCATAGCAAGTGCGAACCGCTTAGCAAGAGCATATCTCTTGACAGCAAGGTTAATTACATAAATAAATACGACTATACTACATTATACATTAATCATTCCTTCTATAAAAAAAATAACTTGACTAATATCATTGTTCATTAATGTAGCATTGATTCTTTGACATTTCTTATTCCAACCCGTGTGGGTGATGTGGTGACTATCCGTGGTATTGTTTCTCGCTCTTATAATTCTTCTATGGAAGTATATGTCTCGGTTGAATCAGGTACACATATATACGCATGTTCTATTTATACGGTACAACACTAATTCATTCAAATGATTAACTAATTGAATTAGAGAATCTCAAGACAGGTGAAAGAAAATTCACAAATGATGGATTCTTCACTATTGGTATGTTAATCACAAAATTTGATAATAATGATAATGAGAAACCAAGATGTATTTTGTGCTTATAAACTTATTATCTCAAAAAATAATAATAAAATCTTTGTTATATAGCCGCTATCGATGATGCATATGTACCTGTAAAGGTAGCCAAGGCTATTCCTCAAGCAGAGGCTGAATATGCTTTGTTTGAAGGCAGTTATGAACGTCGGGCAAAACGTCTTGCTCAACGTACCGAACTTCTCCAGATCATCAATTCAAAAACCCCTCCTAGAAGTCCAGTAGCACACCCAATTGACAAGGCAGCATTAGAAAGCATTTTATCTTCAGTATCAATCTAAAGCCTCTTTACTTTCTCTTTCCCTTTTTGAATATCTATTATATAATACAAATACAAATATATATATATATATATTTACACACAAAATACACATGTAAAAAAAAAAAGTAGACTCTTTTGGTGTGTCAAAGATGGATGAGACGGAGTTTAGATAAAAATATGAGTGATGTACTTTTGACTGCTGAATCTCCCCTCAAACAAGTCATGTCTTAGTCACATCCACCAGTCATGATCTCCTTTTATATATATATATATAATAAAAAGGTGCGAGTACTATATAAAAAAATATATATATATTACACACACACATAAATATATTCTTCTTCTGCATTTTAAATCGCTTTGTTCCTGTCTATTCTTTATACACAATTCAATAATGCCTGCTTCTTGCAAAACTATCTTGGCTTCGCGTGTGTCTGCTTCGTTTAGGTAACTTTATCAATCAATCAGTCAATCAATTTAATTTAATTTAATTTAATTTAAATTTAAATTTTGACTAATTTCATTTAATAAGAATTATACTAATAGCTAAAAGAAAAAAGGATAATACTATATATAAAACTAAACACATTAATCATGTAGAGATCAGATCAAGCAAGATATCAAGGAAAGAAACATTCGTCCTAAGCTTGTTGGCTTCCTTGCAAACGAGGACCCTGCTGCAAGCAAGTATGCCGAGTGGACAGCAAAGACCTGTGCTGAGACTGGAGTGGAGTTTGAGTTGCGCAAAGTAGACAAGAACGACTTGGAAGAGAAGATTACAGAAGCAAACGAAGACAAGTCTATCAATGGCATCATGATTTACTACCCAGTCTATGGTGGAAAACAAGTAAGACCACTCAAATATTATATACCTTTATCTATATACGTTTGATTTTTCTTAAAAAAATTGTTTTGGTTTCTGACACACAATATTGGTGTTATTTTTTGTAGGATCTCTATCTCCAGAGCTGTGTCAGTACTCTTAAGGACGTCGAGGGTCTTTGCCACAAGTTTGTCTACAATGTTTACCACAACATTCGTTATGTTGATGATAATGAAACCATGAAGTGTATCATTCCATGCACACCACTTGCTATTGTAAAGGTAAACTATTCATCTTCTCTTTTCTTTGTTTATAATCATTTGATTTTGACCTGTCAATTATTTTGTACATTTACACAGATTCTCGAGTATATTGGTGTCTATAACTCAGTCTTGCCTTATGGCAACCGTCTTTATGGTCGTACCATTACCGTTGTAAACAGAAGTGAGATTGTCGGTCGTCCTTTGGCTGCTTTGTTGGCCAACGACGGTGCAAAGGTGTTCTCGGTTGATGTGAACGGTATCCAGGTCTTCACCCGTGGAACAGGCATCAAGCTCTCTGCCCACAAGGTCGAGGATGTCGATCTCAGCGTCGAGGAAGTCGTGTCCCAGTCGGATGTTGTGATCACAGGTGTTCCTACCCCAAAGTACAAGCTGCCTACTGCTTACCTTAAAGACGGTGTGATTGCAATTAACTTTTCTTCATTTGCCAACTTTGAGGACGACGTCAAGACTCGTGCCTCTATCTTTGTTCCCTCGGTAGGCAAGGTTACTGTTGCCATGTTGGAACGCAACTTGCTCCGTCTTCATGATTATCAGAACAACTTGACCGAGAAGACAGTCTAAGTAACATTAGGCAACAGCAGCAGCAACAACAAAAACACTATCGCCTACATTATCATTAACAACATCACCACAAACACTATCATCATCATTATCATCAATTTGACCTTGGAGATACTATATTTGTATATTGAAAGAAAGAAAGAAAGATAAGACAAAAAAAATACACCTTTCCAACATATCCGGTTTTTAAAAGAAAGTGATAACAAAAGAAGTGTAATAGAGAAAGAGGAAGAAAGAAAGACATCAACACCTTGAATATGTTTATTTTTTTTTCTCTTTGCTTTTGTAAAATAAATGAACATATAAATATCCCAACTTAGAATATAAACCATTGATTCCATTTACTTTCTCTTTATATCTCTCTTATTTGCTAAAGAAGTGTGCACAAATACACATACTCACACACATATGTGTACTTGTAAACTCTTTGTCTACCAAGCTCTTTTATGTATTGTATTTAAAATAAAATCTTTAAAAAAAAGGATGTGACTTTTTCCTTACACAACATCCTTATTGTATTACGTCAGTTGTAAACGCGCAACCTGCAAGAAGTACATTGTTTCCTCTCTTTATCTTCTTCTTCTTTGTCTTCTTTTCATTATTCACAACCGATAAGATCTTGATCTATCCATTCTCTAATGCCACGCGAAATCATCACTCTCCAAGCTGGTCAATGTGGCAATCAGAGTAAGTGAGATCCACATTAAACGAATATACCACATTAGCAGAAGCCATTTTAAGAAACAGAAGAAGAAGAAGAAGAAGAAGATTATACATACACAATGATAAAGAAAGAAAGCAGATCTTGATTAAATATAATAGTGCTAGTATTAAAATTAATGTCAATGTCAATGTCAATGCCAATTTCAACATTAATACTTATATCAATAATAATAATAATAATAATAATGAATTAAATATATCTATATCTACATCTATATCTATGCCTGTATATGTACATGTATATCTGTGTATATGTGTATTGAATTTAGTTGGAAGTGAATTCTGGCGTCAACTATGTGCTGAACACGGAATCAGTAGCGACGGTACCTTAGAAAAGTTTGCTACAGAAGGAGGAGATCGAAAGGATGTATTTTTCTATCAGGTAAAATAGAAAATAAGGATAGACACACACACAAATATATATACATATAAAAGAGTAGCCTTGAGAATGACGATTGTAATGGAATTTAGGCAGACGATGAACATTACATTCCACGTGCGATTCTACTCGATCTTGAGCCAAGAGTAAGCATTGCTTTTTTTTATAAAAATAATAATAAGAATAATACACATATAATTCAATTTATATCTATATATCTATATATTTACTCTATCTTTCTATCAAATAAAGGTTATCAATACCATTCGTGAATCTGCATTTGCCAATCTTTACAATCCAGAAAATATCTATGTATCAAAAAATGGCGGAGGAGCAGGCAACATTTGGTCCAGCGGTTATGCTCAGGGAGAGACAGTCAGTGAGGATATCATTGACATGGTAGATAGAGAGGCAGATGGAAGTGATTCTCTTGAGGTAAGAATATAAAGGAAAAATAAGAAAGGAGAGAAATAGACGATAGCATTTCAAGGGATAAAAATCCAATACAATATACCAATGTTAACAAATACAAACATAATATATATATATATATACACAATAAAAGGGATTCATGTTCTTGCACTCAATCGCAGGTGGTACTGGCTCTGGTCTTGGATCATTTTTACTTGAACGTCTAAATGATAGATATCCCAAGAAGTTGATCCAGACATACTCTGTTTTCCCCAATGCCGAAGAAGTATCTGATGTGGTTGTTCAACCATACAACAGTATGTTGACATTAAAGCGCCTGGTTCACAATGCGGACAGTGTGGTAATATATAATTAGATATATATATACATACAAATAGTACATATACGCATACACATATGTGTGTCAACTAATTTACACAGTGCTAAATAACCAAACAAACAAATGTTGCTGTGTGTATTGTCTTTTTATGTTAGATCGTTTTGGATAATTCTGCTCTCGCACGTATTGCAACTGACAGTCTACACATCAAGAACCCAACCTTTGAACAAACAAATCAATTGGTAAGTGTATATAATGTAGATCGGATATTATCTGCAGGAAAACTCGTTTTTTTAATAATAATAAACACTTTTATAAAAAGGTATCTACTGTCATGTCGGCTAGTACAACAACCCTGCGTTATCCTGGTTACATGAACAACAATCTTGTCGGAATGATTGCTTCTTTAATACCTACTCCAAGATGTCACTTCTTAACTACTGCATACACACCATTTTCTAGTGAGCAAGTAGAAGAGGTAAAAAGAAAAAGAAAAAGAAAACTGGTCTATGTCTGGTTTATTTATTTATTTATTTATTTATTTATTTATTTATCTATCTATCTATCTATCTATCAAATGATTATAGGCTCAGTCAGTAAGAAAAACTAGTGTTCTGGACGTAATGCGAAGATTATTGCAACCCAAGAATCGAATGGTTTCTACAGTACCATCAAAAACCAGTTGCTATATCTCAGTACTCAATATTATTCAAGGTGAAGCTGATCCAACTGATGTATGTATTCTATTATGGTGCAGTGTAATTAATGTACCTGTAGTTTGTATGGGTGTGTTGTTTTTTAACAAAAAGTTTTCTTTGCTTATTTATTATTTCTTTTGTAGGTTCACAAATCTCTCTTGCGCATTCGGGATAGTAGGATTGCTCCTTTTATTCCATGGGGACCAGCAAGTATTCAAGTGGCTCTGTCTAAAAAATCACCTTATATCCAAACCCCACATCGTGTGAGCGGATTAATGCTGGCCAATCATACTGGTATTACTTCTGTAAGTGCAGCCTTTTGGGTTTTATTATTATTATTTGTATTCCTGAACTTTTTCTTTTTCTTTTTATTGATCCTGTTTGAGAGTAGCTATTGCAACGTACATGCGATCAATTTGATCGATTGATGAGAAGAAATGCATTCTTGGAGTCATATCGTAAAGATGCCATCTTTTCAGACGATCTAGACGAGTTTTCTGATTCTAGAGAAGTTGTGAGAGATCTGGTAGATGAGTACAAGGCCTGTGAGACACCGGATTATGTGAACTATGTAAGTAACAGTCAATTTATTTAACAATGGCTAGTTAGAATAAAGACAAAGGGATAGATTTATAAGTAGACGTCATAAGACGAAGAAAGAAAGATTTGGATGTGTAAGCATGGCACAACAGCTTCTTCTTCTTTTTAAACAAGGTTTCTTTTTACAACCAAATCCTTTATTCGTTTTTTTACTTTTTATATATATATATATATATTTGCATTTTTATTTTAGGGATCGAAAAAGGCACAAAAGAGAAATGATATGGAAGAGTAAGGTTAATTGCCTATAATATATATACTTCTTCTTTTTAAAAGAAGTTCTCTACTTCTACCTTTACACGCATATGTATATGTATATATCTAAATTATTAATGTAATAAATGAATTTATGGTTATTTTATTTTTGAAAAATAAATAAATTAAAAAGGAAAAAGTCCGGGTGAATATTGAAAGGAAGAAACCGTAATCTTTCCGCTATAATATTTTGGATTCAATATGTTGGTTCGACTAGAATGAAATTAGCATCAAAGGTCCAATAAGTGTATCACAAGTATTGCCTTTATTACTATTTGTTTCTGTAGGATATTCTTCTTTTTTTTATATACACAAGTATTCTTTACAGAATTAAAGCATATACACATACAAAACAAGGTAATTGATATACGGATCAAGTCGCCTCTCTTCCTATTGGTAATGTTTAATAAGCTTCCTCTCTATCCCTCTCCATTCCGTGCCAACGTAAGCATTGTTATAAGAACATAGGAAATTGAATTGGTTGAAAGGAAGCCCTCTCCTTTTCTCTTTTCCGGTCTCTGGTTTTAACCAATGCCAGCAATCCTGAGATTTAAAAATAGAAATCTCCTCCCACAGCATTGAGAGATGATGAGTGGGCATTGTTAAGCATAGACAATATATCTCAGGAGCAATTGGTTTAAAATGAAGTATGACCAAGTTATAAAGATTTCTTTAAGAAAAAACAATTATGACTAACATTTTTATGCCTTATATACATCTATCTATCTATAGATATTTACTTACATAACATTTCATAGAATAAAGCCAATACCCTTTTGTTTTTTTTTATTAGTGATTATAATGCTTTTAATTACAGAAGAATATTATATCAGATAAAAGGTCATGGTTGCAAGAAGCAATGTCATGAAAATATTTGGACCGCCTTAAGTGTGTATCTCCAAACGCAAAACACTGTGCGTTTTGTTTATTTGTTTGTTTACTGGTTTGTATGTAGCGTGTGACCAAGTCCAGGAACCAGTTGCTTTTATATGAACGGTTCTGTTGTACTCGAATCGTACAAATAATTCAGTAATAAGAACGTCGAAACACTATGACGTTGATTTTTATGTAAGAAAAAGAAAAAGGCGAGCGATTTGATTCAAACATGCAGCCAAACAACTGGACCAATTATCGATATGTTCCATGGCTCACGTAACGGTGATGAAGATGGTGCTCAAAATCCACGTGACAAGCGGGGGGTAAAGTTTGAATGCAACAAAAGGATCATGCCATTAGCTTTTTTTTTAACAAGTCACGAAATTTGACGTTCAAAAGGATATTCAATAAAAATCTCGGGAATGAGTTTAAACGTTATATATATATATACGAACCACCTATACTTTTTTATGTATATATTCTTATTTTAATATTTCACTACATCTATCCTTTTTAAATTTTTTTAAATTTTCTTCTTCTTCTTCTTATTGTTATTACTATTACTATTATTTATTAAACATGGTTGGAAAAGTACTCTCCCCCGCCCAAGAAAAAGAATGCGACAGAATTGCTTTCAACAACGGTCTCAAGGGTGCTGCCCTGGGTCTCGGTTTGGGTCTTGTAGCTACTGTCATGACTTTCCGTCGCTCTCCTGAGTTCAGAGCACTCAGCAGACCCTTCCAGTCCATCATGGCTGTATCAGGTAATTTGATCAGAATCTATAAGGATATACTTTTTTTATAAAAGTATAAGTTGGTCAAGAAGTTGGTATTAAGTGTGTTTTTTTTTGTGTATGTGTGTTTGTTTACCACAGGCGCTAGTGCTGGTTATCTTTTTGCCGCCGATCGTGCAAGCAGTGCATACGAAAACAGAGTTCTTGGATACACTGACGAAGAAATGCTTACTAGCCTGAACAGACGCCAGAACCCCAACGCTGCTCCATTGTCTACTACTGACCATGTTCTCCACTACCTGAACGACAACCGCTGGACTGTCATTGGTACGTAATTGGACTATTCTGGTTATCTATCTGTTTATTGGATTGGGAAAGGCTTTTTTTAATATATATATATATATATATATATACATATTAAGACTATGCTTAACTTGGGAGAGAGGAAGTGATATAAACATGTAAAAAAGGAGAAAAATAGATAAACATGGATTATTAACATTTGTAAATGTGCTGTGTAGGTGTTTCATGGGCTGTGTCTATGGTTGGTGCTCTCGGTCTCAGTTTCTCCAACCGATTCTTGACTACACAGCAAAAGATTGTCCAGGCTCGTATGTATGCTCAGGCAGTAACCATTGCTGTCTTGATGGCTTCAGCTGGTATTTCGGTCTATGTCGGAGATGACGACAAGAAGAACAGAAAGGAGCAGCCCGATGCCCAGCTCCGTGCTGTTCTTGATCTTCCTAATAACCCTGCTTACTACGAGCCCAAGGCCGTGAAGCACGAAGAATTGAAGCAAAAGTCATCCTAATGTTAATTATACGAACAAACAAAAAGCACCGCCAACCCCCTTTGTATTTATAAATCCATTTTTCTACACGCGCACACAAACACCTTTGCCCTTTGCCCTTTGCCCTTTCCTTCCTTACCTTCATGTAAACCTTACATAATATATTACACCATAAAGACAGTCAGACGGAGAAGAAGAGAAAAAAAAACATTTATATATACATAAATAAAATATCTTACTATAAAGAAAAGTTTAACACACAAACAATATAAAAGATGCTTATACTATAATAGTTTTAATATTATTGAATTAAAATAGGGCGATTTTTATTTTATTTTACAATTTAATTAATAAAACATGGAAAACTGACTTGACCATGTTGTACAAATCACTAGCAAATCAAAGAACTTTGTAGATCCATGCAAAAAGATGGAACCCAAAAACAAACAAATAAACAAAAAGTAGTAGTAATAATAATAATGGTAGTGGACTATTTGTATAATTTCGTTGTTAATTTATTACTTGAATTTTGGTCGCCATCAAATATACACAGTTTCAATTCAAACACTATTTCTTTACTTTTCTTCACAACACACATTAGATTATCAAAATAGAATATCTGCTTGGTTAGTAAGCATCATATAGAAATATTCGTTTGTTTATTTACGTGGGGTAAGGTATCTGCCGTCCTTGTTGTGTATTGATTTGGAGCAAAAAGGTAAGCAAGACAGCCAATAAACTAGTGAATTAATAATCGGTAAGAAAACCAAGAAAAAAAAAAGACACGCCAGATATCATGTTCTCTCATCGGCATGTTCGCTAAAGAATATGAAAAATAAATATAAAAAAAAGCCCAAATGCATCTTTAGTACCCCGTCTCATCCTATAAGCATGAGAGTTCTCTTTCTTTCTTTCGTTCTTCTTATTCTTCTTCTTATTCTAATTCTAATTATTCTTCCTTCTTCGGAAGTACGATGAGTCAAAAATTGAATAATCATAAAAAAAAGGGTCCCTTGGCCCGTAAACACACATTAATTTTATTTTACTTTATTTATATTTAATTTTGACTACGCTGCGAATTGCATTTTGGAAACTGAGTACCAAATTCTCATCCGAAATTTTTCTATCTCGAAAAATTATAGAAAATCTAGCCAATCACATTTAAGTTGTATGTGTTGCTTACTCTTTCCTTTTATGGAAGGTGGTATTGGAGAATTAATCTCTGCATATAGAGAATATATATATATATATATAAAAGGGAATTTTTTGTAAGAACATTAAAAGTAAAAAGAGGTTTATAAAATGCTTGCGAAAGAAATAAAAAAAAAAAATAAGATAGAATAAAATAAAAAAAAGTTAATAAAGAATGATGAAAAAATAATAATAATTATATATATATATATATGTATATGTGATTTTTGTCTTATACGTGATCCTCGTCCATCTCATCGTCTTCATCATCTAAATCATCATCATTCATGGGGATATCCTCCTCATCATCACTCTCTTCTTCTTCATCGTCAGGAAGTGTAATAGGAGCCTTTTCTTCAACGGGTTCGACACCAGCAACAGCACCAGTAATACCACGGAAAGCGTTTCTTACACCAGCGTTGGTTGACATATCCCACACGTGAAGCTTGCCGTTAGATCCTGCAACGGCCAATTGGAATGGTGAATCAACACAGAACTGTGCACTAAAGATTTTGCCCTATAAATCATCAATAAAGCGCACACACACACACAATTTGTTAGTTAAACCCATCATATATTTCTATTGTGTGTGATTATCATTATTAAGCTTACCAATTCAAAGTTTCTGCTTGTAACCATGCTAGGCTTGTTGTCAGTTGTGTTCCAGACCTTGATGGTCTTGTCAGTGCCACCAGTAGCAATGCAGCCGGGAACAATGGGGTTCACATCCAAAGCACTGACGGCACCATCGTGAGCCTGGAGAGTAAAGAGAGCCTTGTTCCCGACACCATTTGTTACGTTGCGGACATCGTAGTATTGAATCAAACCATCTTCCATAGCAACATAGAAGTTGCTAGGGTTGTGAGGATCCCAACGGAGAGACTCTACATCGCTAGAGAGCTTCCATTTGGACTGCTGTCCAGGGGATCGTGCATCCAATACACACACAGACTTGTCGTATGAACCGGTCAAGAAGACAGTAGGCTCAACAGGGTGCCATGACACAGACTGGACCTTGTCTTTGTGGTGCTTGTAAGATTGGACACAAGTAGATGTAGTCAAATCCCACAGCTTCACAGTGGTATCTGCGGAAGAAGACAATATAAAGTTTCTAATAAAGTTAAACTCACACAATTAGTTAATCCACCAATTTGACATTTCATATATATATATATATATATAATTTATTCCCCTGGATATCCCCATTTTTTCGTTGTAGTTTTTTTTTACCTGTGGTTCTTGTTCCATGAAAGATCCATAATAGCATCGACGTGATACTTGTCATTAACCTTCTTCATTCTCTTCTTGGTCTTGTCGGTGTGACCGAGAATAGCAGAAGGGAACATGATGTCAACGGTATCAAGATCCCAGATCTCAATATCGGGCTCAAAGGTACCGATGGCTACATAGTTTCCGGTGGTTTCTCTGCCAGCCTTGGGGCCAGTGTGGAAGTCGAGCCATTCTAAGCAGAGAGGGAAAGAAGGCAGCATGATGTCGTGGTGAACGTAGAGATTGTCTTCCTTTTCTTCAAAAACGTAGATTTCCAAGTGAGAAATATCATCTTCGGTCTTGGCAGCCAAGAGCATATTGTCGGTGGGGAGAACCTCGAGTTCCTGACGTTCATCAGCCTCATCTACACTGTTTTTGAGGGTAATGTAAGGGTCCTCACTCTCGTTGGCGTGGTAGGCAAGGTCCTTGATGTTGGAGAAGATACCGACCTCTGAAGATAATGCAAGGTATACATTAGTTTTTTTTTATAAAAATAATAATAATTTCGATTCACTTTAATTAAATAACACACGCGATTTACATACTCTTGTTCTTGTCGGCCTCGATTTCAGCATCATAAGAGTCCAAGTTGTATTCTGACAGGTCATCGTCCTTTCCAGTACCAACAGCACTTTAACACATATACACACAAAGTCAAAACAATATAAGAACTATGTTACTTGTCATGCTTTATTCTATTCTTTTCTTTCGTCGTTTTTCTCGGCTAAAATAAAGGCAGAACAATAAAATAGAAAAAGTGCTACTTACGCCTTCTTAGGGGCAGCATCGACAGACATGCCTTGAGCCTCGTTCAAATCTTTCTGAGCGTCCTCGAGCTGTTCTGCAGCAAGGTGGCTAATTCTCTCATACTCCTTCTCATCGAGGTTGTATTTCTCGGGGTGCTGTTGAGCAGCGCCCTTACGGATCCACTGAATTGCCGAGATCATGGTGATGAGTGAATTTGAAGAAAAATAACTAGCTCTCAATCTGCGTAAATTTGACTTTCTTCTTTTTTTTTAAAAAAAAAATCGGGATTGAATTATTAGCAGTAACATGTGACTGTTTGTTCTCAGGGCAAAAGATGGCCTTGGGGATATGGAAATAGAGTGTGTGTTACTTTCATAATTCTTTTTTTTTTTGGTAATGAAGTTTAGCCACAGGCAAAGGATACTGAAAAAAAAGAGTATACCAAATTATAGAATTTTCAAGTCTCGTGGATATGTATATGCATTACATGTATCATTTCTCAAAAACAGCAATATTCATATATATATATATATATATATGAAGAAATAATAGACAGGTGCACAATGTGGGGAGGTTAAGCAGACGTCAAGATCTACTTTCATTACGGGAAATATGTTTAATGTATAAGTATTTTAACGTGATTATTAATAGGCAGCAAGATTTTAATAAAAGAAAGCTATTTTGTACTATGAGGTGCTCTATAAAATTTATCTATTCTTCTGTTTGTTTGTTTGCTTGTTTTTTTTTTGACAATAAATTACTTTTGCTCGTGTTCTATGTCTGCTTTATGTTCAAATGTATATCCTTTATATTACAATATTGAAGTCAGAGACATTCCGGTTTCGCCTGTTTGATTTCGCTGTAAATAGTAGTATTCTTGGGACATATATTTAACCAGTCATCTACGCATGTGCCAGATTTTCTCTTTTTCTTCTTTCTTTTCGATCTAGGCAAGGTATGGTTAGAAAGATCAGCTTTATAACCCTTCTAGAATAAAACAGACAATTCTTGACTAGTTCTTGTTTGTTCTTTCCTGTCGTATCTTGAGAATGCTGATATAGACTAGGCTTGTAAAACATGGCACAGCTTTAGAGAAGAAGGAACAGGTTGGTTGATGAAAAGTCTAGGGAAATGACACCAGGGTAAAAGTAAGAAGAATAAAACACAATGAGTCTCTTTTTAACCACAACAAATGTCAGCACCATTGTCAGCACCACCCCTGGTTCTTATTTTAGTTAAACAACTGAAGGGGTTACATGCCTTGTAGATACTAACATACCTGGAACATCAATTATTGTCACCATTGATTTAATTTATTTACTTACTTTTTTTTGTGAGCTGGCACAAAGTCATCCAAAGATAGGTATCAAGTGAGTCGAAGCTTATTGTGGGATCCAGATCACACGGCGTGTTAATACATTGAAATACAAAGCAAGTACTGAAACATATAAATGGCTAGGATTGATTTGTAGTGGGGAAAAGAGAAGAAGTAAAGGAGATGTTTTAACAGAGATTGAGATCAATAACTACGTCTGTCAGTCCCTTTTCCACTTGGATAAAGAGTGGTCTGTGCACAATGAGTAATTTTTTTCTCTCTTGAACTATCAAGAGGTATGCGTTCAGAAGCAGCAAGTAAAGTACGATGTTCCTGCTAATACCGTTTTCGGTCTTTATATTAACACTGGGAGATATTCGGATGTGCCTTTGAGGTGTTTTGTATGTAAGTATTTTTTATGTTGGGTCAGATAGCAGACTAGAAATGTGAGACATTTATATCTGTAAGGAATAACTTTTAAAAAATAATAATAAGAATAAAGTTAAAAGAAACTAGTTTGACCTTGTAGTTGGCTTAACTTGGTATAGCTACCATGTGCAAGATGTAATATATACCCAACAGAAATTTCTCTTCTTTTATTCCCTAATAACCTTTCTATGAATATGTCTGCCATATGTGACTTGAACTAATCTCAACACGTCAAACTATGTAAATTGGCAGCCATAGTAAAGCGGAAAACAATCAAAAAGTTTTATTTAGCAGTTAAGTTTATTTTAGACATATTAACCACTTTTTCTTTGATTTGCACGGTATAACATATAGTACCGTGCAAGAACGACTTTATATATATCTTTAAATATTATTTACTAATACGCCATTTCTTCTTCTTCTTCGCCTTTATTTTATCTAAAAATCCTTCTGTTTGTTCACGTACATTGTTTCTATTCACGCTCGAAATGAGGTGCATTATTTTGAAATATGAACCACCTCAAACACTACCACCCCCTCCCTTAAACATTACTCTAAACATTACGGTAAATAATATTCCTTATACGTTTTTCTTTATTTTATCTATAGTTTCCTGTTGTTGTTGTTTTTGATAAATATGCTTTTGGTTATAGTACTATATTCATTAGTATACACATTGAAAATTAATGATTTATTACTTTTTTTTTATTAATAATAATGCAAGATAAATTATCGTATATTAGCCACCACTTTATATAGAACTAATATTGATCTCAAACTTGTATATATATATAAAGAGAGAACAGAGTATTGATGAATAGACGTCTCCTAATTACAAGTCTGCTTACAGATGGTTATTATAAATACAAAATATAGCGTGTGATTACAGACTTAACTCAATTAAGAATCTAAATAAATTGCAAGTATTGCAAAAAAATAAAATAAGGTCTCTAATACACTAAACTCATTTCCGCCAATTCCAAAAGAAATAAAACCTTTAATCCCACAAGAGAAAAAATGCAGAAAATAAATATGAATATGAGTGTGTGTGTGTGTGAAAAACAGAAAATTAAGCTCAGGTCCTTATTTATACTAGACCATGAAATGTATGCAAATAGATATATATATGTACAAATATATGTGATGATAATAGTGATGATGAAGGTTATTTATTTCTTTATTTCTTTATATGTCTCTTATAGTATAATTCAACTACTTTACAGATACAAACCAGTGTTCATTTGGTAAAGCAGTTTGTTTAATATGGGAATAAGGTTTAAATTTTAAGTGTGTATGTACAACATGTAGATTGGAAACAAGGTTATTATCTTTTTAGTTTTATAAAAGTAATGAGCTTGACTTTCATATAAGTTTATGATTTTTTTCTATAAAATCAAAATCAAAATCAGTTTGTTTATTTGTCTATTTGCTTGTATGGATCATGATAGTGCTGGACCATTTTTAGTCTGAAGAAATCTTGCCATTAAGCCACACAAGACAATATTACAGAATATATATATGTTTCCAATGTCAGGATCATCTAGGAATTTTGTATTCAAAAATAGGGTGGTACAACATTGAACCCAGTTGTATAATTGTTTCATTCTTCTTTAATTTTAAGAGTAAGAGTAAGAATTAGAGTTAGAATTATGGTTGTAATACTTTATGTATGTGGATATATGAGTAAAGAAGTCTTGATAAATACATCTTTGTATAATTTAAAGTATTAAATATAATCAATAAGCAATAAGCAATAGACTGTGCCCTTTAACTGACAAACAGATTAAGATTTAATCACTAAATATGACATTTTTATTATCAGAGAGCGCACATTGAGTTTGAAGCGGAATTATATTATATGCAAAAACCATTACTTTTTTCGGGTTGATGTGTGTACATTATTTAGTCGGCACTTTAATAAAGTAGAAGCATTCTCATGGCACTTTGTGATTTCCCACCTTCTTTCCTTCTTCTTCTTATTCTTATTCTTATTCTTATTCTTCCTCCTTTTATTATTATATTATTATTTTTCTAAAGACACCCCCCCCTTCCTTTTATATTAATATTTTATATTATATTTTAATATATATTTTGGAAAATAATAATTTTTATTCACTCTTATAAAATCTATAAAAAAAGGGTATTTCTGTCTTTCATTCTAAACCTTTTTTTTTCCTCTTCTTCCTCTTCTATCAATATCCTCTATATTAAAAAAAAAAGCCAAAACTTTATATACATTTTTATATATACATTATACATTATATATATAAACTTATCTATATCTATATCTATATCTATATCGTTATCTATATCTATATATTTTACCACTGTATATTCTTGCTACTCCTCCTCCTACTATTACTACTACTATTATTATTATTATTCTGTTCACCTGTCACTTTTTCACCAACGATCAGATCACTCAATGAGCCAAGATCAACCTCATGACACTCATGGCGTAGAAGAACAAGGTTAAAAAAAAACAAACAAAAACACAATAAGAATGACCTAAATAGTATAAACAAGTCAGGGCAAAGAATATATATATACTTATATACATATATGAATCGATTTAATATTGACATAAATTATCTTTTAACAATATGTACCCACACGCACGTACCCACATGCACCCACATACGCACCACACCACACCATACGATACACTACACTAAACTACAATACAATACGTATATACACATATAAATAGCCCGAGATACTCGTGCACGACAGTTACAGTCGTCTCGCCTTCGAATTACACTTTTTAAGAACCTTCAGGTGGAATCGGTTGGAGAACGACGAGAGGCACTTGAGAAGATTATCCAAGTCGTAAAGTCCTTTATGCGCGTGGCTCGGTCGCCATTTTCACCTCTTGCGGCCGATCTATCGCCGGTCGAACATACCACAGCCGACCAGACCCGTGAAGAGATGCGCAAAGAAGAAGAAGACGACGGAGGTACAGACGAACAACTGCAGTACCTCTTGCTGACCATGCTCCGACTCTCCCTGACCTGTCCCTTTAGCGATGTCCGACAAGCATGCCAGGAATTTCTTCAAATTACAAACGTGTGTACAAAACAAGCAAACACAGACATATACCTACATACCTACACACTGACTCATTGGCATCTTAAAAATTAAAATAATAATAATAATAATAAGATGTAGCAGCAGTAGCAGCAGCAGCAGCAGCAAAAGTAACAACAACAATAGCAGCAGCAGCAGCAGCAGCAGTAGCAGTAGTGGTGGTAGTGGTAGTAGTTTAAAAAATATATGACATTAACATATTTTCTATTTATTTATTTTTGGTTTGGAAAAGGATACACTACTTATTCCAGCTCCTCGAGCCAGTTACCCTTCGCCGTCGTCATTTATTGGATTGGATGCCCTTTTTTCACTCGAGTCTACGAGCTCCTATCCACTCGTCAGTTACCCGCGCCCAGCCAATCTATCTTTCTCACCGTGGTCGCATGAGGCCGAGTCGGACGGGATGGACGAGCCATTTGATTTTGTACGATCCCAGTTCAGAGCACAGCGACCTCTGGACGGCGAAGAGATCGGAAGACCTGCGGACGAATATGTGCGCCAACTGATGGTCAAGACCTTTGTCGACGAAGGCCGTCTGCTAAACCTCTTTCGGCTCATGGTCTTTTTCCCAACGTTTTATGAAATCTTTAATGTGACGTACACCAAGACCGTCAAGTCAGCCATCGGTCCACTGCACCGGACATGGAAGTGTTACCTGGGCATTATGGTGCGTAACAAAATAAAAATAAAAATTAATCAATTTGTTTATTTAATTAATTTTATTATTTCTTTTGATTTTACTATTTATTTTATGACGCCATTAACTGAATATCCTATTTCTCTCTCCCTCTCTCCCTTTATTCATTTATTCATCTCTTTATTATGTGGGTGTATATACATACGTGTGTGTGTTTTTTATGGGTGTAATATATATATATATTTATATATATAAACAGACGGCTGCTGAGCAGCAGTGCCAGTACTTGGTATCTATTTTGACATTGGACTTCCTGCAGGCAGGAGGAGATCCTTTGTGGCTAAATGGAACTAGTTCATGCCCACTCAAGCTCAGGAAGCTTGTGGGCCTGGTGCAAAAGATGGCCCGGCAGCCATGGAGGCTAAAGAGTGAGGATCTTGCAGAGTGGATGAGTCCATCGGGATCTTCGCTTGGACAGCAGTGGTCCAAGGGCGAATTAGTGCAAGCAATGCTGGTTATCTCGACATTTCTAGGATTGAGCAGCTTTGTGATGGGTTGTGGAATTACCCCGGAACTAGATATGCGCGGAGGGTATATGACCCGGGGACATGTCCGGCTCGATGGAGTAGAGCATGAATTGGACCAGAGATGTCCACCACCACCGCCTCTTTTGGGCCACTCGGAAGAGCGAGAGGCACGCGGAGCTGCATCTTCTGCCACTGGCTGGCATGATGGATCGCTATCGAATTCTTCGTCCCCATCACTTCCGGGCACCGAAGAAGACGCAGAGGAAAAAAACGAGAAAGACGAGAGAAGAAAAGATACAGAAGATGAAAAAGATGAAGAAGACGAACAGAGTTTGCAAGACAGACTCAGGACAGATCAACTTATATCCCTTCTCAAGTCTACCAAGGATACTGCCCTGAAAGAAGAGCTCCAGGAGAGTCTCGAGAAGCTACAGATGGGTGAGCTCCAGGAGAGCTTGCCTATAGTTACCCCATCTTGTAAGTTCAGAAATCATCATGCCTTTTCTCTTTATTATTGTCTTTATCGTTGCCATATACACATCTTTAATAATTATTATCATGATTATTATATTAATAAGTATATATACATATATAATTTCACACCTTTTACACACACAGAGATAGAGAGCGAAACACAAAGTTATATTTATACATGTATTTACACATGTATGTCTTGTGTTTCACTCTCATTCTGTGTGTATGTGTGTGTGTACATAGATAGATAGATAGTTTATTTAACTTATTACTATTCAAAAGCCTATTTTTTTTTAAAAAAAAAATTCTTCTTCCCAAATAGTAAAGCCCAATTTGACCATCACGACCAACAATATGGAATCTTCTCACCAAGCTAACATGGTATATGAAGATCTCAGTCGATTCTCAGACTCTGGAGAGCCCAATGAACCTGCTCATGAGGAATTCAAAACTAATCACCCTCAATATGGAGAATTCATGCTGGGAGAATACTGCTGGGAAGATCATGGGTGTGACCTTGTCAACCACTTTTTACCAGGGATTGGCGATGATCTTGACGATGAGTTTAATGAGGCCCTGAGTATCACGGACTGGAGGTAAACAAAACAATAGAATGATAATATAAAGAAATAAAAGACTGATTTTCCATTTCTTTGTTAGTATTTTCCACCCAGTAGCCGACGGGGCTGTTGATACGTCTCCTTTAAGACATGCAATTTGGTTTTATGTACAAAAACTGTATGGTGTCACCAAAGAAGATTACAACTATCCCGACATTGCGTTGTATTTGAATACCCGTACCAAGGAATATATTCGAAAGGTTTGCTATGAGCCACACCTCATTCAGCGCATGGACTGGAATTCGATTGGAATCTCCTTTAGACCTGAAGAGAAGTGCCACATGAATCTACTGATCGCATCTGCCAAGAAACAGGCCTTGTTGTGCTATGGCCTATGGTTGATTTCCGAAGTCTAAAACAAATGAATAAATACATAAAAGATATTTATACTATAAATATTATATATATATATATATATATATTACATACTAATAATAATGCTAGCAGCAAAATAATAATGGTAATAATAAATTAGCAGTAATAAGACATTTTGATCTTTCTTTCCTTTAGAAAACTATTCAAGCGATCTTTGCTTTTTGTTTAAATATAACTAAATTTATATATATATATATTTATATATATTTATATTTAAATTATTATTAGCAATAAGCAATAAGCAATAGGCAATAAGCAATAAGCAGTATAATTGTAGCATCAACATCAGCAAATGGTAATATAAATATAGCAGCGGCTGATTTTGAAATTATATTTATTTTGGTTAATTACAAAAAAGAAAAGTAATTTTTTTTCTTGTGTGGCAATCCAAAAAAAGTAAGAATCGCAGTTTTAACAGAAATTGATGTCGTTCAAGAAGTACTTTTTGTCCAGAAACAATGTCACTTTGGGATATAGTCCGTGCCGGACAGATGTTTAATTCGGTATGGTTTAAAGCGTACTGCCAAATTTACCTATAAAAACAAAGAGCATACAGGGAACACAGTCCACACTTACTCCAAGATTCACATTTTGTATAAACTATATGATAAATAAAAAGAAAGGTAGGCAAAGCAAAAATATAAATAAAATCCTGTCACTGTTTTTATAGCAGTAACAAACTCATTATGGGAACAATTGTTTTGTATCTATGCGCTCTGTGTGTTTCAAAATTTATTGCCTAGTTCTACACACTTGTCACTATTCATTTAGATAAATGCTCCATATTGTGCTGTATACATCGCGCAAAACGAGTAGCTATATCTTTATTTGATTTTTGTTTGTTTGTAATTGTTCGATTTCACCTACAGCTATCTTTTTGGATTTATTCAGGTACAAATATTTGAACCAAAAAAGAAAAATGCTCTTTTCTTCTTTTCACATATTTAAAATATGCGGTAGAAAGCTCAATTAACACTATTGAGTTAATCAAGTATTATGATTATGATTAGGCTTATTATTTTATTCATACTAATGCTTCACAAATTTTCAATTTTCAATTTTGATCTATTAAATCTTACATATATTTTAAAAAAGTATTGATACAAAATGGATAGAAATAATAGCTTTTTTTTTGGAATCAATGTGTATCAAAAGGCTAGATCTTATAATAAAATATTTATAAGAAAAAATATATGTATTATAAAAGTCTAGACATCCTCGTATCTCATTGCGAACCAATAGAATTTGAAACCCTTAGATAATTAGTTTCACTTTTCTTAGCAAATAGTAATAAAAAGCTGTAGTAAACTTTGGATCATATTTTTATATGCACTAAATGATCAACCAACTGTCTTTTTTGTGTTTGGTCAACAAAATATACGATGCTCTTGTAGTGAGCCAATTCATTAGACGAGACTTATAATTGGTTATAATACAAGGAGAGTAAGAAGAACAATAAAAGCAAAAAGATTATGTGTAGATATCATTAACTAGCCTTTTCTTTGGGAGTGGTTTTAGGATCGTAATTTGGCTAAATACCAGCTCTCTTTTTCACAATGCAATATAAGATATAAATATATGTAGATGCCTATTAAAGAGCTGTTTGTTACATAACGTTTGTCTTGTATTCTAAATTAAATCTCTCTATAGCTATCTAGTTGGCCCTTTCTATCTATCTTTTTTTTTTTTTTGCTTTAGGTACATTTGGTGGTACCTTTATTCTTCTTCTTCCAAGGCCTTACCGAGCTGGACATCTACCCGGCACGGACTACATGATAAAGTAACATTATTTTTGGACAGAAAGGATTTCTTGAACGACATCAGGGTGTTGAAACAGCGCCTTTTACATTTTGGAATGACTTTATCTGTTGTCCAGTGTGGGCTCTCTCTCTGTTTGAAAACAGTTACGCTGAGTTGAATTTAGAATGAAAGTGGGTTGGGCCTGTAGAACATTAGAGCACGTTGGGATAAAAATAGAAGAATATCAAATAACCCAAGGAACCCGACTCATTCGACTTTACCTCTCTTTCTCTCTTTCTCTCTCTCTCTTTTCGTTTCTTTCTTTCTTTCTTTTTTTTATATATTCTTCTTCTTCTTCTTTCACTCAAAAAACCCAACACATTACCATGAAGCTGTCATTGATCCTTTCCTGCGCCATTGTCATGTTCTCGGCCACCCTTGTCCAGGCTGATAGTCTTCAGGATGAAATCGATGCTGCAACCAAGAAGTTCTGTGGAGGCAAGTCACTTTTTTTTTCTCTTCTAGTTTATTTCATTGTCTATAAATCCCAATTCCAAGCACAACCAACTTACATACAACTCTGCACATAAACAGGCATCAAGGTCACTGCCCCTACCACCAACAAGGTCTTCTCCGACCCCAAGAAGGTCAAGGTCACCGTCAGTAAGTAAAGAAAAGAAAGAAAAATAGTTCAACATCTGTTAACCGAAAATCTATAATAGCCAGAGTCCCCAACTCACTTGCCAAGGTTATCAACGGTGTCGATGTATGTAAACAGGAGATATTTTTTTGTATTACTACATTACACCAAACTAAACTTCCTATTTCCGACCCTTCTCTTTTTCCTTCTTAAAATACATTAGATCTACTCCATTAACTCCAAGGGTAAGCCTACCTACCTCGGTACTCCCTGGAAGGGAACATACAAGCTCACCAAGTCTGCCACTCTTACGTAAGTTTCCTTTTACTTTTACTGCCTTCTTTTTCAAACATTAGACACATCTATTGTATTGTATGTATTTAATACTCATACATAAAATTCCACACACACTCTCTCTCTTTTAGTGTAAATGTCAACAAGGTCAAGGGCCTCAAGTTCCCCTCCCAGTTCATGTTCCGTGTCTGGGTTCACAACACCAGTGGTCCTGATTGTACCTTGATGTCCAAGGTATTCAAGGTCAAGTCTGGCTCTCACAGCAACGCTGCCGAGGAAGATGAACAGATTAACGCATTGGATGCCAACATCGACCGTGGTTGCTTCGGTGTCGATATTACCAACCCCGCTACTGGCGATCACAAGAGTTCTGGTGCTCTTGATTCTGTCCAGATCCAGCGTGATTCTTCTTCCCCTGTCGAAGTCTTCAATGCCCTCACTCTCTTCAAGGTCGATCTTAGCACCCGCGAGCCTGTCCAGGTTGCCGATGCCTGGGCCGGAAACGAGACCGTCCACAGCATGTTCAACATCAAGTCTACTCTTCCCACCGTAGATGCTGCTGATGCTGCTGCCTTTGCTTACTACTACAAGCTTTCTACTACCACCCAGCATGAGGAGTCTTGCGATTTCTACTCCCATCCCTTTTACCTTGATGCTTAAACCATAAAACAAAAAACAAATACTCTTTAAACGTTGAAACAACCAGAATCAACTAAACAAAGAAAAAGAAAAAAAAATCCATCCCAAATCCTATCTGTCAAATCTCTCTCGCTTCTTCTTAGTCGTTGTCCTTATTATTCTCCCTCTTTTATTTTACTTCTTTTATTTTCTTAAATGCATTCAACCCAAGCCTATAAACCCAAACATTTTTAATCTCTATCTTTAAAGAGAGAGAGAGTATAAAGAAATATATATTCAATGAAAGGAAATATCACTGTTTTTACTATTCTATTTTTGATAGTGAAGAAAGATGTATATATATATATATATATATATATATATTGTGTATTGTGTATTGAGTGTGTACATTAATATTGTAATATCTTGTATTCCTTTTTCTTGTAACCACAAATTATATATATATAAATATAAATATATTATATTTATTTATATAAAACTAATCCCAGATCAATTGGCCATGTTCATTTAAACTAGCACTAGAAGCAGGTACTTTAGCAGACGCACGCTTTCCGTTCTTTCCCCATGGCGTGTTTTTTCCCGCTCCAGAACTGTAGAACGAATTGATCTTTTCACGATCCAACTGCTGCTGGTGGCGTCGCAGTCTTTCGGCTTGCAATGCTTCATGAGATTCCTTTTCTTCTTTACGCTTTGCTGCCCGAGCCATATTCTCACGTTGTTTTTTGGTTAATGGCTCAGGAGTACTGCTACTGGAAGAACCCGATGTACGAGGACGCACTAATTAGCCCGCGCACACACACAGACAAAAGAAAAAGCCAATTAATTAAATAATTAATTAATTAAATTTTATACACATTTGTAACTGCTAAATAATTATAAAGTTATACAACTATACATGTATACATGTATACATGCATACACGTATATTAAAAGCTTACCTGATTGTCTACTCCAACCATCTTCAAGAGGCACCGGGGCGAATGCTTCTTCTTCTTCAGTCTTAATACGCAAAACACGCGCAAACCGAGGTGTGTGATCCATGTGTTCGTCAACCTCTAATTCTCTCGTCTTTTTGATCCCCACCGAATTTTCCTCCACAGCCGGTCTCGTGGTTGGTGTTGTCGGTTCTGGCACGGGAATTGTGCTTGGAATTTGGACATCTTGATCTTGATCATGATTTTGATTATTAGCTTTGGCTTTGGCTTTATCTTTGGCCTTGTCCTTTGATTTATCTTTAGCTTTGGGGCTTTGTTTTGGCTTTTGATTGGAGTTTTTATTGTCATTTATTTTTTGAGCATCTTTAACTGATGACTTTAAGTCCAACTCGGAATCTACTGTTGCCGCAGTTGGTTCGACATTCTTCTTCTTTTTGGACTTGTTCTTCTTTTTAGACTTTTTAGCAGATGAATCGGAATCTGTTGTTGAGACCTGAGACCGATAAAAGTAGACCAATAGAACTGGAAGAAAAAGAACGGCAAGAAGACCTAGTTCGCGATACATGATAGTCAGGGTCTGGAAGCGTCAAAGCAAAGCAGTTCAGATATTATAGTATAAGATAATGTGTATATTATATCAGACTATATACTATAAAATATTATGATAGTATAGTATATAATGTATATAATGTATAATGTATATAATAAAAGAAAAAACTGTTGTGGTAAGTAAAAGTGAGGAAGTGTGACGGACAAGAAATATTGAATGTCAGATATACTTTGTTCCTTTTGATAGAAATAGAATTCGATAATTAGATAAAAGGGTTCTATAAGCCATGGTAATGGTGCGGCGGGGGGGTTTATTAAATGTGCGGTTCTTTCTTCTTTTGTGCTGTACAAGTATAATAGTAATTGTTGAATATAAATTATTTTGGTGGCAAGTAAAGACGGTGTGCATGGATATAATCAATGACTGGGTTGGGCAGCAGATATTTAATCGACATTCCGCGCTTAACGAACAACCTATTTCCCCACACACACATATACAACCATACAGCAATACAACCCACCATCCCATCCATTCAAATCAACCTTCTCTTTCTAAGCCAGCAGTCAACTTTACATGGACTTACCGTATCTTTGTAGAGCTAATATCATTGTGGATCAACTGTTTGATCACTGTCACATTCATCTATTTTATTACAGTCCAAAAGAAAGTTATGATTATATGTATAGGTGAGCAATTCACTGAATGTAATAATAGTGAGTCATATCAAGGTACTTACTCTATGCTGGTAAAGGATATCATGCGATAAAAGGAATCCATAGACATCTGTGCCTGTTCTCTCGATAATAACCGATCCATAGTAACCCACAATATGGTGAAGCTTTTATATATATATAATATATTTAACACATGTAAATATCAGACCTCTTAAATAACCAAGTACTCACATCATCGGGGGCCCACACGCCAGGGTGACCAAACGAAGCGATCAAATCTCCTCCTGCTAAAAGCATAATTCTAATCTTGCGCTTTTCACCTATAAAATACCAATTCCAGTCCAACCAAACCATTCCACCCAAATACAAACCACACATACACATACACAATCCGCTTTTCTTCTTGAGTCTTTCAATAGCACGGATCTCCAGCCTATTCAAACATTACCTTTAGATGTCAAAATTCCTCCTCTGATTGTATTTAATTCATTATCAAAATGATCCAATACAACTGCCGTTCTTTGATATGTCTTTTGACGTGGCTCCCAAGAATCCACCATTAACCAATTGGAGGTTGTCTCAACAGCAAGTTTGCACATACTAACACGATGCTCAGCCATTGCCAAACCTTCCTTCATGTAGGAATCCGACACCGGTGAATAATAGCCAGTCAGCAATTCATACTCATTGCGTTCCTTGAAGTGGTCCTGGGCCATTTCTAATATGATTCGATTAAAACATTTATAGAGAGAAAAAAAAGAAGAGTGAAATATGTTTAAAGTGATTCATAATCTTACCAAACATGCGAAGGTGAAGGTAAGTAATAGGTGAAAATGAGCCACAGGCTACCAAAACCAAAGGAATCTTGCTATCATCTAATATATAAATAATAGTGTGATTTGTAATGAGTTTTAAAAAATACACACACACACGTTGTTTCGATATTATTTATTTACCTTTCATAACCTTTGGTAAGTATTGAGTGGGGAATTCATAGGGATCATCAAAAGTTCCTGGAGTCAAATCGACCGAGGTATAAGCCGTCGACATTGAGAATGCTGGTGGACTGGACATTTTTAAATTATTGTTTCTATTCTTCTTGTTGTTACTGTAAATTTATTGTTAAAAATATTATTATTATATCTTTGAAGCTCTTGTATATTGTAACTACAAAGAGGCCAGTAAGAAAATAAAATAATATAAAAACGTAAAAAAAAAAAAACAAAAAGTTGCCGTGGGATTGGTAAAAGACAAGATCAAATAAAGGGAGTTCCAAATATATACAAAAAAGAAACCGATAACTTGTACACAATCTTGATCTCTCAACTCTTACGAAAATAAATAAATATAAAAAATATACCCAACAATTTCAGTCATAATATATCATAGGTCTTGATATCTATGGTAATTGGTTATCGTCGATTTGGATATATACATACGTACATATATACACATACACAAATATGTATATATGTATATTTAAATATTTGCCTTTTTTTTTTATTCATTTTTAATATTTATATATGTATATATATCTTTAGAGGAAGTAATCCAATTCACATCGCTGATAGTTATTATTCTCATCATCATCGATTCTGGGGTAATAAGGGACCAAGGCATCTTGACTGCCGATATAAAGAGTGTTGTAAATCTTCCAATAAACTTCTCGTACTTTACGGGCAGGGTGGAAGAGTCCCTGAAGAGTGTACTGCAGAATTGTTGCGGGTCCAAGAGCGACACGCATGCCTTCAATGGACTCCATTACAGCATTAATGACATGTGGACTGGTTTCAAAGATGTTGGGCCAGATAAAGTTGAGCAAATGTCGAAGAGGCTCTTCGCAACCAAGACCAACTACACCCAGTGACATGTGTTTAATCGTTGCGCATGCAGTCTGTCGATGGACAAGATCACGATCCATCAAAGCATCTTCCAGTAAGGGTGTAACTGCATTGATATAATCTTTACCCATTTCTCCAACATACTCAAAGATAAACGACAATGATTTCAGAACACCATTCTGTACATTGAGCTCAGGCACTCTATATTCGTTCATCACGGCCGGTAAGACTGTGAAGGGCGCACAAGTCTCGGCAACAATGGCAATAGCGACTGTGGTACACACACGGTTCTGACGCTCTTGAACCTTGAGGTTGTTTAGCAGGGTAGCCAGTACGTCCTGAGGTCCAATAGCCTTGGCAATATAACCAAAAGTATTTACAGACGCACGGCGAATACCCTTTTTATGAGCCTTGAGAAGGTCAAGCAACTCAAAGCATACACGCATCCACTCACGCGCAGATACATATTCGGCACCACGATCAGCAATACGACCAACCAGATCAATACAGTTTTCTTGAACCTTTTCATGTCGATTACGAAGAATAGGTGTCAGGCGTGGCAAAAGATCTTTGATAGGAGGTGTCATACTGGCCATACCGATCACATTTACAATACTCTTCAATGCACCAAGAATAGAACCCAAAACTTCGGGGTATTCTTCACCCAAGTATTCATATAGAATCTGACCTAACTGGCTCATCAATTTTTCTTCACCGCAAGTCTTCATTACCACCGCAATACGTGAAATCAAGTCGGCAGCCTGTTGACGGACCTTTGCTGATTTGTTGTTGAGACGCCAGAGAATGGTGTAACAGATCTGTTGCAAGTATGGCTTGATACGCATACCAAGAGCATTCACAACTGTACCAAAACCATTGAGCATGATAACATCCTCAACTGTTTGTTCCTGGAAAGCATACAGAATACCGTCGATCAAGAGCTCTTCCAGACGAGGGTTGATATCAGCTGCACCGAGATTCGACACGACCTTTTCAATAGTCTCCATAACCATCTTGCGGTAGGGCTCACTTTCGTCCTTTAGATCCTCAACAATTCTACCCACAATCTCGGACACACCGACCTTGTTAGCCAGCTCCACGGTCGTTTCGACAACTTGTTTGTAGTTACGGCGATCAAGCGCCATACGACGCACCCAGAAGTGCTTAAAGAACTCGGGAAGAATTTCCTCCTTGATGTACTGAGGTTGAACACCATCGGTTGCAGCACACTGCTTTACAACCTTTAATACGATCTTCTTCATTTCCTCATCAGGAGACTGGAACTCGCGAATAAGAATCAACATGACTTCTTTGGTGTAGTAGTTTGCATACTCGTCGTCCATCAACGGAATAATGTAACCAATTGCCTTTAAGAAAGCAGCCAAACCCTTACCACGATGCTTGCGAATACCAGTCCACAAAGGCTTGAGAACCGAGTCAAAGGATTCAATACCGTAAGGTGCTGCTGCTTCAGCCAAGGCAGCAATGGCAAGTGCAGTGATTGTGCGCACCTTTTGCTGCTCGTCTTCAAGACCGTGACCGATGGCTTCCACAAGGTTCTTGAGATGGGGCAAGACAGCACAGCCTAGCAGAATTGCAATCTGTTGGACAATCTTGATACCGGTGTGGCGAGCCTGCCATGACTTTTTGGATCGGCAGACGGCCTTAAGGAAAGGCAAGAGGGCTGGGATACCAAGTGCAGAGGCAACGACTGAGAATGCACGTGCGGTAGTGTTACGGACATATTCATCAGGATGATCGATATCAGGTCGCATGGTTGTAATCATGGTTGGTAGACCGGCGGCCTTGGAAAGGTTACTGATAATTTCGCGACCTTCGACACGGGCATAATAATCTTCGTCGATCAACAGAGGTTCGATGACTACAAGAATCTTGTGTACAAACGGACGGACAAGATCGTCGAGTTTGTACAGAATACGGTCAATGACCTTGACCAAAAGATGGCGCTCTTGATCTTCAAGGGTAGGGGACATCAACAATGGTAAGATCTGGTTGAACAAAGGTCCGGGTCCAAAGTCTCTGGCTTTGTCGGTAATTTGTCTCAGAGCGGTCTTGCGCATAGGAGGGGTGCCGTTCTTGATTCTCAACAACAAGCGCATAATTTTGCGTTCTTTGAGATCTTCGACTGACATTGCTGTTTCGTCACGCTGCTCCAACAATTTTCCAAAGTGCTGCATATCTTCATCTTTGAAGAAGGGCAGACTTCCTACACCGGGAATCTCTTGGGGCAATTCCATAACGGGCTGACGCACATCATCCTGCATCATAAAGCCTGAGTCACCCATAGGTGTAGGTGTAGCCATTAATTTACGAGCCGGAGTGCGGATGGGTACATATCCGTGGGGAGGATCGAGGATCTTGTAACCTGTTGTAGGGAACATGCTGTCAAGCTCTTCATCTGACAGAGGACGGTTACGAACATCCAATTCACGTTCCCAGCGCATAGAATTTGCAGCCTCAGGGGTCATTGGTACCTGAAGTTTACTGGGTGTAGGTGTCATCATGCCCATTCCTCCGACTGGTGTGGCGCCCATGACATCTCCTCCAACTGGTGTGGCATCCCAGCGGGATCGTTTGCCTGAACTAGCCTTGGGCGTAGCGTCCCACTCGGATCTCTCGCCACTCACAGGTGTGGCATCCCATCTCGATCGTTTATTTGCACCTCCAACAGGAGTCGCATCTGCATTATTATCATGTAAAGGTGTTGCAACATCCCATCTACGCTTCTTTTTTGCCTGTTGTGAATCATCCGCGACACCCTGTTTGATTTGCTGTTCGCGCTCTTTTTCCTTTTGAGCAATAGCAGCGTACACACGCTGCTGTTCTTTTTCCAGCTCGGCTTCTCGGATGACTTCGGAATATGATCGGCTTTCCTGGTCATCTGTACCTTGATCTGCTGCAAATGCGTCTTTGCGTGACGGTGACAGCATTCGATTGAATCGTCTTTGTTGGTATTCATCCTGACGACCAGCAATCGTCCGGTTGTTCATTGTGTCTGCAAATGGATCACGTCCTTCGGTATCTCCGATCGTATCGTTGATGAGGTCTTTTGAGACAGTGTAGGAGTTTAATTTACGTTTTGTTTCTTGGTACATCTCGTCGGCATCCGCATCCTCATCGTCAATGGCGATCGATGTTGAATAACCTTCATATTTGTCGGTAATGTAGAGGTCTTTATCATATGAAACACCTGAAAGACTGGCGTGTTTTTCGTTATTGAGGACAGCAGCGCTAATGTCCTTGTCTGTGATCTGGGCACGCTTTGCTTGCGTGGCTTTGATCTCGTTTTCAATATCTATTGTATACATTGATAAAATAACATAATGAAAAAAGAAAGTTATAAATATTTTAAAGGTTAATTAGATATTTACTAAATGGTTAGTTTGTGTTTTTGTGATTATAATTTTGTTTTGTCCATTATTATTATTTTTACGTACCATCGGCCATTCTGAGTAACGCTTGAGAATGTTCCTTTTGAGAAAGTACCAAAAAAAAAATTAAAGAAATTCGACCTTTTGGACGGGTCAAACGGGGAACGATAGAAGGACCGCAGCTATTGATATCGCGGTTTCAATATTCACGGTCGTTGCGTCACTTGGACTTGTGACGTTTGGTTTAAAGGTTGGCATGAAAAGCTCAAAGGCAAAAAGAAATAGTTGGAAACTTAAGAGAAAGAGAAAGGATATACACCATGTGTCTAAACTTTATTGATGGGATTGAACTAAAGAAAGGTAACTTGTATATAACTTAGAATTTTTAAAAATATTATGTTGACATGTAAGTCGATGTATATATTAAATAAAAACAATTAATTAAAATAGTATCAAATCCAATGATTTATTGACGCTATCAATTATGTTAACTGTTCTAGTGCTAATGTACAAATGATACAAATCGTGTAAGGATGTAATCTTTTCAATTAATATAATACCTGACTAGTCACCCAATGCAAAATTTATCATTCTATAATGAAGTATCTAATTTCACCTGGCATAAAATAATTATAGAAATTTAGTAACACATAAACTGAATATAGAAGGTTTAGATATCGATTTGATCTCTAAAAAAAGATGTCAAGCTTTTCAAATTCAAATTCGCGCATTTTCAGAAAAATTATATTCACTCATTTTCTTCGATAAAAACAGCAGTATTACATGTACATAATATGTTTGTACATCTGCAGCTAATATTTGAAAAAAAAAATGTACCATAGAGTCAAGTATAAAATTTAATAGGAAAAAAATAGATGAAAATTTTTTTCTACTAAATAAAGCTTTGACTATATCAAAAATATCAGATAATTCAAAAAATTTAGTAGCTTTCAAAACCTTAGAAACTTAAGAGGCTTGGAAGACTTGGAAGATTCTAGATGCTTTAAGGATTATAGGCGCTATAGGGTTTATGAGGGTTATAGGGGTCCTAAGGGCTTTAAAGGCTTTAGATACTTCAAAGACATTAAATGTTTTAAATAATTTAATGATATCAGAAACATTTCTATCATATATATTATTAAAAAGAAAGGAAGATACTCTGCATATGACTTATATTTGATCTTTATATTTTTAAAACAACTTTATGAATTACTCTTACACATATAATGCCTTAATATAATTGTGCTCCCAATTGAGATGAACAACAGAGACAAGTGAACATTTAACTATCAATTGAATTTCTGAATCTCTCACATATTGTAGTCAATGATAATTATGCACTCAATTGAAATAAACAGTAGAGAAGGAGCTACAGTTAGGGATAAAATGGCGCACTAGATAGAATTTGAATTTACATAAGAAAACTTTTAGCTATCAATACAGTTATAGAAATTTGAAAAGCTTTCATAAATTTTGACAAATTGGTAGTGAAAATGAGTAGTAAATACTTAAAATTGATAACAGTATAAGAAATATATAAGAAACTTTAGGAAGAAGTGTTATAATAAATGTTATAAGATAAGTATGAAGTGTATGAAATAAAGAAAAACAAAACTAAATCACACGAGTACTACTATTTCTACTTTGTTTTAACCAAAGTTTTCAATTTTTGTATGGGTTATGTTTGTTTTTGTTTTAGTATCAAATATTTATAAGAATGAAATATTTAAATAAACTTGGAAAAACGTTTTTTTCTTTCTTAGAACAGTATTCTTATTGCTTATTAAACTGTCTCAATAGGAACAACCAATCTACCTCGTTCTACTTTAATTACAAGAGAGTGTATCTTTTTATGTTTGATTGTTGTACTGTATTTTACACCTGGCTCTATTGAGATGTGTGTAAGCGTACATATTGATTGACTAAAATTCCTTCGAGACTATACCTTTGTTTTTCTACTTGATCTGAATAACTAAAAATCTCGAGAGAATCTCTCATTTTTTTATTTCCAAATTATATTTTATTCGTTTACCGTATCCTACATTCAAGAAATAATTTTAGTGTCCAAAAGTAATGTTTAATGACCTCAAGTTCTTGAAAATTATCTCAGAGTCATTAGGGGCTTTCTATGATTTGTTGACATCTTTTTATTTAAGGTCCAGTGAAAAATAAGATGAATAATTTGATACTAATAATATAGCAGTACTTACCGCGATTGACCCTTGTTTTTTTTTTAGCAACTCGCGGGTTCTCGAGTTCCATTTATACAGCAAATTTGGCAAAAATTCCCCCTTAAACTATATGCAACACACTTTTAGTCAATGGTATAGTTACAATTACTGATGTATCCTTCCTTGACCATCCTCCGGGAACCTGCATGTTGATATCAAATTCTAGTTGACTACATTTTTCAGCCCACGCTGAAATATTAGCACTTTCAGTCTCAAAATCTTCTGCTGTAGGGTGTTACGTTATATTTTCTAATGAAAGGTTGGGTTCATTTTTCAAAAAGGCTTTGACACTCTTATAATTTAAGCCGAGATTTTCGAATTATTCATTGAGAGAAGCAGTTGACATCACTGACCCAAGCCTTAAAGTAGTTGTCTTAAAATTTTACGAAATATATTTCACGCTTTTCATCTAACTCGATTTTCTTTTATTGACTTTCTTTAACTTTTTTGTCCCCCTTTTTTTATGTTGTACACTCCGTATTCCACCAGCTAATATGCCAGAGTTCACATCATTGAATAACTTCACTATATTAAAGTAAGCATAGTATAATCTCTTCAAGAGCTGTGCCATCTTGGCTTCTTACATTACCGTCTTCGTAGAAATAAAGAAATAAATAAATGGTTATTTGTTTTATTAGCAAGGTACAGAAATCAAAATTGTCCATTGAAATTATATTTCCCGTCCCTCAATTCTAAAACCCGTCCCTCAATTCTAAAACCCGTCTATAGGCGTCGTATCCACCGTACGTAAAAATAGGTATACCCAAGATCGCAAGACCTGAATGGCAATTATCAAGGTGAAAAGTATAAAAATACACAATTGGGCTTTGAAAAGATATATAAAGAAATCTTTATTTTATATTTGTAAGATCCCAATGTTATTTTCAGACTTATTCCTGTCAATTACACAATGGTCCCTGTTCCTTTATAAATCGGAATATCGAAAGATTGCCTTTGGGTATCAAGGTATTAATTATAACAATTGGGGTTAAGCTAAATGAAAACAATCAATATTAAAAGAAAATAAGATAAAAAGCATCGTGAAAGCCTGGAATGTATAATGCAAACCATTTACTTTTTCAATTGGTGAAGTGGTCTGGCTGTATTTATAGATTATAGTTTGCTATACCAAGCTTATCTTGTCCATGTACCTTAAATAATAAAAACAAATATACCAGGAGAGCGAATCTATTTCAATATATAAAAATATATATATATATTCTCTGGGCCTCTTTCTTTTTGACAATTCCAAAATAGTTTTTTTTTTTTTTTTAGATTTGACCTGAATTTATCGGTACAAAGGATTTTATAACCCAACACATCTGGGTTATTAAAAAGAAAGAAAGAAATATAAAACATACAGAATAATGATAAAAACATACAGAAATTTATAATGAATTTATTTTATTTTTTATTTTTTTTTGGGGGGGAGGGGGACCAGATCTTGGTTTTCACACCGTAAGACCTTAATCCAAATATTTTTATTATTGTTATTTTAAGAAATAATATACACACATACATATGTATATATATAAAGAAAAGGGTGTTGTACATTATCTGAATTAAGGAATAGATACATGGTACACCCAATATATACACACCCATGGCTCAAGATGTCTCTAAAGAGGTTATCTTATTGGCCAATTAAATATATAGGAAGTTAATTTATTATCACTAATTTTAATTTTAATATTACTAGTACTATTACTGTTATTATTTGGTTGGTTGGTTGATTGATTGATTGATTATTTAAAATATATATTTGTGTGTATCTTGATCTTATATTTGGCTATATACAATATAGCTGCTATGTACAATTTAAGTAACAAGAATATCCATTAATGAATATGCTTGAGATGTCCAGATTTAATCAGACCTTCAACGTCGGTACGTCGAACATAGAATTGGTTTCCTTTGGAGATATTCAATACCCTTCCCGATTCAGTAATAAGTTCACCTGCATCTTTGATAACTCGGACTTCAATAATAAGGTCTGTAGGTGGTTCAAGATCAACACCGCCATTACCACCAAGATCAAGTTCATAAAAGTTTTGTTTGTATGAATTGACAATATCTGTGTATTCATCAAGAAACTTTTGTTCATTCGGACCAAGACAAGAGTTAATTTCGCGTTGATGTTCGCTTTGGATTCCTACATCCCACGAAAGTTCTTTAAGCTTCTCCATGCGTTGACGATGGTATGCAAAAAGGACGCGCTTATTTCTTTTGATGGCCATGTACTGGAGTAAGAGCTCGCTGAGTTGATCTGGAGTAGGTGGTTGGGGATTTCCTTGGTTGCTTTGGCGCATGTCTGTGATGACCGTATCTGCTTTTGCTTGAAGCATTCGTACCTCTCGACAAATGGTCTGCACAAGATCTTCATTGTAAGGCGACACGAGAATATCTGCTGTACGCTTGGCTTCCTTGGCAAGCTTCTGGCTTGATTCACAAAAGGTTGACATTCTCCTTTGTGTGTGTGTAAATAAAAAGTGCTTATTTTTGGTGATATTAAAATCTGTGTGTGTGTCTCTCTGTGTGTGTGTGTGTGTGGATATTATCTGCTGTATAAATGCTGTAAAAATTATAATAATATCGAATAGGTAAACGGGATGTGACCCAAGTTAAACGAGGTCACATACATTGGCAGATAAAGATAAAGACATATTCTACAAAACCACAGTGCTTATCACGCCAACTGGCTGTGTTTATAATGTATTGTCGGAATACGTACATCTAATGTGCGGTATTATATCACTCTCAAAATATAGTCAGTCTAGTAAGACCCTGATTTGTTTTTATGACTTATTTAAGAGCCGTCTATATATTTGCGCTTTGTTGAGGATTGTTACAAAATATCGGTCTCTCCTGAATGGATCCATTGTTCTTATTATGCTTTTATTATTTAATTTAAGTTAAATTATAGTTTATTTATAATCCATAGTGTAAGACTAGTCTGCATATGTAGCCCTAAAATTTGGTATCAGTATTAATGGGTACATTAAATGTCTGTCTGTTTGCCTGTTTGTTTGTCTGCTTGCTTGCTTATTTGTATTTATTTGTCAACACAATGAGCTACTTTGCAGTTGCCTTTTATCGATCGTGCATGGAAGCGATAAGGAAAAAATGAAATTATTTAGTCATGCTTACATTTGTTTGCGTACTGCCACCATCATCTTGACTATTACCACACCAAGAAGAGATATTTGTGCATCAAGAGTAAGATTCTAATGTGCTTGACATATTATTTAGATAATTTTTTTGACAATAATTATAAATTGTAATGTCTTTAGTGTGTGAGGAGCTCTGTGGACAACGTTACTTAGAGGATTAAATGTTTTTGCAGCAAATTGACACGCACAGCGCTAAAGTGTACGGTCGATCGACCCCAGGTGGATGATATCTTTACAAGTATTAAATGATATCAATATCTATATTATAAATTTATATATGATTACTATGCTATCATCAATTTTTGCACCTCAAAAACAAGATACTGAAAATCCCTAAAAGTCAAAAAATACCAAACGAGTAACTTATTTAGCCGAGAATGTCTAAAAAGAAGTATTCCACGGTAATCTTCATATCAATTTTTATCTCCACTCCTCTAAGCTACTAACTTGAGCTGTCCTACTTAAATTTGTCAGATTGTTTATACACCTCCTTCTTGTTTACAGCATCTCTTCTAAAAAAATCCATAAGTATTAAAATATATAGACACAAGAACTTCAATCGCCAAAATAAAAGCTGGATAATGGTTTTTTTTAAATAGCCAAGTTTTTGTCTTGGAGTCTTCTATTTCTGAAGACCTTCAAACTCGCCTAATTATTTAAGAATATCTTTGATAACATAAGGCGATATTTTGAATATATAATTCTTTTCAATTTACTGGCACTTTATTTTGACGGTTACTTGCACAAAAATTAATTTACGGCTAGAACACCGTCTTTAAAAAGCCAAGAGTTGATTTATGATCGAGGAAGCTTGTATTACACGTCATTTTGTGGAATACTTTGTTGTTATTCATTTCTCCACTTTTATACAGTAGTCCATTCCGTAAATGTTATATCAGGTGAGCTTGTTTTACAGCACCAGTAGAATGAATATATGATAGGCACTTATTATTCTACTTATATTGATTCTATTAACTTGCGAGATTTACTTAATTCCAGCTTTAGAGCATATGAAGACATTTGAATTGAAGAATCATTGTCAATTTGGGTAAATGCGTGGTATCTGAATGAGTTTAGATATAATCTACTAATATAAAGCAAAGTAAGATTCTTTGGACCGTCTTTGTAACAACCTTAAAAACCTTTAGAATATTCATTTTTTTTTACTCATCCTAGCAACCTTTACTATGTCAAACTTTCCACATTTTAATGCAAAGATAGTCTGTCCAAGGACATTAATTTTCTTATATCAATGGAGACATAATAATAATGTTGCACTTGAATTGACATGTTCACTGCCAAGCCATTAATCTTTTTTCAACCAGATTCATGTTACAATGCAGGTAGTTTGTATTCCCATTTTCTTGCTTTCCAATACACGCAAGGCTTTATTTTGAAAAACCGCTTGCTACACATAATGGCTACACTAATAAAGAATACAAGAAAATTCCTATTCACTGTAAATGAAGATTCGTGGTAGATACAAGGTAGGCTCTTTTCTTCATGATTCGAATGCGACCTGACTTCTCAATTACATTCTATGCTTTTCCTCTCAAGTTAATCCCCATTGGGCTCATATATATATACCGTTTCTTGGTCTCTCTGATATTAATCCTATGGTTTTCTAAAATAATATATAAATGCCAAGCATCGTCTTTAGCCTGACTATTAATTCGCCTAAAGATATATATGAGTTGGACTACGGGGCGTTAAAGTTCAAGTTATTCAATCAAACGGCTCTAACCCCGTTCGATGCTTTGTCCTCGTCTATTTCCGCCTGTTCTCGTCTGTCCCGCCTTGCACAGCTACCCTACTGCCATCTCTTGGCCAGCTGACTCCCTGTTTATCAATTCCAAAAGTTCTCATTTTAGCAAATGTTTCCCCAGCCTTTCTCTGTCTCTCAAACTACTCACCCTTATCCGACTTTACACTAGGGCTGGGTTGTGTCCATCCGATTAATTGCATCGGATTCTAGTGCCAATAAAAGTATTGATTAAGAATGTTGTTCCCACAAGAATTTTGGGAAACCTGTTTTGTGTCCGAGAGCCATTATCCTGTAGCTCAACTCTTATCTAACGCTGCAGGATTTTTTTTTATTGTTTATTGGAAAGCAAATAAATAATAAATACTATATATATACGTGAGAAGAGCTATGGTGGTTTCCGTTTCAGCGCGTCGAATAGCTAAGGTGGCCTGCGGCAGTACTGTTGGCGACACTGTAGGATATGGCAGAACTTATAACTCCAGACTCATATATTTTCTATGATCACCGAGTTATAAATCTTGTCATTTTCTTCAGCGTATGTAAAAGAGAGAAAAATTGGTACTGAATTAAAATTCAGCTATAAAACACACTTTAAACCCCGGAAAACTTGCAACAATTCACTAAAATCGCCTTTATTTTTCTTTATAGGGTAAATCAGTATCACTGATTTTATCATTCTATCAATACAGCCAATTGCCTCACCTTCCTTTGTTCCACACAAACCACTGAAATTCGACTCCCATGTTTTCTTCTTCTATCAATGACTCGAAGCACAATGATAGATTGTTCTCTTTTATCCCTCATTATTTTGCTTATCGTCTAGTTAAAATTCTCTGAAGCAGCATTTCTCTTTCTCTCTTTTTTTTCCCCATGTCTGTTGTCTGATTAACGCGATTATTCCGAAAAGCCGGTTTCAAAAGACAATCATAAGACTAATGCTTCAAAATAAACAACGAAGCATGGATATATTCTTCATTTATTAAGTCATTCACTTATTATCAATATTGAGTACTCTTGCTTACATCGTTTTCTTCTTCTTTTTATTTTATTTTATTTAAATTCATTTACTTTCCTTCTTGATAAAATACTACTTTTATCGTATTTCTATACTTCTGTTCGATTAATCTAGAAAACTAAGCTCACAATTTCTCGGCGCGAAAGCTGCTTTTGTATGTAACAGAAACAGAAATAAAGCTACTGTGTGTCACTAAGGTTCAAAATGAGCACTTTAATGTTGGTGATTGACCCTGTGTTTCACCACAAGGGTTGGTGGATGTGGTGTACACAACTGACAGTACTCACCGCTCTTTGCTTTGAAAAAGCAGATTTAGCAGTTTCTATTTATCTATCTATCTACCCTTATCTTTGCAATGTGTTAATCTTAACCAAATCGAAACAGCCAGACCCACTTTTGCAAACAAATATATATATATATAAGAAAAAAATATCAAGCTGCTTGGTAAATGTTAGAAGTTGTGTAAACCACAATCACCAGCCTTTGTCGTGAAACATAGGGTCCACCACCAGCATTAATTTGCTCATTTTGAACCTTAGTAACACGCGGTAGCTTTTACGCTGTCAAAATATTGGAGTCCTTCAGATACTTATAGGTATACTTAAAAAAAAAGGAGGAAGAGGTATTCTGAAACCTAAAAGATAAACAATAAAAAGAAGAATAAGTGAATACGATAAAATGATCAGGGAAATGAAATTATTTTAGGGCAGAGAGCAGTTGAAGAGAGAGAGAGAGAGAGAGAGAGAGAGAGGTTAAATATTATGAAACAATGGTATTCGTGAAATAATATGTTATTTAAGTTTAGCTATTTTGTAGTATTTCTCTTTTTTTTATTGCTATTTTATGAATAGTTTGCGTACAAAAAGTGTAGTGGTCTTTTGAGCCTAATTTTTAGTTTCTTGAATTCAAATCACTTGTTTTAAGCTTACAAGAAAATAAGATGGACATAGATTATACCAGTGTCTTTATTTGAGAAGGGACTTGGCATGCAAGAAATGTTTGGGATCGAGAAAGAATATATGATCAATGATCAGTTTCATAAAAAAAGATACGGGGGAAATGTAGATATATAATGAACTTCATCCATTCTGCATTTGGCAAGACCATTATGGACAATTAATACCAGCTGGATAAAAAAAACAATAAGGAAAAAAAGATGATGCTTATACTTTATAATACAGTCGATTTCTCAAAAAAAAAAAAAAGAACAAGACCCATTCAATTCAAATAGGTCATGCTGAGGGTCAGATTGTTAATGTTTGTTTAGTGCACACTTGAGTACAAGCTAAAACCAAAGCGGGTTATTTACGATCAACAATATTTACAGTACAAATGAAGAAAAATTAGCGAACTTTATTGGAACGCTGGTTTAATTTGAAGATGAGGCTATGAAATCGACTACGGATGACCCATCTCAAGAGTTTACTAGGAGATGGGAGAATCTTTTTTTGAGTATAACGATGCTAAAAAAAAAGCTCAAATTTAGACGAATTAAAAAGAAAAACTAGTTGTAAATCAAACTGTTGCGAAAAATAGTCAAGAAGCATCCAAGACTCGAAACAGAACAATGGGATTACAAAAGAACAAATACTATATAAATGACCCCAGTAAAACCCACAGTTGTGTTTATGTTACTTGGTGCAGTCTTATTAATAAACGAAGAGAGATACTTCAAAAATGACTAAATTTTTTCGCGTATAGTTGCTTCTAATAATCAAAATGCACTATTTAAGAAATCACTCGAGCTATTTATTAGCCTAGTTTAATCATTGAAGAACAGCTATTATTACATCTTGAAGAGATGGCTATAATATCAACCTTACAAATGAGTACCATTATCCAATTAATATCTGCAGGAGCATATAAACTTGTGCTAATTGTTTTTTATCAATGAATTATAATTTAATTTGCATTAAATAAGAAAGAAATAGATTTTGTTCAGGAGGGCTTTCTTTTTTTTTGTGACAACTCTTGTTGAAGCGCAAATAAATGCAAAAGGGTTTATAATCAGTCGCATAAAATAAGCGGTGATTTAAACACAAAAAGAAAATGCCGCTACTAGGAAATTAACACACAGATAATCTTAAATATAATCCCCGACAAACGTATTTAAACCCCGTAACTTGGCGTTTTGAACACTACAGTAATGCCTTTTTTGGTTGAATTGAAAGGCTGAATTCCTTTTTATCTTTTTTTTTTTATTTTTGGTATGTATGCGTGTGCGCGTTTGTGTGCTTGTGTGGAAACTTTAACTGTATCTATTGAGGTACTGGGTTAAATATCCATATTGGACTAAAAATAATAATGATGATGATGATAGTTTTGAAAGACAAGACGTTTGAAATGATATGTGGTTTGATAGAACCTATTGTTTCCTATATTATACGGGTACTTACATCGTCGTCATCATTAATCTTGGTGACAATTGGACTAAAATAATCTTACTTTTTATTTATTTTTTTGGGGGGAGGAAAAGGGGGAGAGAGAATGAGGAGGAGGAGGAAAAGGTCCAGCATTTGGAACCGTCAAGTTGCCGGCCCAAACTGATGATGATTCTAAATTTGGCATGCGAGGGATGACACCAAAATTGGAAGCAGATAGATAAAGTAAAAAAATGAGATGAATACACATATACAAATCTATATATATAAATATAATAGTAATAGTAATAGTAATAGTAATTGTAATTATATAATTATATTATGTATAAATATATAAAAGGCGCTTGTCTATGATGGTGTTCTTTTTTTTTGACTTTCTGTATAAATAATAAGCTTTGATTTTTTCTTTTTTTTTCTTTTTTTTCCCTTCCGTTCTTCCTTTTACTTTTTCTCTTATTTCTCTTACCTTCGGCTCTTCCCTTTGGTCGCTTATTTCTCTCTTCTTCTCTATTACCCTCTGAGAATCTCAATCATCTTTATCTCATAACAAAATGGCTCGATTCCTTTCAGCAATTGTTCTTTTCGGTCTGTCTCTGTTCAGTGTCCAGGCAATGCCTCTGTTCGATGCCGATTTAGCGGCCAGTCCTCTGTTGTATGATGTCCGCCTCTCTTATCGAGCAGCCCCTAGAATGGTTTCAGATAAACAGGCGCGCGTATAAATGCATTGTCCAGTCGCCTTGTCTCTCTCTCTCTCTCGCACTCCAAACCGCCATTTTTTGTATAAAGAAAATAACAAGCAGAACAAGCCTATTTTGTGTATATTACTTTCCTTGGGGTTTTATATTAATCAGTTGATCTAGATTTTTGCCCCTATTGTCCCTCTCTCTCCCTCTCTCTCTTATATTCATTCATTCATTCATTCGTTTATATATTTCATATATTCATATATTCTCTCTTACCTTGTTTTCTATCTATCTATCTTCTTTTGTTCTCTTGTTAGACACATATAATATAATACACTTATTTATATGTGTACATATATAGTGATGAAGACATGACATGATGTGTGACCGGTTCGTCCCACTTGAAAAATAAATAAATAAATAAAATAAAATATTTCTTCCTCCTACCTCCAGATACATACACATACACACATAGGTTTATATAATAGGCTCGTATTTGCATGATGGTCTAAACAAGAGCATTTAATTTCTGGAAATCGGGCATTATTATTATCACTACTGTATAAATAGTTGTAAAATTATACAAAATAATTTTGATAATGAATCTTTTGTTTAATTTGTTGGCACATTTACTTCTACTTTCTAAGAAAGAAAATAAATACATAATATACATATACAAATATACATATATATAGTATAACAATGAAGTTCTGTCATTAACAGAATTGATATATTTCTTTAAATATAAAAAAAGAAAGAAATAAATAAAGGGAGAGAGAGAATGGTAAAGAGAGATAGAGAGACAGAGAGAAAGGGAGGGTCAAAAAAGAAGAAGAAAAAGGACAAGTAAAAAAAAGGTAGAGAGAGAGAGAGAGAGAGAGATAGGATTTAATGCTTTAATGCACTTGTATAGTCAATGATGATTTTGCTTTTTTTTTTAAAAGGATGAACCCTCTGGAGGCTGGGGCAACTTACGGCCACTTGTGCACATCTCCCTAAAATATAGTCAATAGGTATACATAAATATAAACTCTCCAGACTTTCCAGACTCTTTTCTTTTTCTCTTCCTCTTCCTCTTCTTCTTCACATTCCTATTCCTATTCCTATTCATATTCATATTCTTCTTCTTCTTATGTTTTTACCTTCTCAATTCCAATAAGATTGTCTCGATAGTATATGAGCGTTTCCATTGTGCAAGACAAGGCAGGCGGTTAAAGTCAACCTAGAAAAGAAGAATAGGAGGAATAATAAAAGCCAAAAAAGAAATTTAGACATTTTACACGGAAATTCCAAAAACACCTGACTTACAACACCATTGTGAGGGTTCACACAAGGAAGATTTATTCTCGACACAAACTGCACAGACGGGGGTTGGTCAGGGTAATCTTCACCACAGTAAATCTTTAAGCTATAGATACGGTTCTCATGAACAGACTACAAAGAATACATCAGTACACATACACACCCTTTCTCTCTGTTTATATGACGCTGAATCTCTTTATCTATCTTCCTCTATTACTGTCAATAATATCACTGTCATTGCCACTGTCACTTCACTGTCACTGTCACTTTCATTGTGTGTGTGTGTGTGTGCGGGTCTTTCTCTCTTTCTATTCAGATATACACATTTCACATTCGTGTATATCTCACAAGCAGTAATTATTCCCGCCTTTTTTTTTTTACTTACAACAGGAGGTCCAAGAATCGTAGCATGCCATTTGTGCATCAACAAATCATCATCGGCCAATCCATAACTGCAATTGCCATCCCCGATACCCTTTTCACCCTTTTCCAACTCTTCCAACAAGCGAAAGTTACGAGGAACTAGAAGGTATATATGTATATATAAAAATGTTTAGTCATCAGCATATATTCTTTAGCACCGAAGATTTGTATTCACGGTTTCTTATAGTGCTTTCTATACTATTCTTATTTATTTTTATTGCTTGGATAAATGGACTACGTAATCATTGTACATTACAATTACTACTTCTTTAAGTGCTACTCTTAACAATTGCTTTGACTGTGTGTTAATGTGTTTATTACATACCTTGACCCATTTCTCACAATTGTATATCTATAACAAACAACAACAATAAGAAAGAAGAAGAAAAAAGTAGTAATAAAAATTAAAAATTAAAAAAAAAATACGAACTTGAAAAATAAAATAAGAGACAAGACTTTCAAGTAAGCTTTTTGTGAGAGGGGGGCGATGGAGGAGAAACAAGACAGTGGCGTTTGGTGAGATTATTATTATTTTAAAGTCCCGGCCATGCGTCATCGTTGATGAACAAACCTGGGCTATATGGTGTGTAAGTTTATAAAGTTGTACACACACACCCACCTACACACACACACAAACACACTTATTAAATAATAACTAATACGCTACTCTTTGATACTACAAAGAATTGGAATCGTTAAATCAACAATTGAGATGAAACGCTTTGTTGAAATTAAACAATCCATTGTCCCATAGTCGCTTGGTAATTTGTATAATAGAAAATAAAGTCCATTATATTGCCATGGTATTCATAGATAGATATGTATGTATGTATTGTTCTGTAGACTTCTTGACTTAATTAACTAAAAGTCAATTGGAATTAAACAAGCCGAGAAGAAGAAGAAGAAAGAAGAGGTTTACTCATAGTAAACCTGTTTCTTGACATTCACAAGACCCACCCATCATATTTATACACATATTCAAAATAGCGACCCGGAAGTCTTCCGATCTTATTTAGCAACCGATCAAAGACTTTTTTTTTTGAAGAGATTATTTTAATTTATATGTGTATATATATAATATATAACAATCAAGGACATATAATTTATAATGTACTGTATGTAATCATATATACTCTTATCACCAAGATATATATCTTTATTTATACTATTCTATAATATTCTTGCTCTTGTTACACTTGTACAATACTCATCCGTACACAAAAATAAAAAATAAAATAAAAGAGGGGGGTGAGGAGGAGAAAGAAGGGATGTCGATGATAAGCGCACACAAGACGGAAGATAAAGAGTTGTTCTTTTGAGTGAATTTCATTCAAAAGAACAAGTCTTGTATCATTTACTAAATCAAACAAGATACATATCTATATCTATATCTATATATGATATTTAACTAGTATTAATAATATATTAAAACACTTTATCTAATTATCAACCAATAAACTAAGCGCAAAATTAATATCAAATATTTATCTATTTACTTTGTTTTAATTAGAAAATAAAATGGCAATTGAAAAATCATTAGGAACTAACTACTAACTACACAAAGGGGGGAAATACAGATGGTTCTTTTTTATTATTACTATTATTTATTTCTGTAGGTACAACATAAGAAATATTTTAAATTATTGCTATCCTTTATCATTTATTCTCAGAGACCAAAAAAACTACTAATAATAATTAAAGGGCAATTATGACACCATCTGTTGGAGACGTCAATTCGAATGATCTTATTTCACGAATATCAGTCCAAATATCACCAGCATAAAATCGATCCCAGGGGGGGGGGGGGATAAAGAAAGACATACATACCCTTACAGACAACAGGATCAATTCACACTTGATTACAACATATTACATAAAGTACCTGTTTTTTAAAAGGGATGCCTGACATACATGCATAGATCTTCGTCATTTACATTCAACTGCCCAAAACCTCAATCCTTCAATACTTTAGTACCTTTGAGTTCCAAGTCAATTGGTTTGGGTAAAGGTCCACTATTTTCTAGTCATTATTTTATTTATTTCCCAATAAATTACTATTTTACGAAAAGGCGATCAATTGTGTGGTCTGTAGTACTATCGAATCTACATGCACCTTTTTTTTTGCTGTTGTTGCTAGATGGTGTATTTGTGCATCTGCTCCCTAACATAAATTAGTGCACATAAATTCTGTAAACCCTGCCTTTGCCAAGCACACTAAAAAAAAAGGAAAAAGATATCTATCCCTAGTGACGGCGTAACCAATATCAAGCAGTATACGATGTATATACAATAATAATAATAATAATCAAAGGAGAATTGGATGGTATAAAATAAGACAATTTTTTCTGCTTTGGATCCAGGAATATCGGTGCTTCATCTATCTATCTATCAATTCATCTCTATATTACCATTCGTAAAATGCAGATCCATAGCCTTGCAATTGTTCTTGTCATCTTTGCTGCCGTCTTGATCCAAGCCAGCCCTCTTCCAAATCAAGCCCATGATGACATCCTTATACATGAAAGTGCTGTGTCGGTCGCCTCTTCTGCAAAGGCTGCTGTAAACTTGGGTAAGAAACACACAAGCCATTTCTGTGCTGTAATAAAGTATCACAGCTAACAAATGTTATCTGTACACATACATACACATACATACATATATGTAGCCAAAAAGCGTAGATCTGATGATTCGTCTGCCAAAGTTGATGCCCGTGCTCTTGCTGCTTCAAACAGTCAAGCCCGTGTAGTTTCGCCTGCTGGTATACTCGACAAAGACATTAAGGATCCACTCGACGGTAAACGAGGTCCTATTGGTGAAAAAATTCATGAGGATATCGAGGATGGCGAGAAGGCCTTGAAGGGCAATTAAAATTAGTCCCAATTTATTTTATATACATATATAAAACGTTATATGGCAAGAAGTAAAAAGAAAATCAGCTTCAGAGATAATTAAGAAATATAGCCATAATTAACAAAAATAGCCATTCATAATAGTGAGAAGCTATACTTATGGTCTTATTGTGAAATAAAAAAAAAGTATTTGAAAACGTAATATTTTATTTTCTGGTCTTTTTGTGCATGTATTTTGGGACACAACACTTTTACCTTCGGGCATTTAAATATCATCCTCTGATGGTGGAAATATCGATATTGTCATTTTTACAAAAATCAATATCTCTATGAATATTAGTCTGTTTTTGTTCAAAAAAGCGCTGAAGAGCATAGATTTATTTGCTTAACAACTTTACTTTGTAAAAAATAAATAAAACATTTCGAATTTTTTTTGGGTGTATGTCCTGAGGGGACTTTTGTATCAGATATCGTTATGTGGTGCAAATATCCATTTTTTTATTAGTAAATGGTTTTTTAGAGTGAAAAAATGAGATGCTTTGATCAATACTAGAGCAAACAATACAAAGCAATTTTTAAATAGTGGATCTTAATGTGTTCAGTTAAGTTACTTATATATATAAAACCACTTTGCTTAACGCATTTGGGTGTATAGCTGATTTTCTGAATTTAACCTTCCACTTTGATCAAAATGGTCATTTTTATTAAACAAATACTCATTTTAGCGGTGAATTCAACAGTTCTTCAGTGTATAGATTATTGTTTTGACAGAATATTACCCCTAAGCCTACTCTTAAGTCTACTCTTATACCTTAGAAAACGCTTACAGAACTTCTCTATCAAATTTGACCCTTTGTTTTTATTATAGTATAGTAGAATGACCAGTATAAATTTAGTTAAACAAGAGCTTTTCTTAATACACTTTGCAAATACAGCTACTAAGCATTATAAGTGCAGCCTAAGCCATTAAATTTTATAGTATACTGTTTTACAGCACAAACTTAAAAGTAAATAGCTATTGGCTTCTCATAATAAAGTATTCGAAGAAGTGTTTGATAGTAAAGTCCAAAACCAAATGGTTTCAATAATAATAAAAAATTACAAGCAGTTTATTGTATGATTTACAGTCTATGCGTACACAGACATGCGCTCATACCATTCTCTTAAAGACTTTCCTCCGTTTGTATCATCCAATATCCTTGAATCAAATAATTCATGATCCAGGGCGTCTACTGTCCTCAATTGAGAAGCTAATGTAATGTCGGCCCACCCGACTAGAAGTAAGAAAAGAAAAGAAACAATTTAAATAACAAGTAGCAAATAACAAATAAATTTCAATAACCAATTAGATACCTTTAGATCCGGTCAAATAAGGCTTCTCTGCCAAGATCTTTCTGGTATCTTTCAATACTTCGTGAATCTGCTTAATGTGGTCCTCTGGATCTCCTGCAAACTGCTCAACAGTCTTTCCATATTTGGCTTCCCGAACCTCTCGGAACCTGGCCTGCGCAGCTTCATCACCACATGCCTTGACTACTTTCAATACGATAATACATATGAGATGAAGGACCAGACGAGTGTCGAATGTTGCTTGGAAAGATCTGTGTAGCTCCTCGTCTCCGTGAAATAAACTAGGGGATTCCGGGTATGTGACTTCCAAATACTGGGCAATCTTGAGGGAATCCTGAATAGCCTTTTCTTTCTCGGTGTCTACAATGATAGGTACAGTAGGAGGATTACCGGTCTTTCTGTAAAATTAAGAATGGCAGTAGTTTTAGTAACACTTTTACGTATATAATTTACAATATCAAGGTAATATAATACAATGTAGCTTTACGTTATGTCCGGAATCAAAGTGTAAATTTCTTTAAAAGTAACCCAGGTTGTTTCATAGGGAAGTTTCTAAAGACAATTTGGAGCTGTTAGTTAAACAGGATTTATCTAAAGACTGAAATGCCTTGTATAATGAGAGAGAGAGAGAAAAAAAAAATATGTCTTTTACCTTTATATTCAATGTAAAACGTGTCTTGTAGGTATTTGGGGACCAAGCTTTCTCTCCGAGGGCTGGAAGAAGAAGATCATAAAATTGAATGGGCTTCATAGTAATAATATAGAAAAATGGTAAAGAGGTGCGTGAAGTTGTAAGTCATGAGTCTAATGATTCATTTGTATTTATACTTTTGATACGTATAATCGCTATTTCAACTTAAACAACCTGTACTCAATATCATCTTTACTTTGCTTTTTTTATATACCTGTACTTTCTTGGCTTACTTAATAAGGTAATATGATATAAATATTGTAGTACTAGTTCTTTTTATTATTATTATAAGGAAGACCAACACTTATAAATAAAGTTAAAAACAATAGTAATAGCATATTTTGACAAAGCGTGTAATGTAGCAATTATGATATCTCCTCGTTTGAATGCCAAGATTAGACTAAGCCTAATATTATTAATTGTATTTTTGGTTTGAATAAGGTACTGAACATTAATTATGTTAAAAGAATATCAGTTATTAATCATGTATTTCAATTAGAACAATTCAATGATAAATATTTTAAAAGAAGTACTCAAAGAAATTAATTTGTATTCTATATTGTATTTTGTTAATACTTGTTTACGCGTATTTGACCATATAGGCATAACATCCTCTCAGAATATTGTTGTCCTGAACACCATCCAACATTATGTATCGAAAGATGCCATGCGTAAGATTATTTCCCAGAATAATGCATGAAAGAAATACACTATATGTGCTCATGGAGTGTATAATCAAACATATTACGCGTTTGATACTTAAAAAATACAGCAATACACACGTATGTATATATATGGCATTTTATTTGTTAAAACGTGCGAATTTTATCCATGCTGTCTATGAAGGACGAAATATTTTTTATACCCATATATGATGCTTGGCTTTTATTGCTATATGTACCTCCTGTGAGAATTATTGTTTTTTATAGCCATTTCTCACTTTTCACACTCTTGTTTGGCTTATATACCGGTATCTTTCTACTTAACTTATTAGACATAATGCTAGATTTTGCTTAGAAGTGTTTGTTAAAATCTATGTATTAAATATTCTTTCTTAGTACTAAATCCAACAAAAATTTATTTATATATCTAATATGACTTTAAGCATAATTTTACCTTTACATTATATTATTTATCATAGCACAAACCTACTTTTATTCACACAGTGTTTGTAGCTATGTTTTTGTACTACTACTAAAAAGAAATTTTAAGTTTTTTCGATCATAAAATTGTACCCGCCTATTCACCCTGTGAGCACCTCATAAGCTTGCCCCACTAAAAATAAAACGCATAATCACAAAATAATTGATTAATAAGGATAGGCAGCTAAATATATACATTTATATATATACCCATTCAACCGCGTGACTCAGCAATACATACCTTTAGATTCAGAAAAGTAAGCAGGCCTTACTAATTTAGCTCTAGTATCCATCAGTCCTTCATTGTCAATTCTGATTTTATATCCTGAAATTCCGCAAAAGTTTTCAATACTAGTCTCAAACTTGGCGTCATAATCCTTTCTAAACGAAGCCTTGAGGTCTTGCTCATAAATGTTATTTGCTAAATCTATATTAACTACAGGAAATAAAATAGTGAATCGTTAACCAAAGCTTCATTTGGTAGCCTTGTGTAAGATCTAGTTTTCGTGGAAAAGTCTCCGAGTGTTAGGGTAGGTAACCTCAGTCTACTGCGCAACTTTCCACGATTATCTACTATAGTATGATTACTAATGTACACGGTAATATGAACAGTTGGAATTTCTGTGGGGTTTCTATAAGCAGAAAAAAATACATATTATCACACATCAGCCTGTGTTCAAAAAAGTAGTACACAGAAATAATGTATATATCATGACGCAATTTTACTTACGTCAATTTAGAAACTATAGAGGGAGACTGTCCGAATGGGACTCACGCAACTTAAAGAAGCATATAGATACTACGCTAGAATATACTCAAATTTTTGAATTGTGTTTTGTTGATATAGTGTAGCTTATTGCATGTCTTTGAGCACAAAATTAATATCCACTAAAAACATGGCCCTGAATATTCATGCATAGAAATATATGAATATTAATAAATTTAGGCCAACATATCCTCTCAGCCATTTTGTGTGTGTGTCCGAGTTGATAGACTCAGTTTATTGTATTTTATTATAGCATAAATAATTAGCATTATAGAATTAGATCTTATTGTTGTAAAGTCACGGGGGACAAAATATATGTAACACTTGAATACTTGTGTAGAGGCTAGCTCAATCAACTATATTTAGATATTTTTCTTTGGTAGAATATATATATATACAAATATACAAATATAGATATTATATCCTTTATCAGAGGCTATCATTCACAAATGATGCCTCATATTAAATATCTCTACATACTTGGTGTGGACAAACTGAAAAGTTCAAATGACTCTCACTGGCTAGACTTTTTTTTGATTGCCAATTAAAACGAGGGGAATATCATGCTTTTGACAAAAGAAAAGTGCCATAGTGCGCAAGACCTGCAATAAGGTATTTTTAGTTGATAGAAGAGACTCTAATATCTATTTGAACTAATTTTGAGCTTCTCAGTCTGTCCACTCCAACTCTCAATTGATCAAAAAAGCTATTAATTGACAGAATGTTTTTATATACCCATTACTATGCCCAAAATATAAATATTCACAAAAGAAGTCAAAGTTTGATGCCTCTAAATTAATTTGATATTTAGTATAAAGCACACATATGATAATAGATGGGATCTACTATACAACAAAGGCAATTAAAGTAGTAGTAAAGATTAAAAAACAAAACAAATAGTTTCTGTTTTAAGTAAAGTCTCATGCAGGAATATGCATGATTATGCACGGTTCACGTCAGCACTATTAAGGACTCAATCCCAGTCTATTTTTTTTGCATATAAAATACTTTCTAAGCTGCTGTATAAAGCATATCCATCTCTTCCCTTTTCTTTCTTCTATCATTTTCCCTTTTCCCTTCTACCTTCTTATATAGATATAGATATAGATATAGATATAGTTAGTAGTATCTAAAGGTAAATGTGTAGGAGGTTGAGTGTATGGCGTGGTGGGTAGATGAGATGAAGAATAGATTAGTAGATAGGTGCTGATACGTTAGCTGATATCTATACCTATTAATTAGTCAGTGACTTGATGTATTTGAATATAAGTATTACAGAGAGAGAGAGAGAGAGAGAGAGAGATGTATGGTGCATATATATAGCAATAAAAACAATATGAGATGATTTATTAAACAACCAGTTGATTTAATTGAAGCATAACTTGCAAGATGAATGATAGTTTTACAGTAGTCAATTTGCTTAAAGGCTACTTGTGCTATATAGAGATTGTGCGTTACTGAGTTAGCAAGATATGTATGTGTATTTGATGAATGTAACAGTCGCTCCTCTCTCTCTCTCTTTTGATATTTTACAAGGAATTTGTGAATTTTTGAAGAGAAATAGCCTTGATAAGAGTTTGTGCTAGCTGGTGTTGTTTGAATCTAGAAACAGCTTTGTACATCATATCAGTATTTTGATAGTTAACATTGAATAATATATTTGGAATATGAAGGATATATTATTATAAGTATAAGCTATCAAGTTTTGGATAATAAGGAAGATATTTATATAGATATTGAACTGAGAATGATAATCACCTTTGTTTTTGTTTTCAGTATTTTATTAAACATGTAAACGATCGGCTTATGTCAAGCAAAAGTAAACTTTTCTACAAGGCATGTTTCATATGACACTTAGGTCATACTATTAGGGATTTCAATTAGTTTTTGGCTATATATATTCAAGTATGTCATCATATACCTATTGAGTGTATGCTTTTATTGCTTATTCTAAAGATTAAGCAGTTGGATCCGGATATCAGGAATTTTCTTCTTCTCTGTAAATGAATTGGCTCTAAACCATCTTTGAGTTTGAAACTTAACGTTTTACAATATAATTGCAAGCTATACTTGAGTAGGACTTTACTAATAAACAAGTTCAGGAATAAGTAAACTCTTCATGTTTTATAACCATTTTGTATATAAATTCTGATTTTTATTGTTATTCTCAAAACAAAGCACAGAAAGTCTATCAATTTAAATTCAAGGTCAATATTTTATAAGGCCTATTTTACGGTGTGTACCATATTAACTTTCTTAAGAATACTCAATTATCATGCAGAGATTGCATAAAGAAACGGACTTTTTGGTCGAATTTGCAACAATTCTAAAATACAAAATTCCGTCACAAACCTCAAGGAACTACATCTAACCTCAAGTCTAGGGTATGATGAACCATATAATTGAAACAAAGGTAAGCATGTTTCAATCATGTATAATCTTCGCGTTCATTTGTTTTGGGAAATCATCGGTGTGATGATTGACTGCATTTACAGCCACGGGAGCTTAAACACATACAAAGAAATATTACATTACCTAATTCTTTGTTAGAAAATACTTACTATGTACCTGAGGTAACCCTTTGGGTGTAATATAATCAGTAAAGAGTCTTGCCTGTGGTTATATGATCCTGTTAAGACTGACTTTATATATACATACATAATTGTAAGTGTGTTAAATATAAAGAGACACCTTTTTCTTATATTACCTCTTTTAACATCTATTTGCCTAGTAACCGTCCAAAATTCAATAGCGAAAACAGAATATCCTAAAAATAAGAAGAAAAAAGTGTGTTTGTGTTTGTGTTTGTGTGTGTGTGTGTGTGTAAAAGTAAAAATAATAATAATAGTAGTATGAAAAATGAAAAAATAATAATATATTAGAATATTTTCTCCTTGTCTTTCCTTTACTGTTCTTACCGAAATCAGCGTCATTGCTCATCGCAGATCTCATCTACTGTGCTTGCTTGGGAAACAAAAAGTATGATGAGGAAGCAAGAGAGCTGCTGTTTAGACAGAGTACCACAGGAAACAATGACCGAAGAAAGACTTTTTCATGACAAAACCCTGAGTAGATCCCCAGCCAGACCAAAGCCCATCCCCAATGGCAACAAGCTCATGCAACATAGAGATCAAATTCACTCATCTCCATCAAATTCACTTATTTCTTCTTCCCCTTGGTCTATTGTATCTAACGATGCTTTTAACCAAGACGAGTCTGGAGAAGTCAGCACTCCACTGTCTGAAACAGGATCCAATAGTAAGGGTGGCTCGTTTGAATTTATGAACTCTCCTCGTACAACAAGATCTTTTGGTTGCTTCTCTAATAGTCCAGCTGGTACAAAAGATCGTGCCATAGCAGTAGTCCCAACCCCACATTCCCGTCAAAAGATATCTTTAGGCTGGACAACCCCTAGCAATGATGCTGCATCAATGCCAATATCCTCCGCTACTATCCACAGACCTCAAAATATAGACAACCCAAGGCAGGATAAAACAGGTTCATATAATTCAGACAAGAGTATCGCAAGTTTTCGAAGCTCACATCAAAAATCCACCAGACAAGCACCCGCTCGATCCGGCATTGCAATTGCACGGGCAAAACAAGAAGAGATGGAGGAAGACGATGGATTTCAACTTATCAGGGCCACTTTTTCAAATGCTCCTAAAGAATCAAACTCAAAAAATGACGCTAGCCTGGAGTGGATCTCTAGACCACTTACACCTTCTAAAAACTCGCCACAAAAGTACTCTTTTATAACTACAGCTACAGATATACACATTAATAACGGAAGTCCAGTAATCAGTCCCAAAATATTATATAAGCCGTCCAGAACTTCCAGGCAGATTTCCTCATGTGAAACTTCTTGTTCTTCTAGTTCTGTAAAATCCCACGATGAAAATTTAGACTCTGACGACCCTAATTTTAACGAAGTTTTTGTCCATACTTCTCCCTCTTCATTTGCCCCTCCAATCGATTCATTCTTACGTGTTTCCAACCTTGATCAATGTACCATATATAGCACGGATACAGACCCTAAAGCCTTGAGCGCCCATCAAAAGAAACATCTCAAGCCGACCCTAAGAATCGCTACAGACGCTTGCTGCACTCAGATTTTAAAGCCAACCTTACTCCAAAGTCTTTTACCAAATACTGTCGCCGATGGACGATACGAAACTTTATTTGATACTATTCAAGATCAGGGTATTGTCGATGGGGAATTGGTCAAGGCTTTGTGGCGCAAGAGCCATATCCCGGACAGGATACTAGGTCATTTGTGGGATCAATGTGATCCAAGTCACCAAGGTCTACTAGACAAACAGGCATTTATTCAAGGGATGAGAGCAATTGACGCCTTTTTATTACAGCACTCACAAGCTGTAAATCTATAGAGTGTTAAGCTAAATTATTAAACTTTATTACACTAAAAAGAAAAGAAACTATAGAAACAATGATGTAAAATATATTAAATAAATCAACATGTTGTCATTTGGCTTGCTTCTTTTTTTAAAAAAAAATATTATTATTACTACTACTATTAACTGCACTACAATTTGGGGTAAAGAAATATTAGGAATTGAGTATATATCTGTAAGCACAAAGAAGAAGGTATTAAAATAAAATAAAATGAAATGCAATATACAAACTAGATAGGAGGTAAAGTAAAGAATATAGGTATTGATAAGTAGACGCTCGAATAAGGTGTGCTGTGATTAATTAGTGCCATGAAATAGCATCGCCGGCTATCTTGGTTTGAGGTATCTGTATCCAAGGATTCTCTTGAGAAAACATAACAGAACCGTCTTCAGTATGCTGACAAGACGAGTTTCCACTGGTAGTCAATCTCGACTGCAAAACAACAGAACGTTGATCTGGTGTTGGGGAGAGATCAATAGGGAGTGGGTAAATATGATTAGGAGCCATCGAATTTGTTGAAAGCATAGCAAAGTCTCGGTTGGCTTTCTTCTTGTACTCTGGTGCTTTTAATAAAGCTGTATCCCACTGCTTCGTTACAGATTTGTCTTGTTGGGATGATTCTAATGATTGTCGCATGGCATTAAACTGAGAAGGATGCTCAGATAAAGTAGATAGTGGCGAAGTATGTTTGAGAGGAGACGATAGCCAGTTTGTTGGAGGGTGACAAACAACTGACTCGCGAGGAGAAGGATCTGAGCTTCCTGCACTACTTCTTTCACCACATGACCCCGAATTCTCTGAAGACCCATATAAAAGATACATCATCTCAGAGCTGTCCGCGTCTGGAATTACAGATGTCTCTACAGCTGTTTGAGGCACAAGTGAAGAATGGTGTTCGTGGCTGCTAGAAAGTGTATCTAATCCGATAGATTGAACAATAGGTGTACCAAAGGAAGGCTCATGTGGAATCACAGAAGTATTTGGATGGAGAGTCTCAACCATGGATGCAGTAAAGCATTCATTCCAATCTCTAGAATGAACAGATGGCCAGTATTTTTGAGGAGCATCACGATGCTTTGGAGGAGGAAGAGGTAATTTTGGTGGGATTACAGAATTCTCTGAATCCAATCCTTCCAGGCTTGGTACAGCTTCAAACATTACAGCATGTATTCCAGAGCCAGGGGTTGTGCTTGTGCTTGACATCGATGGGAGCTCTGGTGTAGGAGAAACTTCAGATATTCGAGTAGATCGATGCTTTACTGTTTGAGTTGAAGGGTAAAAATGTTGGTGGTGTTGTGGTTGCTCAGCTTGAAGTGTATCGCTAATAGGAATATCAATCCACAGGTAATCTTCATTGCATATCCCCAACGCTCCCGATGAGTCTTCATGTACTTCATGAACATCGTGCATGCTCACGTACGGATTATGACTATTCACAGTTTGTTCGCTGAGGCCTCGTTCAAACGACCTCAATAAAGAAAGGGCCTGTTGCTGCTGTTGCTGTTGCTGTTGCTGTTGCTGTTGCTGTTGCTGTTGCTGTTGCTGTTGCTGTTGCTGTTGCTGTTGCTGTTGCTGCTGTTGATGTAACTGTAGCTCCTGCCTTTGCTCTATCTCCTGCCGCTGCCTCTCCTGTTGATACTGCTCCCTTTCCTGTTTTTGATTCTGTTCATTTTTCTCCTTTTGTTGCTGTTGCTGATTTTGGCTGTTAGGTCCCACCAATACCGTCATTTCTTGGTCATTGTTACCCAAATTACTAGTCTTTGTACGTTTGTAGGAGTAATGGGGTTGCGCCTGCTGCAATTGATGATGAGGCGATGAATCATTATTCCCTGGAGATGAAAGCTGTCTTTTTGGTGCTCGAGTGGATTTATTGGTATTTTCGTCTTGTCCTGGTGTCATATGTCGCCTTTTATTTATGCTTGCCTGAATCGAGCCAGAATAGTATGAACTAACGGACGCTGCTTCCTCTCGCTCGATAGAAGTATGAGATAGTTTGCTGAGTTGTTCTTTGTCCATGTCTGCTCTAGACATAACATCCAACATGAGATATGATGAAATAGCCTGATTTGCGGATCTTGGCTGTGCTGATACAATACAATGAAGGTTATCATCTGTATCAATAAGACGATTGGATGGCACGACCGAGAGATCTGGGTTTTCTCCACAGCGTTCAGGTGCTGTGTGAACAAACATGTGATCAGCAGATACCTTGTGATTGATACACATCTCAAGAGTATTGGCGATTTCGGAATAAGTAGATAATATCTTGATCACTTCTAGTAACTGAACATGTAAAATTGATACTTCGTTCGAATTTGTTGATATTTCTGAATGTAAAACCTTCTTTGTCAATGATTTTGTTTCCAAAGGAGATTGTTTTAACCGTTTACTTTGGCTATTTTGCTCTTGTTCTTTGAGGTCAAATATACTTTTAGCAACACAAAGTGCATACACAATAGCAGGTGACGTATTTGAGGTGGAGGCGAGGGTTTTGGATGACTGTACAATACAACGTGCTGCAGATACACATGAATCTAAAGCAGCTAGATCGAATAGACCTTCCAGGAGTTGGTCAGAGGAAGGTTTGAGCTGACAGTTGAATATTTGGATGGTAAGAATCTGATGGAATAATTCAAGTGCAGATACCGATAATTTCATCCCGCAAATGTCATTAAAATTGCTGACATCTTTTGACAGGTTGGATAGTTGACTTAAAGTACTGAGCTGAGCCTATGATAGAGAATTTAATTTAATTTGATTATAAATCAAACTTACATCCTTACGCACAAGTTGGTTTTTGTCTTGTTGAGATCAGTACCTTTATTTCATCTACCCGGGAATTATCTTGTTTGGTTGTTAATTGACTCAAGAATTCAGTGTACTGATCGAGCACAGATACTGCCCACTGTTGATATCCTTCTTGATCATTGGTAAATTTGTTGGCTGCAATCGTCTTGGGTTCAGCTAATTCTTCTGGATTTTGCACCCGGCTAGTCCAGCAGTTTCGACGCATATAAACACTAAACCACACATCCCAGCTGTGGAGTAACTTGAATAGTAGCGTGATTTTTTCCTTTTCAATTAAGTCTGTTTTCTGCTGACGGATAAGGTCTTGAAATGAACAACGCTGGGCAAATGTGGCACCAATCTGGAGAGTAATAAAAGCCTGCTCTTCACACACTGTAGTACATTGATAGTGAGTCAAAAGAATGGCACTCTGGATGAGTACAATCAGAGAGTCTCGATCGGTTCCCAGTGGTTGAAATGGAAAGGCGGCAGAGAGTAATCTTCGGTGAGCTTCTGAATAGAATATATGGGCCAATCGCTCAATCTCAAGAGACAATTTTTGGTATCTTGAACAAAGGGCTTGATTTGCGGCCTGAAAGACGAGGGCAAATACGGAAAATGTCAAGACAATTTCAACACCTTTTGTGGGTGCTACAGAAGGATCAAGTGGGTTTTGAATACTATTGATGACTGTGTTAATCAATGAGATCTCAATACATGGACTGTAGAGTAAATTGTAATTTGAAAATAAAGAAAGTATCTCAAGCGAAAGATCCTTTGCAAGTCTAGAAAAGCCAGGTTGGGTTGGGGATGCCTGGAGATATTGTGTAAACAAATCTAGGAAACCGGCCCAGACTGTGTGTGGCTGAGATGACATGTCAAAGAAGCCAAAGAGGAGTGGTGGTAGTCGTGTGATGTACAGAAAAGGTCTATTTGTTGTTTTGGCTGACAGATGGGTATAATAATGATTTGAAAAGGTGATATTTTTGAGGTTTTGGGTCTTGTAGTCATGTTCGACTGTCGCAACATGGTTTCCGTCGCGCTTTAAAAGATCGGGTTTCTTGGGAGATGAGTTGCGTCTTGTCTTTTCGTCGTAATGACAAAGCAGACTATGTTCAGTACACCGAGCACACCGTGGTTCTGACAAACAAGTTACTAAGGTTGGTCTTTGCGGTCAAAAAAATTCTATCAAAGAATGTGAGATGCTTACTGCCATCGCAACGCATCTTTTTTGTTCGACATGCATTGCATGCCTTTGTCACTTTATTACGTTTAAGTGGAAAATCTTTTGTTGAACAAGAATGCCACTTGAATGCACCAGCCATGAAGAAATTAAAGAAAAGCAGAGAAATAAGCAGAAGAAAAGGAAGAGGATCCCGGATTGGGGAAGACAGTGAAACTGGAGCAATCGAAGAAGAAGAGAGAGAAAAAGAAACTTTTCATTGATAGTTTATACTTGTCTTTATTTGTTTTATTTATTTTTACATATTCATAATAAAGCATATTCTTATTTTAAAAGTCTCTCTTTAATATATTTATAGCTATATTGATTTATTAACTGCTTGATTTTAGCTCTTTCTCTCTCTCTCTCTCCATTAAGGGTATTTGATGTGGAAGGTACTCAAATACAAGTCTTGGGCTGTCTTGATTGTTATTTGTTTTTATTGGTTTCTTTGTATATTCTATTTTGATGTAGTTTGTCATGATGACTGAGATCAGTAAGGTTTCTTACGTTTCATAGGTATAGTAGGACAAGTACTCTAAATCAAAACAACAGCCCGTATTCGCCTTAACTCTTCCGAGTATAATTTTTTTTTGATATTCACAGTAGCTTCTTGTTCAGGAATAATAGTAATAAGATAACTTTTATGCTCCAAGGAAAGAGCTTCATAGTCACCATGACCTTTTTGATCTACTTTATTTTGAGACATGCATAATTGATTGATTGATAGTAAATATATAGTAATAGTAAGAGAAAATGTAAAGCATATGTGTAGTAAACAAAAAGTCAACGGAGATCAGAGGCAAATAAATCCGAGCCGACAGAGAAAGGAAAGAATTTGTCAGGTCACATGTTTTATTTTATTTTTGTTTTTTAAAAAATAATAATATATATATTTTATAGAATTGAAACAAAATATATGTTTCAAATCTGATTTATGACAGAAAATAAGTTTGTGAGAATTTCATAGACGCAAGCTAAAAACGAAACAGATATTGGGAAACAAATAGACAAAAACTGGGGCTGACCTTTTAGATAGGATCTATTAGATTGGATACAAGGTTGATGAGACATAAAGACATTTTTTGTAAATATTATGTGCGAAACCATATCCATTTCTCCACAAAAGTACTAATAATACACAAGGGACACATATATAGATAGAGAGATAGAGAAGAGAAGCCTATGCAGATTGATAATTAAATAGAAACTTAATAATGAAGATGTATTCCTTTTTTTCCAAATATTCCCTGTAAATTTAATAAGCCAAGTGAATACTTATTGGATATTCAAATAGAAATAAACTGATTCTTATAACATACATATTCCACGTGTACAAATAGCCTTTTGTTGCTCTTGTTGTCTAAAGAGCGACCTTTTGCACTCACCTACTTTCCCAAGCTTGGCCAAATACGCCTCTATTATTATTGTTATTATTTTAATATAAATTTGCTTAGTCTTGTCTAGTTGTACATCCTATTTTATTCCGTATTTTCCCCCCAACGCTAGTATCCCATTAAACACAAGAGGTCCCTGCACTCATCACAATGGTAGGACAGATGTGTACAAGACTTATGGACTCTTGTGAGAGAGTACAATTGAGTGAGAGAATCAATGCAAATCTATGATTGAACTATGAAATTATCAAAATAAAAAGAAAATAAAATGCGTGCGACAATCCCAGGCCAGGTAGTTCATATTGTGCTTTTATTTAGGGCGGCGAAATATCTTAAAAAGTTACATTTTACTATCACAGTAAAGAACTCTTGAACCTTTTTTTTTTGTGTGTGTGTATTGTCAGTTCACAAGCCAATCGTGTCCTTTCATAAGGTGAGCACAATCAAGCTCTGCAAAGATGCCAGTCAGTTTCTTTGGCTTTTTTTTTGCTTGGTTGATAAGTAATCGTTTGATACAAACAGAAGCTAAAACAGAAAAGTATATTTGTTATATTTGATATTTCGGTCCGTCTAATCAGATTAATTCTATCATTAAATAAGCTCACCAATAGACTACTATTGTTCTATACTGTCCAAAATTGAATAATAAAAATAATAATAATTGTAATAAGACAAAATGTTTATTAAAAGAATTTGAGTTATCGACCGACATTTTAAAAATATGCTTTACGGATCAAGTGGAAACCCAAAAAAATAAATAATAGAATTATATAGAAAAAGAAGTCGATTCGATTGCTATTATGTCTGGCTGTTGAAGTCCAAAAAGAGAAAGGGAAAAATAAGAGTGGGAAGAGAGACATGTTTGTACCTGTGTGTGTGTGTGTGTGTGTGTGTGTGTGTGATATGACATTTGTGTGAGAGACTGGAGATTAAATTTAAAGACATTTAGGCATAGAAGGGGAGGAAGTGCGGAAGTTTAGGCACAAACGAGGAAAGTCTTGCACGATGCTTCAGCCCAGTCAGATATGAATGTATACAGATTTGTAACTCGGCAGTGAACAGTCAAGTTGGGTCTTGCTATGTGAATTACTCAGGTTAAATTGAAAGGTTCTCTTTAATAGGAAAAATCATAGTATTAATTGTCAAGGGCAATTAACTTTGAAAAGCTTATTGGATTTGACTATAGTAAGCTTCTATTGATTAAATAGAAAAATGGGGTTGATTTTTATTTTAGGCAGTCTCTGGAGTTTGATTATTGTGTGCCTTGTGCAACCCTACAGTTTAACACAAAAAAAAAAGAAAAAAGAAGATCCAAAATAAAGACTACAAAAAATACAATCGTTCTTGGAAAACGGGTCTTCTTCTTTTTACTTTCTAGTTATAGTATGAACACGACTAGAGACAATTACAACCGAATGCGCCTCGATGATATACTCGAACACAGCTCAATCTCAGTAGACACTCGGAACTGCGTTATGGAATTACTCGACCAAGTTGAAGATACAAACCTACGACAAGTACTTCGAATAGAAGTTAAGCGTATGCTCGGAGACCACGACCGCCTGGTGTCTTCTTTGCGCCAACATATTGAAATGCTCGATAATGAAAATACAGAACACAAGGCTATCTGCAACGAATACCAGCGACGCTATGAGAAGGCCGTCCGAGAAATGCAATTCTTCAAGAGAAAATACGACGTTACCAAAGAACAACTCCAAAAGCCATCCGATTCTCTCAAACCTGGATATATTCAAGCACTGTCACAATCGAAATCCCAGCCAACACGCGCAAATCTCCCAATCGATCAATCAGAATATCCTCCATTCGATCCCATGGGTGACTTTGGCCGCCAAGGTCTTCAGGCCAATACCTTTGTCGCAAACTCCCCAACCTGGCCTGGCTCACCCATGTCAGTAGTGTCCGACAGCACTAGCCTATCAACTCCCCGCTACCGCCAAAACTCAACCGCCGCCAACAGTCTTTTCAGTCTTCAATCGTCCAGCACCGACAGCCAGAGTGTCTATTCTGCTAAGCAGCCTGCTGATGTTCTCCATGAGAAATCTTCGTGGGCCAGTCGACAAATAGATCTGCCCTTTCGCTCTAACGGATCTGTTTCGTCTGGAAACTCGGTCCACTCGGCACCAAATGCGCCTCGTTCTCTTGCTGCAGCTGTCAGTGATTATTCAACTCTTACGAGAGTGCAGCAAAGACAACTCGAGCCTCTCTCATTTGGTGGATCGGATGGTCTGTGGGATACAATTTCAAAAAGTAAAGAAAGTGACATGACAATAGAGAAAATGATCAGGTAAAATATATATATATATAAACGTATAAAATAAAATAAAATAAAATAAAATAAAAAACTAACCAAATCCAATATATTACTATTCATTTTATAGCAATTTCTTGAGAAGAGGCGGATCACCCAATACTGCTAAACAATCATCTACAGCACAATTAGTAAAATATGGATATGGCTTAATACATGCTTTGATCGCCACCAAATCACCTTCTTCCCTCGACCTTCTTCTTCAACACGGTGCTAATCCTAATTGTATGACTCTAAGCCAAACAGCAGACGATAGGGTAAATTAAACAAAAAAAAAGACACAAAAAGTTATATATTGAGTACAGAAAAATTTGTCTAACAACGATTCCGTTTTCGTTTTTTGTTTTTTTATTATTATTATTATCATTAGATGACACCTTGTTATATGGCTGCTAGACTTGGCTGGTTACCGGGTCTTCAGATGCTTGTCAAGGCAGGTGGAGATCTTGTTTCTGCCCGTGGCGGAGGGCTCAATAAAACAGCTTTGCATGTTGCATCTGAGCACTGCCACAGTGTGGTTGTGGAGTACATCGACTCTGTCACCCGAGGCGCGCTCAGAGCAGAAGTTGATAATCAAGGTGTGTACAGATGATTGCACAATATTTACATAAATGCTCATTCGTGTGCTACTGGACTTTGTAGGCGCAACTGCTCTTCATTATGCATGTGCATCTGGACATGCTGGCCTTGTCTCTTTCCTGATCAGTGCTTGCCATATATCTGTTAAGCAAAAGGATAATCGCGAAGAATCGCCACTCCACTGGGCAGCGCGACACGGACGCTTGGAAGTAGTGACGCTACTGATTGAAAGATTTGGGTGTGACATCAATTCATATGTACACAAAAAAGTAAACACACCGTACGATATGGCGAAGTCTGGTGGGCACAAGCGATTGGTTGATTATCTCAAAAAACTTGGAGCTTTGACTACTAAGAAGGCCGACAAAAGACATGAGGAAGAAATGGAAAAGCTGCTGCCAAATCACCTTGAACAAACATTGGCTAAAAATGGCATATTCTTTGATGGCTTTTGAAAATGAGCTTCTTTAGAATTGCTGTACAAGATATTTATTGAATGCCCTTCCTTGGGCGCACACACACACTCTCTCTCTTATACACAGATACTCACACACTCACACACATACTCTCTCTCTCTCTCTAACATTCATATCCTTTGTCCTTATTCACTCCTTAATTTCCTGCTGTCGTTGCTTTGATTTCTTGGCTGGTCCTCATCCTCTTTATTCATACTCATTTAATATTCCCTTTGTCAATTAAGCAAAGGACTTCTCGTGTACACAATTCAAACAAAAGAGAAAGAAAAAGACATGCACACATATACATATTATACATATAAAAATTATATATATAAAAAAAAGTTACATTCAAAAGCTTTGAACAAAAGTATTGGAGTGGAGCAATATGGTTAAAAAAAGAATCAAAAAAGGAGATCGGCAATGTTGATCTCCGAATAAAGATCTTGTTAAATAGAAAGAGGGGGTGGCAATATGAGTGACAACACTGGCAATGACAGGACGATGAATACAAGACATGCATTGCATCGATTCTCATTGTTCTCCCTCTTAGTTGCAGGAGGTATCTTAACCCCCAATCCTTTCTCCTTCTCCAATCTTTATCTGTATCACCTTCTTCTTTTATTGAAGCCATAAAAATGCTAAACAATGATGATTGCAGATATATTTATTATATTTATATTATTGCTTATTCTTCATTCTTAATTATCATTTTCTTGGTTTGAAGTATCTTGGACTCTCAAGCAAAATATTCCCCCCAAAAAAAGGCTACTTTAATACCAGAAAGCAGTCAATTGGCAATAAAGAGGTAGTAGCAGTAGATAAACGAGTGGTTTGTCTTTATAGAGATCTGTTTCTTTGCCTAGTCTGCCTAATCTAACTTCCAACTTTTTTTTATATGGTATTTTATGAATAACACATATATCTTCAGGTCCATTTATCTGAGATTCAATCCTTTTCTTTTCTTTTCTTTTCTCTATATCTCTTCATCTTCCCCTCTTTCCCTATTTCCCTTTATTCGCTTTCTTTCCTTTTCTTTTACTTCCTTTGCAATTTCTCAAGGGTGCTTCTTGTAGAACACACCAGACGAAGCAAATCCCATTGCATCTCATATACCTGTATTCAATTTACCCACACGTCACCGAAATACCGACTTGAAAAAACCCCACATACACATACACACATATAAAATATATAATAAGAAGAAAAAAAAGTCATTTCGCGTGTTTGATACCCTTCATCTAAACTTGCATCTTGTCATCATCAATTCATCCGACTCAATGGCCTTTCGAGCAGTGACTGATCAGCTAAAGACTAAATGGCGACGACAATCATCCGGGAAACTAGCCACACTAAACCAAGAACCAGACACCAGAACTCCTGTTCCACCCTCTCCGACCCAACCACCGACCACTACACGAGAACCAAAAAAACCTGATCGGAAATCAGTCCCGGCCAAAGAATATCCACCCAGTCCAGATACCCTTCTGAGTGGCATTGGAGACTACCTGTTTCTTGATCCACTCGGGCATGGAAAATTTAGTAAAGTTGTATTAGCATACCATTATTTAACAGGCGAAAAATATGCAGTAAAGGTAAGCTAAAGATAATGTTTTTTTTTTTTTTAAAAATAAAATAAAATAAAATAAAATAAATAATTAATTAATTGATTAAATTTTGCTGTGTAGATTATCGATAAAAGAGTTCATGATTATAGAGTCATGTCCAGACTCGTAAGAGAAATCAACCTGATGGAAATAATTGACCACCCAAACGTTGTCCACCTGTACGAAACTTATGAGACGGCTGATTCACTTTATTTGGTGATGGAGTATGTCCCCGGACTTAATTTAGACGAATATCTCCAGAAACACAATGGTGCACTACAAGAAGAAGACGCCAGAAATATATTTAGACAAATGGTTGCTGCTGTAGAATATTGCCACAGTCGATGGGTTGTCCATCGCGATCTAAAGGTAAGAAGATCTCTTTCTATTATTTATTTAGATAATGAGAATAATAGTCAAGATGGTATTCATATAAACGCCCATCACAAATTCAATAGGCCCCTAATGTGTTACTTACTCCACACGGGGAAGTTAAATTGGCAGACTTTGGACTAGGAAATCGGTTTGGATTACAGCGTCTAAAGACAATCTGTGGTAATGATGATTATTATTATTAGTATGATTATTATAAATAGTCTAACCTCGAAATCTAATTCAAAAATTATCCAACCAACCAACCAACCAATCAATCAATCAATATTTCTTGGTTTTACTCTTTTAGGATCTATGCTATATTATAGTCCCGAGATCATCAGTGGTCAGAAATATGTTGGACCCGAGATTGACTGTTGGTGTTTGGGTGTTACCCTATTCCGGATGACAGCTGGATTCGAACCATTTGCCCATGCTCATAGTAAGCACACAAAACCCACAAACGAAATTCAAAACCAACACAAAATGATATTGTAGCCGTGGGTGAATTAAGAAAAGATGTTGTCCATGGTAACTACCCAATGCCGTCCCACCTCAGCCCAGGACTACAAAAGACAATCCGCAAATGTCTTTCGGTAGACCGTAGAAAAAGAGTAGCACTCAAAGTAGCACTCAAAGGAGACGGCTGGTTAAATGATGATGGTAGGTTACCTGATCTGCTCGCAGACAAAAAAACACCTTCTACGTCCGACGACCCAGATGCAGACGAAACTACTCGAGCAAGACTAGAAAGAGACAGGGTTAAGAGACAGTACATGAAAGATATGGAAGATGAAAGAGAGTCAAGTCGAGGAGTAAAAAAAACGGTCATATATCACCCCATAAGCACATGCATTTATTATACCAGTAGTACACCTCACACATCAAAAATGGAAGACAATTATCGGGCTCAAGAATTACTGCGGGCCGAATTGTTTCAAGAGATCCAAGCCAATGTGCATCAGTTTCAACTGCAACTCATTCCAAACCTTCCTCTCTCGGACGTCAAGTCACCTCTTCATCATATATTCCGCAAATTTAGGCGGTCAGAGCAGCCCCTTAATTCTCTGGCTACACCACCCCAAGCACGTCTACGAAAGACCACTTCTACCATGAGTCTGTCACAGCTCTACCAGCGTGTCACTAAGGACCAGATAAATTATTATACTATCCAACCCACTTGCCCATTATCGTCTTCAACCACCACCACAACATCTCATTCAATCGACCGCTCTACCACCACACTATCGTCATTTTCAATCCCAAATAGTCTTAGGCACACTGGCTCAATTGAACCTACACCTGCCCCGGCCGAAGAGCATGACCTACTTTTGTTGGTCAGGGCTGCATGCGAGATTCTCGGAATCACGTATCAGCATGATGGCAAAACGCGCCTGACATGTGTGCTCACTCTGCGGAATTTTACAATTGAAAAGAACAGAGGCACCTGGTTCTATTCTCTCGTCAGAGACGGCCCTTCTAGCTCTACACCAAATTTGCTCGCTCACAAAAGCTCCCGTACCTCAAATGACCCCTGGACCACTCAAGCCCAGTCGAGTGGCAGTAGCATCATTGAAAAAACAAAGACAGGCAGCCGATGGAGTAGACAATTCAAGCGACTATCAATTCCCCTTCATCAACTACCTTGGTCTAATTCAGTCAATCTCAATTCGTCTGCTGCGATTAGTCAACAAGGCAGCCAAACCCCGGCAAATTCCCCGCCAATTGGACCTACTGCTGCCATTATTACTGCTCATGCTCATGCTCCTACGACACCTATTGCAGATCCTGCTGCAACCACAAACACTAATAATGCAGCCGGAGTACCAACCACGCCCACAGTTAATCCAGCTGACGATCCCTTTGGATCAAACAAGGACGGAACTGCCATCTTCTCTATCGAGGCCTTTTCTGTTCCACCCTCGAATACCGGTATACAGCGTAACAAAGACGACACTGGTACACAACATCGTATGGTCGCTATTCGTTTCTCAAAGACAAGCGGGTCCACAAAGGTGTTTAAACTCGCCAGCGGCTGGATATCAGGCGTTCTTTCTCCAAATGAACCTCCCAAGACAGATTAAACTATCAACTTATACACCTATATACATATATACACATTATACACACGCACGCGCGCAAACACAAGCACAAGCACACAAACACATATACACGCATATATTTATATGACAAAAAGTCTCGTATTTCTTCTTTCTTTATATCATTTCTTTTTTACTTGCACATCTACGACTTTTTCATAAATTCACTTTGCACATGCATTACATTTATTCATATTTTATTACATCCTTATTACACAAAATATCAAGTAAAAAAATACCGAAAAACGTTATACACCCATATTTTTCTCTCTCTCTTGTTTTGTCTTTCATTAATTCATTATTATTACTATTATTTTATTATAATTTTATTTTATTTTATTTATTAATATTTAATTAATATTTCGTTGAATTGATCAAATTTATTCGTCTGAAGGTGCAGCCAACAGAAGAGTATCGTTACTTGCAACCGGTGATTCGAGAATATCAAGGGTGGGTAGTGGGTCATTATCATTGTCAATAGATAATCCACTGGAGATTGTGTCATCTGAGTTCTGGAGTAATGCTTGATTTATTTCTTGCTGTTTAATCTCATCATGTTCGTGTATAAGAGTCAAGAGTCCAGAATCACTTGGTAGGGAAGCACGCAATGTTTGCATACCCTTGTTCATACCAAGTGCACCTCCTAGTGTAAGACCAGTAAAAAATCCCACTTTATATGTTTTTGAAACCAAATTAATAATAATAAGAAGAAATGATCAGTAAATTGATCAATTTATTATTAAGTTAGAATAGACAGCTCTAGACAATCAAATATACTTTACATATAGTAGGAATTCCTGATCTTTTTCCAACTGGTGTTCGTGATTTTGCTAATAATAATAATATCATTATATATATATATATATATATATATTGAATTAGATTATTGTTATTGTTATTGTTGTCATTATTATTTTAATTTAAATTTATAAAGTAAAAGCTTACACCACATGCGCGCTGACATTCCAAGAGATGCTGCACCAACTGTAGCTAATGATAATAATACATATTAAAAGTCTTGGTATTGGATCGCGTGTCATGTACATTTATTTACCAAAAGTAATGAGACTGAACATTGCTGATCTGATTACCAACCGTTCTTTTTCATTGGGAACGTAAGTAGCTAATTGTTGCTTGATTTCAGTTTTAGACACAGTCATTATTATTATAGTTTATTCTTTTCTTTATATGTATAACAAAGAACAAAGACATATTACATACACCCCTGGGTGTGTAATTTTTATCTGCGTCTGTGTGTGTGTGCATTTTGGAGTCGTGACGGTTATTTCAAGACGATCAATCTCTTCAAAAACTGCATGAATGTTTCAAATGTGTATTTATAACTATCCAAAGAGGGCATTATTATTACTGTTATTATTATTATTATTAAAGTCAAGAGGATCGATGGACATACACTGAGATTTGGTACCTCTTCATCTGTTGGATAGCACTTTCTTGAGAATGGATACATAACCATACCATGGTAGACTGATTTTTTTTAGAAAGAATATTTAAGGTGAGCAACACACTTAAATTGACATGCTTAATCTCCAACAAAAAAACACTTCAAATTCAAGAACAATATTAAATTTTCCCAATGTACATTCGATATCCCAAATCATTTTTCATAATATTGCTTCTCTGTCTCACAATATCGACCCAGTGTGTGGCACAAGAAGTAAATCAAATTCATGCCAATCACTACCACACTCCAACACCTACCCATACTCACACAACCAATTGCCAGAGTCACAGGACACATAGTCAATCTCACACCCCATCAGCAACAGCAGCTCCGGTCCGTAAACAAGAAACATACGAATGTATCTCCAGCCAAAACCGATGTTTCCCTCGTGTCATCACAGTAGTTAAGAATCTTAAGAATACACCAGTTGAAAAAAGTCGTTCTGGCCATCTACTATGTCCAATCGTTACAGGTAAATATATATATATATATATATAAGCTGTCTTCTAATAGTTTTCTTTTATAGAAAAGCCAAATCTACCTGAGCTGACAGAAGAAATGATCTATGATATTGCCATTGGAAGTACATTTATTACTTTCGGAGTATTCCTGATAGTCTTGGCCTTTCCATTTTTTATCGTCACCATGGCAATTTGTGGAACTATATTCGGAGGCAAGTAGCAACCGGTGCAAGGTGTTTTGTTTGTTAACTTTTTTTTTCTTGGGTTGATAGCCAGTACAACTTTTATTATAATGAGTTACATGGAACCCCTTGAAGGATATGAGAATCCTTTGATGATGTACACATCCATATGCTTTGGTGTTGGTCTCTTATTTGGTGTGGCTGCCGTAGTATTTTGGAAGGTGGCTCTCTTTGGTTTGGGTTGTAAGTATTAATGAGTACCTTATCTTTATTTGAATTTTGCTTTTATTAAATTTTATTTCTCTATTTCTTTCTCTAGTCACTGCAGGATTTGTCCTGGCTGTATATGTTTGGACGTTTAGTTTCGATTTTATTATCACTGACACAAATGCTCGTTTATTTGCCAGTATATCAGTTGGGATGCTGGGTGGAGTCGGTATAGTACTAATCGAATTCCTGGCGGTTATTCTGTCGACTACCTTCCTGGGTTCATATCTTGTGATGCTTGGTGTCGATATTATAGTTAACTTTGGCATGGTAAGCGGTCCATGCCAAGTATTTAACTATAATACACATCTTGAAGAAAAAATAATGTCCGGCCTTTATGTTGAATATTTCCCCTCTGATACCATCTATGAAATGCTTGGTGGCATGTTTGGACTGTGGCTACTAGGTGCTTTTCTAGGAATAAAACTTAATCAAGGTAGTCGGTTTGGGCTTCAGTTGAAGAAGAATCCCATTCTAGACTTAGATATTTCCTAATAATCCATACACACATACACACATATATATATATATTATCACCATTGTATTTTTCCCCCTTTATATATCTATCTTTGCTTTTATTATTCTTACTCTTATTCTTATTCTTATCATTATTACAACAAATTATTTGTATTAAGCACACGCACACGCATACGCATACGGAGAATTTTCTAATATTAACTAATAAAAACCACCTTGATAAGCATACTGTTATCAAAAATACAGCTTTTACTTGCCAGATCCGTAGATTTTCTGATCTGAATACTACATATCACACTTGATTTTAATTTTTTTTAAAAAAGATACTAAGCATATTAACCCAGTATTCTTCATTATGTAGTTTAGGCTAGCAATAAGAAATAACCGACATATATCACAATATTTCTGATTTTAAGAAAGAGAGAGAATAGCAAGATACTTTATTTTTATTTTGGATACTTTAACCATATAACTGGTTTTATACAGTCCAGTAGTTTAGGCAATGGCACAAATCTGTATTCCCCTAAATATGAGATATACATTTGAATTTTACAATCAAAACTCGACCTAATAATTTTTCTCGGAGACTTTTAGTTTTTTTTTCATGCTAATTTTATTATTTTTTGCTACAGTGATAGTTTATATATATATATATGTATAAAGGCAGCTACCATATATCACTTTATCAAAATTTGACTGTAACATATATATATCTACTAACATATGAATGAAGGTATGTGCACTTTTTAGAAAGGCTCCTACTGCTTTGTTGTATTATATAATATACATTTTTCTACTTGCCAGTCATGTTAACCTCTCCACATAGACGCTAAAGATTCACTGGTTTTTTTTTTATTTCTTCTGGAGATCACCAACTTTCAAGCTAATATTATTTGTTGTGAATTTTTGTATAATATAATTGACTATATTTTTTCGGTAACTCTAATTAACAGCAAAATACTTTATAAAGAATATGACTGTTTATGACTTTAGTTTTGTGTGACCTTTATCAAACCTACCTTGAATCCTGAAAGAATTTCAAAGGCGGATATTGGGACACTTAATCAAAGTTGCCATAGTTACAAAATAACAATAGTAGCTTTACTCCCAATCACTATACTTGTATAGCAGAACATGTGAATGAGGGAGTTTCTTAAAATAAAATAAAAAATACATATTGCTTAAAAGTAAACTAAACATGAGATGCTTATATATAAAGCCTCAGGTTAAAAGGCTGGTAAATATTTGATCAAGGGCTGTATAATTTAAACCGTGCTGTTTACCTTTATATATATGTGTGAATATTTTTTTCTTTTAATTTATAATAATTATAGCTTATATTTTATATATATATCAAATCAAAAACGTAAACCGTAAGAAGAAGAAAGTTGGCCTGTGTATTCTGACAGTATCTTTATTATTGATAGCCTTAAACATAAAGCCACACTCTAAATACTAATTACTTTTGCTTCCTTTGTCGGTACACTAAATATAATCGAGATTTGGAATAAATCTAGATTTGTATCCAATAACGATGTGTGTATGTGTTCCCACTTGGGTTTTAAAAAAAAGAAAGACAAACCAAAAATGAGTATTTGGTGTATTTAACTATCTTCCAGGTTAATGTTTAATTCAAAGCCTCAGCCACAGGTACTATCAAACACTCGTACGTCTTTAGATAAATTGATATTAAGTGATACTAGCTTGATAGACTATCATCAAGGTTATAGCTCGTACGGTTTTTCTTATAGATACATTAAATTGAATTATATAATATAATATAATATAATATAATAAAGGCATGGTTTGAAAGGCTAATAGATTGTGCTTATCAAGTTAATGAGCTAGAAATTAATCAGAAATGTAACGGTTATCATTCTACAAACGAATAATTCTTTATCCTAAACTGGTAATTGGTTAAGAGAAGTTGGAGATGGTAACTACCGGGTGTGGTACAATGGTTCCCAACACCAGGGACCTTGAGGTTTACTATTGGAATAACCAAAAGTAAGAAGAAGAAAAAAATAGTATTCTACATACAATTTACAGCTCTTATTTTATTTCATTTCAAGTAAGAATCTATTTATATATATATATGTATATATTTGAGAACTGTGGGTAAACCAGCACTTGATATTCCCAAATATATACTCTACAAATTACAGAATTAGAAATATTAGCATTATTCTATAAACTACCCATACCCATACACATACATCTTTAGATATATTCTCAGTGTAATCTTAAAAGAGAACACAAGTATCTTGGCCTTCTTACTATAGTCTGCATAAAGACATATTTGATGCTATTTTACAACTCCGTTTTTTCCCTTCTTTTAAACAAAATATACACACACAGAGAGAGCATATGAGATATGGCAAATGAACCCAAGCCTTATACATTCAAGAAAGTGCATTTTGTGGCTGGGGCAAACTTAGAGCGTACAACTGTTGAACAAGAACCGAATACAAGCACGAATGGAAATGAGATTGCAGACCTTTACAAACAAATGACCAAATGCAATCCATCCATCTCTTCAGCTAATGATCCTCAATCGATCATTTATTGTTCTGATTGTGAGATGGATATCCTTGTTGGAACCTATCAACAGCACATTCGCGGAATGGCGCATATGATCAGCCGTGAATCTCAGCCCCCACCTGATGTACTTGAATTGAATAGTGCCAACAAGGGATTTCAGATACTGCGGAAACAAGGCTGGAATTATGCAGAAGGACTGGGTGTATCTGAGCAGGGAAGACGTCACCCTATTGCTACTACATTTAAATATGATCGGCTCTGTATTGGACACAAAAGGTCTGGTCCAAAGGCAATTACTCATACATGGCATGCTATAGAACGTGCTAGGATGGGTAGCAAATCTGTCAGACAAATACAAAAGCCAATGTCTGGTAAGGTTCTTGCTGAACAGGCACAAAGAGATGCTAGGAAACGTGCAGAAATGATACACTACATGAACCAATAATGTGTTATACATTGTTATGATCTTTTTCTTAAAAAATAATAATAATAGAGAAAAATTGTATAGAATCATATTGAAACAAATATGTATTTGTATCAGCTTTTGAAACATTTCTTTGAAAGTAATTTTTTTTCTTTTCTTTTCTTTATTGATGAGCTGATAATTGGCTCATGTGTGTTACGGCTATTGAATTGTCTAAGATGAGTCAAAAGGGTATTTGGACAACTCCTTTCTCTTGTGTTTGGGAAACTGGACGCTTATTATCCAAGGTTCTTTTTGGGTTGTGTAAAACATAGATCAATAGAATACAAAGATCGATCGATTCCTTTTATAAAATAAAAAGCTGTCTATCTGGATTTGTATCCTTTGCCGAGGATTTACCCCTCTTGGAACAAAAAAATAAAATAAAAAATAAAAACTCTGTTTTGATTATGAGAGTTTATCTTGTACTTCCAGAAAAAGCACGCTGGTGTGTACCATACATATATTCTCTTTCCTTATTCTCAAAGAAGCAAGTACATAATTGGATTTATCCAGATCATTTGGGTCAGATGATCTATTCTACCTTGAACGTTGCCCTAAACGTCATATGGAAAAAGTATAACCTAATCTCACTAGACTTTCTGATTAATATAATATGCATACATATTATTTTTTATATATATAAACAATAAACAATAAATTAACTGAAAATACTGGAGGATAAGCCTTATTTTATTTATCTTAATATTCCTAATAAACTTGTATATTTCTAATGTATTCTTACATACAACATGGCATAAAAGAAAAAGAAAAAGAAAAATTAAATATATTGATTGGTTTGATTGGTTTTGAACCCAATCAAGTACAAAATGCCTGAAAAATAAGAGAGAGAGGGAGAGAGGGAGAAATGGAGAAATGGAAATAAAATAAGAGAGAGAGAGAGAAAGTATGGATTGGGTTGATTTGAATTGAATTGAATTGAATTGTACACATATATATATAAACAGATATTAAGGTTGCAGACGTTGGTTTGAATATTCAGTCAATAGGACTAGTTTCCAGCAGACTATCTGTCATCATAAGCGGCCTGTCGAGATCAAGACCAGAATTCCTGCTCTGATTGTCTTTTTGGCTGACTAACTTTTGCACTGCCGCTTGTTTTCGAGTCAGCTTGGCGTAATCTAATAAAGAATATTTAGAATAAAATAGAAAACGGCTAGGTGTACATTGAATTTTGTTTTTTGTTTTCTTTACTCACGAAGTCCACATGCATTGCACAGTGTACGTGCACCATCTGGTCCACGTCTCCATTCGGGAGTCTCTGATATATTACAGGAATGGCACTTGCCCCTAAAAACAGCACGTTTCTGTACAGAAATATTAAGATCAGTATACATATTTGTATATTAAAAAAAAACAAAATGAGAGTGTTACCCCGCGTCTACGCTGAGTACCACTCAGTCGCTGGTTTGTCCCGCCGCTCCAATCGTCTGTGGTTGTGTGAACTCGATACTGATAAGAGAACCAAAAGGGTTGTTTAGTACATCTTCCGCAAGATAAGTAGACTTATACAGTCAGAAACAAAAGAAAACCGATTCTCACCTTTGGGTAATTGATTTCTTTCTTTTGGTAAGAGTTAGTCCTGGCCTGTTCTTCTGATATTTGATGTTTACGGAGGCGTAAAAGAGCATTAAGCACCTCATTTGCTCTTCCGATCATGTCATCTAATACAGGGCGGGTCATGGTGGGGTCATAGGTGACTTTGGAATATGAATATTTAAAATGATCTTTCCGTAATGACATTGTCTCGCTTAAGCCATCACAGTGATGAATGATCTGAATGATAAGAATATAAAAAACAAAGAAAAGAAAAGATGTTAATATTACTAATATAAAAGCAAATCAAAGCAAAGCAAATCAAACTAGTTACAAAAAAAATAGTGTATAAAATGAAATGTACCTTTTCAACTTCTTTTCCAACCGGGTTATTAAAGTCGGATTCATAAATATATGGTTGACGAGATAAATCTGAAAGTGGGGGCTGAGGTGGCGTAAGTGGTGCGAAAGATGAAGTGTGAGGAGATGGTGGTGGAAAGGATCGGTTGTAGGTCGGGTGGGAGCGATAGGGATCTGGGAGGATAGATGTGGGTGGGGTATTTTCGCCTGCTCGATAGGCTCGTCCTGAGTAAGGTGTCTGAAGGGTTGGACTGTGGCTGGAAGAAGGGGTAAGAGGTGAATATGGTGAACGGCTGTAAAGACCATCTTCCATAACTGAAATCGGAGGTAAAGTACATTGTCTTTACCAAGAGTTAATATATTATAAATCTTTTAAAAGATTGTAATTTACCTTTGTACAGGTGTTTGCATCTTGAATGTATTTATTTATTTATATTTATATATGTATATATATGTATATGTATGCGTATGTAGATATGTATATGTATATGTATAAAATATATAATATATAATATATAATATTTATGTATAGTTTTATTTGATCAAAATAAAATTCTTATAATAATTATGATGACTGTAAAAAGCGAATAGAGATAAAAGCAGAAGTGTTGGTTATATTGGTAGTAATAGTAGAAGAGGAAGAGGAAGAAGAAGAAGAAGAGGTTAAATCAGAATAATAAGAAGGAAAATAGAAGAAAAAAATAGAAAAAATAAAGGAAGAAAGGTATTTGTGTGGTTGTACTTGTGTTTGTGGGCTTGGGATTTTTGTATATTTATTTTGTATTTTACTGGTGTACCACAGAGTCTGCCAGATTGTTGGCTTGTATTTCTTTTTGGTTGCCATGAAACGCTATTCAGAAAGCTGGATCACATGGCTTGAGTGTTATTTTTTTTAAAATAAATTCACAAGTGTAACGTACACCACTGTTTCATTAGAAGCATCTTTGTAGTTGACCAATGTGTCTTGCTCCCTTGACGTCCTCCAGTAACACACCAAACCAAACCAGCCACGTGGATCTATCTGAAATGATACCTATCTTGGGGGTCCAAGGGAATTTAATGTCGTCTTAAATTCATTGGTTATCGATTGGTACTCTAAAATAAGATATTTTCAATGGTTATTTAGGTAGAAAGTATATTTACAGTTTTTGGATTTTATTACAATTTTTTATGTGTACATTTATTTACATGCTGTGGGAAAGCATGGTCGTGTCGATTGCGTCAGAGAAGCCCATGATTCCAGAAGACTTTGGCGTAATCGCAACTCTTAAGATATTTCCAACTCTGAACGCCCTCTGTTTACGCTTGTAAAGATTGACAGGCTTTTGGGCAAGGGGGAAATTACAGTGATTTTGAATAGCCCGGAGTACGCATTCGACCTCTTCATCAGAATCAATAGATTGCTTATCGTTAACAGCCACATCTGGCGGTATCCCAGAATTATCTATCTGACTAATTCTTGGCTTCATGTATCCTATTCCAGATGTACTCAAAGGACGCTCTGTTTGTATCAGACCAGTAGGCCCAACTATGAAAAAAAAACACTCATCAATATATATATATTACAGTCTACAATATACAGCCCTACCTTGTGGTCGTCCAACTCCCTTCTTTTGATAGGCTGCTAGAAGTTCGTTGTAAGGTTGAGACCGACCTTCTACTGCTCGCTTAGCACCCATTGAATGACTTTTGCAAGTAAGTGATCGGGTACAAGGTGTAGAGTTTGGTCCCTGTAGAACACCACATTGACGATCGAGATCTAGAGGACCTAAATGTTTTTTTTTGTGTTCTTTTTTTTTTTACTTTTTTTTGATAACCAAAGATGTGTAGATCTTATGGCCTATGTTTACCTTTTGGCTTAGAGATGACCTTATTCTTTTGTTTTTCCTTCTTAGTCTTCTTTTTAGCTTTCTCGCTGGCTTGATTAGGCGACAGAGCTCGTTTGAACTGACTGGTCTCAGGTTCTACAAAACTATACTTGATAAGATATCTTGGGGGGGTAATTCTCTATCTTATCCAACCCACCCTCCAAAGAACCGATGCTATCATTTCGCCTTCCTGACTCGTGTTTCTTCACTTCGTTCCTGTGTTTCCTGTTTCGCACGCTACCATCACTATCCTCATCATCCGAAAACAGTTCGTTGGCCACAAATCCCTTTGGGTTGCCATAATGTGATGGGATAGGTGTAGGTGGTCCGGCAAAAGGTATATTTGTCCTGGCACAGCATGAATCTAAAATAAGGAGCATATTTGGTCAAAGTGTACCAGCTTAGTTGCCTGTTTACCTGCGTGTTCATTGAAGCTGCTACCCAGGATTGGTCTTTCACAATGAGTACATTTGACCATCACAATCTCTTCTTTCATTGGCATTACTCCAAACATTCTACGATCCTTTGAATCCAATAAGCTAGCTGAGCCAAGTTGCTGATCCGTATCAAACATATCTTGATAAAAGAAAAAGAAAATACATGTAATACATACGTTAAGGCTACAGTTGTATATATATATATATATACATATATGGAAGATAGTATAAATTACCTTTGTAATCAGGATTAACTACACTGGTCATTTTATCCCATTGTGATCCATTGTAATTTAATGAATTATTTTTGTTGTTTAATAATTGGCTATTGTTGTCCAAAGAAAGCGTATTCCAATGAGAATCTCCTTGAAAAAGAGATAGAGTGTTGGCTGAAATATGATGTGCCCATCCTACAGGTGCATTTGCAGAAAGTGGATCTGACAAAAGATTGATGTCTAAGATACAATTGTCAATGATCTTGTTCATTTGCATTTCATTCTTTTGTGTTTTTTTTAAGAGAAGTATATTACTTGTTTGTAATTGCTCAATCTCGGATCCCTTTTGTTTAAGAATGTCTTGCTGTTCTTCTGAAAAAACGTCTATATACAAAACAAAAACAAAAACAAAAACAAATGACCACCAAGTTTTATCAAATGTCAATATGAAAGAAAAACAAAAACAGAAAAACAACAGCAGAATCTATGATATTTTTTCGTATTTTTCCTATTGTAATCATTAAAATCCTATGTATTATCTTTATTATTACCAATCCGTTTGGCATTAAGTTTTGTGTTTGACATTGTAAGCAAGTGCCCAAGACGGAAGCGGTACTTCAAGAAGTGAACTGCAAGATGATTGTATTAGGGCTACTGCTTGGTCTTATTTTATATCAATTCACTTTAGTGTTTTTTTTATATTCTATGTAGTTCGCTGGCACACATTGCTACACCTTCCAAGTCAAGATATTTACATTATTCTTATTATCTTTATTATCTTTTTATTGATTATTATTGTGCTTTCTTTTTTTTATGTATAAATTATGATTTTCAAGTATATATAGTAGAGGACTCTCAAATAGATTAGTCTGAACACCAGCACAAAATAAATAAATATAGACATATTAAATGTGACGTAGTAGAGTATCTTTACCTCTTTGTATGCTCAAGTACGGCGCATAATTATTTTTTTCTCACAAGCAATCCACTAATTATTAATGACAGTTAATAATTAATCACCTTTTCAACGTTTCAATAAAAAGGCGTATATATATCTATATATGTGTAGGAAACTACGGCATTTCCAAAACAATAATATTTTTATTACTACATCTTAAAATGTATTCTTTATTTCTTTTTTAATTACTAAAGAAAATCTTTCCCTAACAAAAACGCAGATACTGCTGGGATGAATCAGTCTACAGTATAGAAAATCATAAACCTTAACAAAGATACTGACAACTGTTCACTTTGTAAATCAACTGGCGGACCGAGAAAAGTATATATGCGAACGGAGAAGAATTTGGAAATGTTCATGCGAAATCATCAATTCATCTTATCATTAGCTCAAAGCATCATTAGCTGAGATGAGCGTTTTCTGTCTTTAAACACACTATTATTTCTTCGCTCAAGAAACCTCTCTTACGGCCTTCTATTACCGCCAGAACCTCTTTGTCGGCTATGGAGCGCAAGAAGATGAAAGCACAATGAGATAAACAATGTGCTAGATTGACAGGTGAACAAAGGAAGATTGCGGTTACGACTAAAGAGTTGGGCCTTTTTCTGAAAGGTAAAGAAATTTCCAGACATATTCCTAGAATTTTCTGCTTTAAAAAAAACTATGTATACTTTATAACAAAACGATGCATTAGCGGTATTATAGCTTTGAACTACTTTCGATATTGGTGATCCGAAACATTAAAGGACATGAATATTAGGGCTGTTACTTAGGATAAATATGTTTATTGCTTGCAGCAGGTTTATTTCTGGTTTATCAATGTTTCCGAAACTATAATAGAGAAATAAAGAGTGAAATAAATACCATGTATCACATATGTGGATACGTTTGACGATGAAAGAAGAACCATGCATATATTAGAGGATTTCGGTAACGGAAGTCAAAAGCACGATCTAAAAACTATCGACAATTATAAAACATGCTCTTACAATATATGCTGAAAAAACTATGCCAGTGATATGTGTGAGCTAATTGCAAAATCACAAGAATAATAGGTAAGATTAGACGTTGATTATGCAAGGGGTTCAGTTGAAAGTATGCAAAGATGACGCGAATCTGTAATTAACTGTCAGGGCTGTGCAGAAATGTACTTACTATCGATTTTTTTGCATCTCAAAATACATCTCGATCGTTGTCTTTGTAGAGTACAAATCCCCAAGATAATGTATATATGAATTACTTGTGGAATAGTCATATTTATTTAAAGAAGAGAAAGACTACCTATATAAGTATTTTACACATTATTTATGAAACTGCACAAATATCTGATTCTTCAGATCTTGAATAAAATATCCGAGGATTTCTTTGTCATCTATAAAGCATGCTGTTTTGACTTTTAATCCAATCCCATATGCTCTGATTTTTTTTCATACAATTTTTCCTTACAATATTTCGGTACTCGTTCATGTGCGTGCCTATGCTTTTGCAATTGGTATAAATAATATGATTGCTGTTTCAAAATATCGGTAATGCAATATGTTTTAGTTTTAATTATATAATATACCTCAATCCTCAGCGTTATTAAATATAAAGATATACAGTATATATATAATTCTGAGGCCATGTGTAGTTCAAGTAGGTCTTTGATACTGTGGATATACTTATTCTCCTTCTTACTCTCTCAAGCTAAAACAGCCATCGAGCAGTTTGAATACTTCATCCAAATTAGGGCTGAACCCAATATCCGGAAAGAGACGTAAATAATCAGAGTAAGTAAATTAAAGTGCTATAAGTTAAGTAATACTATATAAATTACTTTTTGCCCCGTTATAACAGCTTAATTCTTGAAGATGTAATTAGTTTATCATTCACAGTTATTGTTCTGCAAGTAAAATACTAGCGTTACAATTAAACAAGTAGGTAAAAGCAAATCTGCCAAGACGACTGTTTTGAAAGAACGATGGACATAATTAAACAAGCGACATCAAGTCAAAATGGCAGTTATATTGCTTTTTTTAGAAATGCTGTAATTCATTGTGCAAAAACAAAACCCTTCTTTTCTTTTTAAAGTGCGGAGTTTTCGTTATTTCTGGCTCGGTTTTGGCTTCTTTTAGGGGAGGTTAAAAGGCTAACAAGGTTGTGACGCCTGGCGTCGGGTATTAGAAAAAAACCAATGGTTACTTGTGTTTATTTGTCTTTCATTTTTCCCTTCTTCTTCTTCCCCCGGACTTAACCACCAAGAACAAGACCTGAATATATTGGAGCATAAACACCACTTATTTAAAAACAGTATTCTCATCCTTTATAGAGAAAGCCAGGCATGAGAGTGATTATTCTCGGTCTCGTTTATACCTCTTTTATTGTGACAGGCATTGGAGCATTGCCACTATTTGAGATTGGTAACACTTGCGTCCAAAAGGGCAATATTTTCCTCATACTGTATATCTTGACATTTTACTCCTTACCTTTTATATTCGTCTATATATTATAGCAAATGATTACGATAGATACGGCAATACGTGTCCTCTTCATTCAAAAAGTAATGTCGATTGCCCTCTTCTATGTGTACCAAACCACAACCTCTGTCCTGTCGCACTCGCGCCTTCCTGTCCAGATAATCTTTTGTTTTGTAACGATGGAACCTGTAAGCCTTCTTGTGACACAATACCAAATCTTTGCTTGTGCGACAATGCCTCTGTGCTTTCAAACTATGTACCATGTGCTGCTGGTCAACGGATCAACATCACTCACTTTGACCCACAAAACCAAGTAAACCAGACTCAGAATCTCTGCGCAGCTGCTTCAGGTCTTGAAAACACAGCCAGTTGGGGTTCATTCGATGGAACACCCGTCTGGAGACAGTGTCCAGTCGTCCCTGACCCAACATTTACATTTAGAGAACCGATGTGGATAGCCATCTGGTCATTGACAGGATTCGAGGCCTTATTGTTGGCACTTTGGCATGTCTACAAATCGATCAGAGAGGCCAGATTCTACAGAGACGTTAAGAATACACGGTCTCCGAAACTAATTATACCTCAAGACGGTATCAACGAAAAGGAGGAAACCTTGACAGAGAACGTTTCACCGTTAAAAACGCAAATTCATACCAATACGACGATGAGCATAGACGATGAATCTCAGAGTACCAGTACTAGTGAATCCCAAAATATTGTTTTCCGTGGATTCCGTAATGACTATTTTGGGCTCCTTGGTTTTGGATCGGTCGTAGTCACCACTCTTTTATTTATGGTTTTTCTTGGATGCTTGGTTGGAGATTATTGTATGTCAAATACCGTCTTGATCAACTCTAACCATACTTTATATAGATGGTACACTTGGTGGTGAAGCGCTTTCAGTTTTCTTGTCTTCGGATTCCTCTTCAAAGATCTTTTGTGCGGTCTGGCACATATCAGCTGCCTGGTTTTGCATAGTAATGCTAAAACGGAGAACAATACGGAACTATTTCCGCATCGAATCGTACGTTTACGACAGTCCGGTAATTCAAGTAGAACGCCGACAGGACGAGATTGTATTTTTGAGTAATGGGGATACCTGGATTTCCAAGATCGGCATACTTGAGCAACGTGTCTCCAAGAGGCTTGGGTAAGAATCGTGTGTTTGTAACAATCAATACTACTAAATACAAACCAAATCCGGGAATATTTATAAAAAAATGTTACTGCTATAGAATGGATATTTTGGTGGAGAGTTGTCCAATACACCTAACTGCGCAAAAGCGTCGTTATTTTGAATACCAATGCATGCGTTATGTGCTCAACGATAAGAATAAATTCGAACCTTACACATTCAGCCTCGGTAAAACCAATAACAACATTCACAAATGGTCAAACGGACTTGATACTGTTGAAGCAGCACAGCGGCATGAATTATTAGGCCCAAATATCATTCCTGTCAATGTACCGACTATTCCGCTCGCTATTATTCAGGAGTAAGTGATAAAGAAATAGGTTTAACTATTTTTTTCTTACATATCAATAGGTTCAGTTCCCTTCTATACCTTTACCAGATGATGTGTATGTGGGTTTGGTAGTAAGTATTCACAAACAAACTTTTTTTTTGTTTGAAACTCTAATGAGACTTATTGTGAAATCGGGGATAGCTATTTTCAGTATTACCCCATGGGATTAGTTCAAACCGGCATAATTCTTCTGTCAGCAATCATCCGAGTGATTTTAAGATTGAGAGCAGAAAACCGTATCAAAGAAATGGCAGAAGATGTAACCGATGTTAGTGTTCTACGAGATGGTGAATGGAAACAAAATGTATCAAGTGCTACATTGGTTCCAGGTGATGTATTCATAGTATGTGAGCACACAAAACTACCGTGCGATTCAGTCCTCCTGTGTGGATCTGTGGTTGTAAACGAATCTTCATTGACGGGTGAAGCCATGCCGATCCGAAAATTTTCTGTTCCAAAAGATGACGGGCTTTACCTGCCCGATGGTCCTGGAAAATCAAGTACCCTGTTTGCGGGTACGCTTGTGTCCCAGACTATGCCGTCCCAGGGTAAAGACCGTGTTATCGCAGTTGTCTTACGTACTGGAATTACAAGTGAAAAGGGCACCTTGATCCACAAGATACTTTTTCCAGCACCCATCAGTTTTATCTTTCATGAACATCTCAAGCTAGCCATTTCTATTTTACTTATTTGGGGAGCGGTTGCTTTTGCCCTTGCGTTATACCTAATGGGACGAGGCAACATCACTAGCTGGTACTATGGAGTGTTTACCATGTCCCAGATCTTCTCCCCTCTTTTGCCTGCAGCCTTTACTATCAACCAGTCTGTCTGTGCGGCCCGTCTCCGCACCAAAAACATTCTTTGTATAGATCTACCTCGTATCAATTTGTCTGGAAAAGTCCGTATCTTCTGTTTCGATAAAACTGGTACATTGACTCGCGAAGGTCTCGATTTTTATGGAAGTGCTAGAGCTCCGTTAGACATAACTATGCCGTTTGAGGGTAGAGAAGAGGATCCATTGAATATGCAACATATTCTTGCTATGGGTATTGCAACCTGTCACGCAGTTACAAAAGTGCATGGCCAGTATATCGGAAATCCAGTTGACATCGAGTCATTTAATGCAATGAAGTGGGAACTTCTACCACCTGCTGACCCTGATTATCTCGATACCCTCATACCACCATCTGTAAAACCTGACGTAAAGAGAGCTCCTGTGCATGTCCTCCAACGATTCGAATTTATACATTCCCGGGCATCTCAATCTGTTACGGTATTGGACACATCTACATACAGAGTACATGTATTCCTCAAAGGATCTTTTGAACGTATCAAACAACTTTCACGTCCACAATCCGTTCCGGCTTATTATGACCGTACTGCGGCACATTACGCACGAGAAGGGTGTTATGTACTTGCATTAGCTCATCGAAATCTTGGTGTACTTGGAGAAGATATAACGATGGAAGAAATTAAAACCATGAGCCGAGAAGATATGGAATCTTTGTGTAACTTTTCAGGCTTTATTTTGTTCCGCAATAAGCTTAAGGATGATACCACCGAAGCTATTGCAGAACTAAAAGGTGGTGATGTTCGTACAGTGATGATCACCGGAGACACAGCACTGACAGGAATATTTATTGCTCGTCAATGTGGTATGATCAGTACTGGTCAACGTGCTATTCTGGGTGATGTAAAGAATGGAAGTGTGGTTTGGACCGATATAGATTCTGAAAAAGAGGTGGATATCGATCAAGTACTCGAAGACGACTTCACGAGAATTGAAATGAAGACAGTCGAATTGGCCATGACGGGAAGAGCATTTGAGTTTTTGTTTGAACAAGGTGTGATTCGTAAGTTTCTGCTCCATACACGCGTGTTTGCACGCATGACACCAAACCACAAGGTTGAATGCGTACAACTTCATATGGAAAAGGGAGTTACGGCAATGTGTGGAGACGGTGGAAATGATTGTGGTGCATTGAGAGCAGCTCATGTGGGCCTCGCACTTTCTGAGGCTGAAGCCTCCATTGTTTCTCCATTTAGCACAGGCAATAGGTAAAGCTAATTTTTTACACTATTAGGAACAGAAGATAAACTAATCTTATAACCTTACAATAGATCTGTTTTGCAGTGCGTGGAACTATTAAGACAAGGCCGATCAGCTTTGGCTACAAGTTTTGCAAACTACAAATTCCTTATCCTTTATGGTGAATCCATGGCCTTTTGGGAGCTTATTATGTTTTATTTTACTGTGATTGCACCTCAATCGATCTGGATTACAATTGATGGTGTGTTTAAAACAAGTCCTTGTTATTTATTGGTTTATAAGTTTAACCAAATTTTCATTTATAGGCTTCATCACAACAAGTATGACATTTGCCATCACTCAAGCAAAACCTGCTCATAAATTGGGGCCATCGCGGCCTACTGCTAAACCATTAGGGCCTTACACCTTGGCTTCTTGTTTGGGAGTAATTTTTATCAATTTTTGGTTTATCGTGAGCAGGTAAAGTGATCGAAAATAATATAAATTCCAAAATGCTTGCCTCTTATTTCTTTTTATTTACTATTATTAATTTTCTTTAAATGTATATATAGTGTTGCCTGGCTTTTCCAACAAGACTGGTTTATCTGCAATGAGTTTGATAGTTCTTCTATCGATTCTGCAAAATGGTGGCTCCTGGGTGACAATTACGAGTCTGAAGTTATCTCACTTGTCATTATCTTCCAATTTTTCAATAATGGGGCCATTGTAAACTTTGGTTCAGCTTTTAGACAATCCTGGTGGCGTAACTACATTCTCGTATTTGTGTGGTCCTGTTTTTTTATTAGCACCAGCTTTATTACTCTTGCAGACCCGAATCCTTATAGTTGTATTGTAAGTTAATTAGGATAGACCAATGTTATTTTTTGGGGGACATTGGTTGATTTATAATCATCTTTTAGTTCCGTATCAATTGTGGTGACCCAGACGTATTGCACAATACACTTGGATATCCAATGCCATGGTGGAAGATTGAATCATATAATTCTGCATTTGGCCATAATGTACTTCCGAAATGGTTCCGCTGGCAATTGTGGGGGTTCATGCTGGCAAATTGCTTGGCCAATATCATTTGGGAGCGTGTAATTGTCCTTTGGATTGTTCGCGACTGGGCGATTAAGAGAAGCAAGAATGACCCCAAGAGCAAACGTGTTACCTTTAAGCTTTAGATTCCTTTATGTCTATTTATCTTTTTACATCATTGCATGGTTTATATCACATTGTACAATTTCATTTTTCTCTCTTATTCATTTGCATATATTATTATTATTATTATTATTATTATTATTATTATTATTATTATTATTATTATTATTTTGCTGGCATCAATACCGCCATTACCTATATTAAAGACAAATGACAGCAAATACATAAATGTTTAGAATCAGACTAGAGAATCTAAAGGGCTAGAGAGAATGTAAGTTGACCTTTAGACCCTTTTTACTCTACTAACTTCGACGTTTTGGTATGAAACTCGCTTTTCTCATGGTCAACCTCTTCTTGATAGCCAGGCTGTCCTGTGCTTGTGAGACCAATGCAATGTAAAATAGATGGGATTAAATCCCACATTTCACGCGCTAATGCTCTATAAATATATATTAAATAGGTTCCGACTCTGTATGAAAACAGGAAAGGCTGCTGTTGATGCATGTGAATCTAACAGCATGACGTCCTGTGGATGTTCTGCTCAGAAACAACTGTTGGCATGTTACACTGAGTGTGGGGACAGCTATGATATGTTCGGTAAGTGCATGGTACACAATTATAGACTGGCCAGCTGATTATGTTTTAAGCTCAAGAGGAAGGCCAACTACGATACGTTAAGGAGGCATGCGATTTTCTTGGAGCTGAAATAGAATCTCAAAATAGAGTAGATGGAGAATCAGGGCTGACAAAACAATCTCAAGGTGGGACAGATAGAAGATGGAGAGCAGCCTCTGTCAACAGTACTAGTGAGAACGGCAATTTTGGTATGTCACCAATTCACTTGGATGAACCAAGATTAGCAAACTCTCACGCAGAAGCCGCAGCCGCAGCCGTAGCCATGAATCCAAATTTAAATTACAAAGGCAATCGAGATCTCGAGGACAATATTGAAAAAAATCCTAAAGCATCCACTGCATCATTATCCGCTTACCCAGTCATGTGTGTGTCGCTGCTTTCTGGGATTGTGCTTGTTTTTACGCTTTTGTGTTAAGGTTCAAGTATCCATTGATTAGATAGCCACAGTATATACATGCTTTCTTGAATTTGCACTATACTGTAACCACTGCCAGTCCCCCCCGAGAATTCGCAAGTACACACGAACCTAATACTATAGTCTCTCGGGTCGATTACTATTCCAAGAAATTTGACAGTGTTGTATGATCTTGGGAAAAAGGCTATTCAAATTAGCCTATAAAATAGAGTCCAAGATTCAGTTCAATTTTATCATTATTCCTTTAAAAAGTCATATAATAAAATTCTAAACCTTTGTTTATTATTATTGTATTTTTTTTTTCTTTTTCTTTTAATGGTGAACGGTATCTGTTATCGAGCTCACATCCATCATATGACTAACATAATTCACCATCTCTACAAGCAGTGTTTAAATTCCGCTATTCTGGCCAATGTCTCTAGAGCAGTTTTTGGAATTACATGAAATACGGGTAATTTTCCCTATTGACAGATTAATTGCAAGCTGTAATCCATATAAAGATTAATGGTGCGTGAGAGAAGTCTAACCAGATAAAAACAATCCAGAGAGAGTAAAAAAAGGTATGTTTTCAAAACAGTTCATTCTTATGTATCCACCGACAAATGGTAATGATAAGAATCTTGATCATCGCAGGACAAGATATGCTTCACCCAGATTCTTTGTGATCAGACACCTAAAATAAGCTCAGTACACAAAAGAAAACAATCTTTGATCGCATGTACCTGATCGGTAAGCTTCACCAACCAGTAATATGCAGCACAATTACCTAATTGTCTCCACCTTCTTGAAGCGTGCAAAATAAAGTGTAACAAAAATTACTGCAAATAAAGATGGGGCTGTGCTAATTGATACTTGATATCCACAAAAAAAACAACGGTTGTACTCGTTAAAAATAAGAAAAAGAGAAAGCAATGGAGCTGTTTTTTTTGGGATTTACTAACCTGCTCGTCGGAGCTATCACTATTAAGTAATTATTTCAGGTATTACCTATATTCTTATAAACAACCAAGTAGAATATTCTTTTGGATTTGTATTTCATTTTACTCGATTTCTTTTTGTCTTTTATTCACTTTGTATAATACTATAAAACTATTGTCTTGTATGTTACATATTTTCGCAATAATAGCTCTATTAAGCACAATGTATTTATTGCTTATAAATAGTGGATACAATCTTTCGATAGTTAGTTTAGCTTCTTCCGCAAGTACACAGTGGTATTTTCACATAAATATTATATACTATTTACTATCTAACTTATATCAAATGAAGAACAATGTGCCTCTTTAATCTAACCAATAACTAATTGTTGTTTTTCCTATCTTTAACTAGCTCACCATTTATGTTTTCTAGACCACTGTACTTTATTTATTTTTCTTTGAAAATTGAATATCTCGGCTATCATATACAAAGGAACAGCTTGATTTTCATAAACATTTGTGTTTTCAAATATATATATATACATAATTCTAGGCCTGATATCTGCATCTGTTTGTCGCACTAATTGGATATATAACCAAAAACACAAATATACTTGATCGAGTACCGTGACAAAAAACAATCGATCAATATCATAGCTATATTGTGCTGTATTTTTATTTACTATATGATTCATAATATTCTACGAATGCAGCTTCCCTCTTAAGTATATATATATATATCCGCCAAGTATACAACCTTCTCATTTACAAATAAATAAATACGACCGTGCCTATATTAACTGCTTCAAAATTAATTATATCAAACGGAATAAAATACTAATAAAGTAGTAGTATTTTTTTTCTAGGATATTCCTGGTTAATATCATACTTTAATCATGAGGTCCATACTTTCTAAAGCATAAGTAACTGTTATTTATAAATAAATACTCCAATTAAATGTCGTATTTTCAGTATTTTAACACAATAAAAAACGGTTGTTTGGCTACTTTACAAAGAAAAAAAATCAAAGCATGATCAATTTTTCTTGTACAAGAGAAAATCTATATATCAAACCTATTAGAATATCTGTTACGTAAGACACCAACTCAAAAAGGTCAAAGGCAAATGTAATTTTGCTTTCTACATCTTTATTTACTTGCGGAAAGACGCGAAATTTTGGTGTTAGAGAAAATAACAACAATAAAACAAAGCGTAAGTGCCTCTGATATAGAATGTATTCCCTCCGCTCTAAACAGCCCAGTAGTACGAATAATATAAGATGTTTAAAAGTTGTAATGTTGAAAAACAACATTATTATTATTTATACTTATATTCTGTTCGTCTGACATATACAGCAAATAACACAAGCACAAAACAAAGCACCAATTGTAGTTAATTCTAAGGAATTAAATACTATGTTGGCTGATACCCATCTTATAAAGTCATAATCTGATCCCATGCTTAACAATATTATGTATATAATATATATGTTTCAAAACAAACAATTCATAAATAGAAAGGCAAAAAGCAAACTCTAGAACTCCTTTTTACTTCTTTAGAACATTCCTCAATAAAACCGTCAATCCGGAAGTAAGTCTCCACTCATCTCCCAGAAGATCCAAAAGCACTGAAATGCAGCCATTTTCGTATCATTTGTTCTCTATACTCTAGAATCGCAACTCTTGATGCTAAAACGTTAGAAACTAAATATAGTATTTCTAGTTTTTTTTGTATAGTCTGTATATGTGTAATATCTCAATAGTACTCACATTTGATAAATAATACAGACAGATCTAGTCAATTTGCTTTTCCAAGATTATATAGATATATATATATATTATTTTTAAAGAAAAGTACAAACAGAAACACGGTTTCATATTTAAAAACGGCTTATTTTCTCTCAATTCTAACTACTAGACTTAGGGGTTTAATATAACCTACTAATAAATATCGAATATAATGAAAGATGAAACCATATACATATGTATGCATTTGATATTCTTCGCGTATAGTTTTTTTTAAATAAAGAATCGTTTCCACAACTATTCTCTTTTCTTTACACTACTAGAGTTTTACGCCAAGAAGTCAATATTTTTATACTTTCTCGGTTTCTTATTTGACAGGAATCTCGAAGCCATTTTTAGGAAGCATTAGATTTATTCCAATACCCAAGACAAGAAAAAGCCACCAGACTCTCTCTCTCTCGTCGTTTCTCCTCTTCAAAGATGGGAATCCTTTGTTGCCAAATTAAAGACAAGATTCTTTTAATGTCAAAACAATTACTAAGATTTATGAAAATACTAGATATGCATGCGAATTTTGAAGTTAAAACATACTGCAAAAGCTTTGATTAATCATATAATCGTTAAAGATATCATAGTTAGCCGTTCCGCATGTTTGGCATTAATTAGTAATGATAATAAATTGAGAGATTAATAAAAAGCGAAGAGTTCACAACTTTTTAAATGAACAAAAAAATTTCCTAGACCATCACTCTTCCTCAGTTATTGTTATTCATAAAAATTATGGTGGTTAAGGATGTTGATGTTATTATTATATATAAAGTAAAAGATCACAACCACAAAGCTGTTCCTGCGTGTCAAAGTGCGCCAGCGGGAATTGTTAAGGATGTATTCAAGTCACGTGACATCGAAATTTTTTTGTTTGTCGAAAGTGACCCTTTTTGCTAGTAAGCTTGGGAGACAACCCGTTCCAACTCTCTCTCCTTTGTTGGTCACTCTATGTCCGCTAACGTTTTTGTTCAAACTACCCCCGAGAACCAGGTAAATACCTTGCGTTCTCAATTGGTACCCAAGACCAATTAGAATTTCGACTTTTAAACCAAGAGACACGTCTGCATTTCTGTCCTGGCGCTCTATCGTGGCTTATTAGCTCCACCCCCAAAAAAAAGAAATCGATGGAATTATAGGTGTTGGATGACCATTACTCTAATATTATATTGTGGCACTGCTGATTTTAGATCCTTGATCTGGCATCTTACATCTCTAAGCTGAGAGGCGAGGAGGGTAAAGAGGAAGCTTATGTCAAGGAAATCAAGGCTTTGTTGGCCTCTGACAAGAAGAGTGAAGTCTATACTAAGCTCGCAAAGGACTCCTCAGTACTTCTTACTGAGAATGACAAAGGTAAAGAGGGAAAAAAAGTTAATTCCAGAAATTCGTAATTAACTAGTTAATGAGGATCCCTCTTAATTTGCTTTAGAGGTTGAAGGTGCTTTCAACTTGCTTGTTGTCATCACTTTGAGTGCACCCGAGAACAACCTCGCTGCCTCTGTCCAGGCTCTTGTCGACACATTGTCCAAGACTGAGAGCCAGAAGACTAGCTTGAAGCAAAAGATGTAAGGTTTCTATGAAAATAGTGTATAGAGAATATATTGATAATAACAAGGGTATTTCTAGCTTGCTTAATCTCTACAACGCACTTCCTGTCACCTCTGCTCTCCGATACAACGCATTTGTTGGATTGGTTGATGTGACAGCACAGGCCGACGAATTGGATTCTCTCTACGCACAGCTGGAGCACATTGATCGTTGGGTGAAGCAGTGGGGTATTGATATCGAGACTGAACGCAACTTGTACAGCAACCTCAGCGATAAACTGAGACAGGCCCGTGAAGAGTACGTTTTGAAATACATTTCCTAAAGAGAGACTAACATAGACTACTCTATCAGAAAGCTGTCCCTTGATTTCTTGTTGAAGAAGTTGTCGACTTACAGCCAAGAAACCGTTTCTACAGACTGTGCCAAAGAAGCTGTTACGCGCGCCGTAGACACCGAAAACTTCTTTGCCTTCGAAGACCTCCTCCAATACAGCGCTATTCAGAAGATCAAAGGAACTCCCGAATACGAGCTTCTCAATGTCTTCTTGAACGGCAACCTTTCCACATACAAGACCTTTGCTGCATCTAACCCCACCCTGGTAAAAGACAGCGAAAACAACCTGAGAAAGATGCGTCTCCTTTCCCTTGCATCTCTTGGATCTGATAACCTTGCTAGAGAATTAACCTATGCTGAGGTCGCAAAAGCATTGGATATTTCTGAGGATGAGGTTGAGATGTGGGTTATTGATGTGATCCGTGCCGGTCTTGTTGAAGCCAAGCTGGATCAGCTCAACAAGAACGTTATCGTTCACAGAAGCATCTATCGCGTCTTCGGAAAGGAGCAATGGCAACAATTGGGTGCAAGACTCAACACCTGGAAGGACAGCCTAAATGAGATCTTGGCAATTATCAGCAACGCCAAGTTGATCGCAGGTGGCTCTCAGGGTGGTTCTGCTGTTGTTATTGAAGACAAGTCTGTCGAGGTGGCCACCAAGAACTAATATATATTTTTTTGTAAACAAAAGAAAAAAGGAATCTGCCTGTTTAGAGAAAATCCCACCTTTCTTACTCTTTTTTCGTATCTCATTCTTCTTTTTGTGTTTATCTACATTACCTTTGTCATGTCAAAAATACCGACGGTCAGAATAAACATAAAGCAGCACTTTGCATTTGGTTTCAATGTTGATATAAAATTTTATTGCATCCCTTTTTTAAAATAATAATAATAATAATTCACAAGTTGAAATAAACAAAATGTACGAACACACAAGCACACACGCAATCCAAGACTCTTTTTTTTAAACAAAGGAAAGCTCAAGGATCCATGTACGGCGTACCCACAGTCTGACTTGAATGTTATCTAGTTTTGTTAGAGTATAGTCCCACCAGCACTTCCTCTATTGAAATTTATATCCATTAGTATTATAGAACATATCAAATACTATACACTTTATATGTTTTTTTTATGTTGGTCGTACCGCAGGCTTCTTCCAAAAGACCATTAACTTTTTTGCAGACTCCATAATATTATCTTTGTCTTCAACCTTAAGCTTGACCAGAGACACACTTGTGATGAATGTCTTTTTCGATTCAAGTTCTCGATAAAACCACCTGTCCAAACGAGTGAACCCACAATCGCACAACATATCTACCAGTTCCCTTTCTACTATATTGTTCCCCCTCTTAACGTTTTGTAACATTGAATGAAACACGAGATCATCTGCCTTGAGAAGTTGTCCAGCTGTTTGTTTAAGTTGTTTCAATGTGATTATGTCTGCTGTGCTGGTCAATGGATTAGACTTATCCTGAGGAAGAATAAAGTATTCGAGTTCTTCGCGCAAAACAACAATAGCCTGTTTTGTAAGTAACGAGTATCGGGCCGAATCAAACTGTCTAGAGTAAGCTCCCACGAGACCAGCACTGAATGCTTCCCAAGAATGGTCTTGGTTTTCTTTGGCAAACGTCTCGGCTGCCTCGCTGAAGAATTCAAGGATGTACGAAAAGCATTTTGGATCAAAATCAGATTCACCAACCAGTCCGCTAGTGTCTGTAGGGGCTGGATTTTTATCAGCTGTCAGGACAAAGCCGTTTGGAAAAATGGCGACTAGTAAACTCTCGGGAAGAGACACCTGTAAGATAGCTCGGATGACGAAAAGCCTATTATAGGAAAGCACTATTGGGTATTACCAGGCTGTCTCGCTTAACGTACATCGGAACACCTCTCAGTAGAAGTTTGAGATGAGTTGGAATTGCATTTCCTTTTTGCAATGAATTTGAATCCTGATGAGATGGGTGATCAGGTACTTGGGTAATTGGAGATGAACTCATGATAAACAGATGACCCTCCCGACACCTCGCCTCGAATTTATGCGGCTAATTTATATAAGATTAGAAAAACTTGAATACAAACTCAAGCGTAAGTTTCAATAATGTGCTCAAGTCTCCTTGGTGCACAAGCCGGTCAGTTGACAATAAACTCCTTAAGGTAAAGAATATCTTAAGATGGACAAAAGCGTATGTATAGATGTTTATTCCATAATAAAAGTGAGCTATAAAAATAAACCCATTGCGGCCCATTATAATCCCCTTGATTTTGGATGGACTTAAGCAGAGGCGGACTTCTGGATGGAAGATGTTCTGCGTCTGGCGATCTTGCGATCCTTGGTCTCCTTGACGCGCTTGGCCAACAATTGCTTGTACTCGGCCTCGGCCTCGCGAGAAGACTCTGCTCTTCTGCGCTTGATAGCGGTTCTGTGTCTCTTGCGCTGGAGAGTAAGAGGGGTGACAAGACGCTGGATCTTAGGGGCCTTGGTGTAAGACTTCTTCTCGGCGTTCTTGGGCTGGACCTCACGACGAATGACATACTTGCGGACATCATCCTCCTTGCTCAAGTTCTATACATACATACATACATATATAACGATAACATATTTAGCAAACCAAAGCTTAAATATTATCACTAATTATTTCTCTCTTAGTCGAAATAATATCCCTTTTCTATTCATAGTTTTTCATAAACTTACGAAGAACTTGCGGATCTTGGAGGCACGCTTGGGACCAAGACGCTTGGGGACAGTGACATCGGTAAGACCGGGAATGTCCTGCTCACCCTGCTTGACAACAACGAGAGAGAGAACGGCAAGGTCGGAGCCAACGATGCAACCACGAACAGACTTTCTCTTGCGCTCACCAGTGCGGCGAGGACGGTAGCAAGAGTGACCCTTGCTCAAGAGGAGACGGACACGGTAAGGGAGGAGGACACCCTGCTTCATGGGGAAACCCTGCTTATCGTTACCACCGGAGATACGGAAAACGTAACCCTTGAACTCGTCACCGAGAGCATCACCAGAGACTTCCTGGGACATACGCTTGTCGTAGAAACCACGGAGACGACGCTCATCATCGATTTCAATAAGCTTCTGGCAGCCGGTGGCTGGGTTCGCAATGTTAAGCTAAATTGAGAGAATTAGATAAGACAGTTCACTGTAATGGTTTGTTGATGTCGAACTGTCGATGTGATGATGGATGTTAAGTAAGAGGATCGTGTAGCTGGTGTAGTATGTAGTATAAAAAAGCTATTTTTTGTTTGTTTTTGATATCCTCTCTATCCACTCAGCCAGCCAGACATCCATCAATCCATCCATCCATCCATCCGTCGTGTAACGCGTTCTCTTGTGGTTGCATAAAATTAAATGAGGTTGTATACCTTCATGGTAGCTGCTTCAAAGGAACCAAAGTAAAAAGAGGGAGAGCCATGGCCAGAGCCGCAGACTTGCCCCGATAACCAGAAACAACGGGCGATTAGGCCACATTACTATATTTGGTAATGTGATCACAGACGCCACTTTCCACGTGCAGTATTATTGAGAAGGCCTCAATTTTAAGGTTGAATTTGGAGTCATTTAAAGATTCGAAACGTATCGTATTAACCATTGGCACCAATAAGCTTTGTATTTTTTTTTGCCAAAGTTGATAAAGTGTAAGGGATGGTATTTGAAAAGTACAGTTTCTACAAGTATGGCTCGGAACTTCAGGCACAGTTTCCTGAACTACCATATTTGTCTTTACTAAATTTAAACTTGTTTTATTTACTTTTTTGTAACTATTCCAAATTCGGATTTTATGAAAATGTGGTCTAGTTTATGAGATGACTTTGATTACACCATCTCTATCACCACTTATCACCATTGGATAAGGCACCTCTGTCAAAATAACATCTGTAATCGCATCTGTATGATTGCGCATCAAATGATGCTGTTGAATAACTGCACTATTACCACCTGTTTGTCCGGTAGTACTGAATCCTGTCCGTGCGCCGAGTGATGCTGACGATCCATGGTTGTTACGTTGAACATGTGTAAATTCATAGTGGAATTTTATCGATTCATGAGTGTTTACACTACAGAAATTTACACAACATTATAAGTTTTCTCTCTCTCTCTTTTTTTTCAAATTTAAAGCAATTCTTGATTTCTACCTTCCTCTATCTTACCTATATCGAGGTTTGGGCTCTTCCATTTCAAGTCCCAAAATTACACATGAATTCTCTACACGAGGAATATCCCAGAACCGCAACTTTCGATCTGATCCACCAGTAATGATAAACCTACAATCTGATGGGGATGCAACTGCTCTGATAGAATTTTCGGCAAGGTTTGCTTCATTGCTTGTAAATGCTTGAGACATGATTTCAGCATCTGAGGGTACTTCAAGTGCCTAAACAAAACATTTCATAGTATGAATATAATTAGTGCTTTATCACAAAATAAGGTGGAAAATGAGTATGTTGAGCTGAATTTATATTCCTTGCCTTGTAAGCTTCCATAACGACGCCTGCCGTCTTTTCATCCCCAGATTTTACAGCAAATACTTCGACACATCGCAAATCCACAATGTCCCACACAGACACTTCGTTGCGACCGGCCGCAATAATAACTTGTTTACTCTCTGCTTTAGGATCATGATTTAACATCATTGTACTGATCCTGCTCTTGCTGGGATGTAACCACGAACGCAATGGAATCTGGAATCGAAGGTCATAGAGAGTCAATATGCCTCTAACTGTACCAACCAACAACCAGGTGTGAAGGCGATCTGTCACCATGGATGTTATGACACCTATTTCACAGACATACATATATGTAAAAGATGATTTAAGCACAGGATACTCTGATTTTACAAAAGATAATTACCATGACTTTTGGGGTTCTGTAGTTTCCACACAATCTCCATAGTCAGCAAGTCCATCGCATAAATATTTCCCTTGGTCGTTGCGAACATTAGGAATGACTTTGAGCCAGCCATAGCATTAGATGCGTCTAGATTGAAGAAATTAGATTTTTCTCTCTATTTGTTTTTGATAAAAAAATAACTTACTGCTCGTAAAATGTTTAATCACTAATGCATGCTCATCGACCAGTTGGTGTTCTCGAACCGTAATACATTTACCAAACTTTAAACCCGAGGCAGCGTTACGAATATCCACCCTTATAATATCCAATACAAAAACATATCAATAAAATAATTCATGCTTTGGTAAAGTATGAGCTTACCTAAACACGTTAACGCTACCGTTATCAGAAGCAGCGGCAATGCAATATGTTTGCTGGATAAAAGTAATACATTTTATACGACCACCTAAATCAATGAATACAATAAATACTTGAAATAATTGACTATTGTTTACTATTCCAACTTGCCTTGCTGGTTGTAGGTTGCTCTTGACCTATTAGTTACATTCCTCTCTAGGCGGGAACAGTCCCAGATCTTTACTGATCCGTCATCTGAGCACGAAGCAAAGAGCAAATTGTCCCATGATATTGCTAATTGGTTAATTGCAGCAGTATGTTCTGTGAAATGAGCCACAAGTGTGCCTGCAATCCCAGATGGTAAAAATTTAATAAACTATTTTCAAGAAAACAAGAATTTATTTTCTCGTATACCTTCAGGTTTCCAGTTGCTAATTGTTCTGAAAGGAGAAGTTCCTTGAGGAAGGCGTCGCATACGCTTCATTACCGCTGGATCTCCGATAAACTCTGTGTAAAATGTTCCACTCACGTAAATAGACATAAATTGAAAAGGAACACAAGCTATGTTTAATTTTTACCTGGAATATGAGGCGAAAATGCATCCATGGCTACACTATGAAGTAATCCCTGGAGGTGACCATATCCGACTAGAAAATACATGCATATTGCTTATATAAAAAATCGTGTATTTGGTTTGTATTGTTCTTTTTTGTATATATGTGGTTTTATACCTGATGATCCTCTAGATAAGGTGTTAGCGGAGGTCCTTACAATGCCATGTACATTTTCGAGATCAGGATCAGATTTATTCTTCGTAGTTATAACTGGTCTCAGCTCAACTCCATCTGAAGCACCAATAGATACGGTGTTTGCACTCTCGGTGTCTTCCACGTATTTCTTTTTGTTTTTTGAACCTATTTTTGAAGTTAGTATATTATATAAGACATAACCATATTTTTTGCTGAATATAGAAACCTTTTTTGCGATTAGCATTTGTATTATGTATATCCATTCCAAAGTTATATTCAGTAGGGCTTGGTATTGGAGAAAAGGATTGCTTATTATCATTATCAGAGTCATTTCCTTGTGAATTGTACAGTAAGGCTTGTACATGAGGCTGACTTGCAACCCGATTGAGTTTACAGTCATCTTCTTTGATATGTTGTGGAATAGATAGTTTGCTAGGCAAAGTCTCCCTATATTAATATATCAGCTTCCATACAATCTATAAAGTATACTTATAAAATATTACCTTTCAGGTTCCTACACAAATTATCACTATGGTGTTAGTAATTTTGTAAGTATATACAGCAAATTATATGCCTGACTTACTGCTTTCAATATTGTTTTGTAAGATTTCACATTCCATACATGAGCTTCTTGTGATAGATCAGGCAGAAATACTGTCATAGGTGTAACTCCAAGGTTTTTCAAGAAAATTTCTCCGTTCTATTCGATAAAGAATACATTTAATTATAGCGTATAAAGTTAAATAATATATAAACCTACGTCTCTGACAAGATCATCCGATGCCTTTGGCCGACTAATAAACAAAGCCATTAAATTAAGGCTATATCCTAAATAACCATTCATTTTTTGTGCCCTTTACCTTAGCTTAGATTGAGACACCTTGTAAATGTAATCACGCATGTATCCCAGCCTTCTCTCATCTTCGACAGACATACCAACTTTGCGAAGACGTTCAATGAACATTTCATCCCTAAAAGCATAATTTTAATCAGTTCTCACAGCTCATACCTCCTTTAAACGCAAAGCTTACTCTTCAGATTTCTGTATTTGATCTTCTGATAGAGAACTAGAGAATAAAGATCCTTGGTAGAGATTTGATGTCAATATAAGTTAAACCAAAAAATAAAAAAAAACCTTTAGTACTAACCTTGTCGTATTTTCATTGCTGGTCCAACTATAGTTGACTTTGACGATGATCCCGATTGGTTTCTCTTGTCTTGTTGTGGTTTCCAGAAAAGTGAGCGTATGGATGCCTTGTTTGCCCATATGATTGCTTGCTCATATACTTGCCTTGGAAGCTGTCATTTTTTGTTTTTGTTTTTACTTTTAATTTTAGATGTATGTATATATATATTTCCGAGTGATATTACTAGCATAAGCTCTTACAGGTGTCTTTATGTTTTGTAGTAAGCAGGTTTCGTTGACTTCAGAAATATCAGATCGTAAAAACGGTTTTAAAAGAGGGTATATTATGCACCACAGGTCAGTTTGCGGAAGATGCTTTGCAGTAGAAGAAATAAATCCAATTGCACCTAAAATAAATTTATTAATCAATTGATCTAATAGAATCCAATCAGTGCGCTCTAAAAAATATTACCGTATTGAATCCAAACACTCGGGTGACAGATAAGAGGTGCGATTATACCCACTAATTCCCATGATTTCATCTTCTCAAAAAGATCCAAATCTGATAGACTTGTCAAGGAGTTCAATACACTCTCAACCACAAATTCTTCGGCATCTGGTAAAATATGTTGTTAGAAACGCTATACAAAAGCTTATAAAATAAAAATGCAACACCTTACCTGTGAGTGCTTGTATCATCAGAGGCAATATATATTCTTCAAGGCTTCGAGAGCCGACAAAAGTTCCAACACCCTTGATACTTTCAAAAAATGCGCTATAGATATTACAATATTTAATCAGCATATTGAATATATATATATATATATATAGGTAAACTATAAGAATGTATACCTTCTGAGCATCCAGTCCTTATCATTGAGGTAAGTAATCATGTGACTTAACAATACATCATTTGTTTTTTGCCTTCCAAAGAATCCACACAAGCAAGTAATGTTTGTCAACAAAGCCCGTTTAACAGAGCTCTCGTTATCGATCAGAAGCACTGTTACTTGTTCTTGAATAACAGAATGAAGATCGTTCAATGAAGAGTCATAAGCAGACTACATGAATTTTTAATTTTTTAATTTTCTTTCATTAAAAGGTCCAACATTGCTTAATATATAGCAGAAATAGTTACCTCAAAATCCAGGTCTTCTGTGTCCATATCTGTTAGAGGAAACGCGCTATCATTCTTTAAGAGCTAAGAAGGAGCATTTATTGTTATCTATATTGTACATATTCATACACACACCAATAAAGTTACTATTTATTGCATTTACTTGTGTCATCTCGAGAAAACGAAGAGCAGTCTCTGCCAAAAGAGCTATACAGCTTGCATACGTTGTTCTAACAAGTACATCTGGGTCTGTTGCAAACTCTCTGACACTTGGCAGAATATATTCTGGAAAAATTCGTGCATTGATTGGTGAAATAGACTCTACCATACACAGCTAGAGGTTTATATATAGAAGAAAAATTATAAAGGTTACTTATATGTACCAGTCAATTGTTTCGAGCCCCAAAAAATGATTTTGACTTACTACTTGTGTAAGGGTCTTTATAGCATTTGCACGGACAAGAGCAGTTTCATCCGACAAAAGAACCATCAGATAAGGTACTAGCCTATCCAGTTTGACATCATCCGGAAGATTCTCTCCTAGAGCAAGAAGAATATCGAGAGCTTTCAACTTTGAGCTGGGATATGAAGTGTTTCGAATAAGAGAACAGACAAAAGAAAGTAGGATCAAATAACCATGCTCTATACATGATCAGCAATTAGTAAGTGTGGTGTCTAATATATTTGCACTATATTCACCTTCTGTTTTGTTTGAATTATTGGGTTTAATGGCAGATGTATTACTGGGCTCATAATTAGGTATGTTAAGCGTAGGAGGTAAAATTATCTAATGTTTTTTTTAAAAAATAATAGTAATAATAATAGTATCAAAATATAAAATTGCTACATCTTTAAAATACAAATAATACGTACGGCTGATGCAGTTGTGCTTGCCAAATCTGAATCCAATAAGATAAATATAATTTCAATATATTGGCTTGTAAACTTTTCTATTACAATTACCTGATATCGTTCGGCGACGTAGTCCAACAAATCTTGGCTCTTCATCAGATGAGTTACTGCTATCTGATGACCCTGATAAACGTTTAGTGTATGGGTCTGATAGATTCTCATCAGGTTCACTTTTGAAGGATACGTTGTAAGTGATTTTGTCGAAATCATTGTGGATATGCTCGATTTTTTCGTCTGCGTCAGTCTTTCGTTTACTGCTTGCGATAGTTCCTGGGAGTGCTTGTGTAAGAGACGATAACGTATCAATGCCTGAATGTTGTTGAATAGATATGCTGCCATTATTTTCTGTTACAGAGTTGATATATTCGTGAAGAAATGTGTCGAAATATTTCGGGAATGCCTTTCCACGCCTATAATCAGTAATATAATCTGGACTTAATACATGCTTATAAATGCGTCAAGACATGTACCATTTTTGTAAGTACTGTTTGGCTGAGTATCGTTTTGTTGGGTCTATCTGAATCATATGGCGTATCATGTCCTATAAAGATGTTCATATGATTACACTTTTGTTTAATGAAAGCATATGTAGAATTTACCCTTATATGTTTGTCTTCGATCTTGTTAAGATTCGAATCTGGTTTGTATTCTCCGCTTCGATATTTGAATAGTTGTGATAGTGAAAATATGGAAGTGCCTTCAAGAAAGAGCTCTGCAATGACACAACTAGTTTTGGATAATGAAATTAAGCAATTTATTATGTACTGTGTATCTAATTAAGGCTTACCCAACAGAAAAAATGTCCATTTCAGGTGTTAGTTCACTAACATTATCTTCAAAATCCACATTTTTCTATTAATTTTAATAATGTTAGTATGCACCAATTTTTTCTTCTACAAAATAACAGTAGTTGATCTACCATTTTTTGATCAATAGCAGTTCCGGCCTTGTAGAATCGTTCGGGTGCAATATAACAGCTTCGGCGAGATGACATATCAAAGAAGAATGAAAAATCGGCAGGGTTGTCCTTTAAATGACCGATTAATTTGATCCCGTCTTCCAAAATTGTGCTATTCTATTTCTTACTTCTGGAAGATATGTAGGTTTGAAGGATGCAAAATCCACGATGTATGCCCAATTCCATGAGGTTACCAATACATTCTCTGTTTTTATATCTCCATGATAAACGTTTTTCTTATGTGCCTCTGATATTCCTTTTAATATCTGATAAGCAATCCATTTCTTCTCTATCAAAGTCAAGAAAGGACGTGTACTATCATAAAATAGTTAGCCGCTTGTTATAGGCAAGTAAAGAAATGTTTGACTCACCTAATTCGATCATATAGACTGCTGTAGAAATATTGGCGCACCATGTAGGCTGCTCTTTCGGTTTCAAGTATTCTCTGAGACATAAATACATTGGGTACGTCAATAAGAGCATCATATTCCTCTATGAAAAAAATAAAATAAAATAAAAAATGTATGATACGCATGAGCCCTGTCGGAGATGATAATGATTACAGTACATAAAAGCTTACCTTGAAGCCTTTTCACATAATTTTGAAGAGACATGTTCAATTCAGGCTTAACAAAGATTTTGACTACAACCATGCCATCTTTGTGTCGTCCTCTAATGGTCTTCATGAAACGAGCATTCCCAATGCTGAATATTAAATAGGATGGGTCAAACGAAAGTTCTTTTGTAGGTACTGTTGCTGTTGTTGTCATTGCTGTGTGTTGCATGTTACTTGTTGCATTGTTGTTCTGAATTACCTGCGCTCATAGTATATGTCTCCCAACTCGCTCACATAGCTGTCAATTCCTGCAATTGCAGTGATGCTAGATATCTTATTTCCCATGAGGTATGCAGTAGAGATTGCGGTGCAACGAAAATTCAACACAGCAGGAAGCAGCCACTCATCCTGTTAGAATTCCTCTCCCCGTCTCATCCTGCTGGCGGAGATTTGTGACATGCAACTTTCTTGCTCCAGTTTGGCTGATGAAGACCGTGGGAAGAATCATCTATTTCCCCACGATTCTACTCATTCCCTTGTTTCTCTTGCTCTTTCGCTCTTTATTCTCATGATATCAGCTCGTATTCTTCACAAAGTGCGCCCGGTGGCTCAAAAGGCCACTCTTCCTATAATCCTTAGATCTAAATACCATCTCTCGCACGAGAACCAAGCAAGTGTCCTCCCCAACAAAGTCGAGACTGCCAGTGCTGGATTTAAGGTAAGCTTATATTCAATCATAGAGATGCTTAGGGCTAACGGGATAATCCACTCTTGCGTAGGATAATGCCGCAAAGATGGAAGCGTTGGTCAAGGATCTCGAACTAAAGACCGAGAAGATCAAGTTGGGTATGCCGATCTATGTATATATAATGATCCTGTTCCTGAAGATTTAAGCAAATTCGTGGGTTTGTTTACATACTTTTTCTTCAGGGGGTGGTGAGGTTGCACGCCAACGACACTTGTCAAGAAAGAAGATGTTGCCAAGAGACAGGTAAGATAAGAATATGGATTGATATATATGAATCGATTCTGATCTAGACACTGCTGCTTCTAGAATCAACCGCCTTCTCGATCCTCAGTAAGCCTCATATAATACCCAAAAAAAAAGCTTTCTTTAAGACGTTTTATAGATCACCATTTCTTGAGCTGTCTCCTCTGGCAGGATATGAGTTGTATGATGATGAGGTTGCCGCTGGTGGTATTATTACCGGCATTGGGCGTGTTAATGGGTAAATTTTATATATTAAATGAATATTTATACCAGAAACTAAACAGCAAATTTCATATTATAGAGTGGAGTGTATGGTGGTTGCTAACGATCCAACAGTGAAAGGTGGATCTTATTATCCCATCACAGGTAAGACAACGAAGATGAAACGGATAAAAGCTTAGACCAGGTTGTACCTCATAGTCAAGAAGCATCTTCGAGCTCAGGAAGTTGCCAAAGAAAACAACCTTCCCTGTATTTACCTGGGTAAGTTTACTTTAATAATTATGCGCCTAATATACTAAATAGAGGTCTATTACAGTTGACTCTGGCGGTGCCAACTTACCTCGTCAAGCCGATGTGTTTCCTGATCGTGAACATTTTGGGCGTATTTTTTATAATCAGGTAACTATCGATATTTAAAAACCATATAATAAAGCCACGATATTTTACCCAGCTATTAATATGCATTTAACTATAAACAAAATCCTTAGTCCAACATGTCTGCCCAGGGTATTCCTCAAATTGCTGCAGTAATGGGTTCATGTACTGCTGGTGGTGCGTATGTACCTGCTATGGCCGATGAGAGTATTATTGTGCGAAAGCAGGGAACAATTTTCTTGGCTGGACCTCCTCTTGTGAAGGCTGCTATTGGAGAAGACGTGAGTGCTGAAGACCTTGGTGGTGCTGATTTGCATTGTAAGTGAATTTTGGCTTTGAGATATGCCCGTTGAATCCTAAATAATATCTCTTTATCTAGGTCGTACATCTGGTGTTACGGATCACTACGCTTTGGATGACGAACATGCACTTGTGCTTGCTCGTCGTATTGTTGGTACTCTTAATCGAGTCAAGTCTCCACAGGTAATAGATAGATCAAGAAAGTCTGGAAAATACCAAAAATGAGAATAACGCGCATTTTCTTTTTTTAGATTGCTCTTCGTACACCTGAAGAACCTCTTTATTCTGTTGATGAAATTGGTGGTATTGTTGGCGACAATCTCCGCAAGCCATTTGACAGCAAGAATATTATTGCTAGAATTGTTGACGGTAGTCGTTTCAGCGAGTTTAAAGAGCACTACGGTACCTCTTTGGTCACTGGTAAAGAAAATATTATTTGTGTATGTTAAAAGGTTTGATTGTTTGCTTAAATGCAGTATGTAGGCTTTGCGCATATTCATGGACACCCTGTTGGTATTGTTGCCAATAATGGTATTCTATTTTCGGAGTCAGCTCTCAAGGGAGCTCATTTTATTGAGCTGTGCTCTCAGAGAGGTATCCCTCTCGTATTTCTTCAGAATATTACTGGCTTCATGGTCGGTTCTTCCGCTGAAGCTGGTGGTATTGCCAAGAATGGTGCCAAACTTGTTACAGCTGTGTCGTGTGCGAGAGTACCCAAGTTCACTGTGATCACAGGAGGTAGTTTTGGTGCTGGTAACTACGGCATGTGTGGTCGTGCTTATTCGCCTAGATTTTTGTGGATGTGGCCTGTAAGTTTACAAATTTTAAAGCAATTATTCTGGTGGTTGTGCTAAGCAAGAAAAAAATACGTTACAAACTAATTTATCCTATAGAACGCTAGAATTTCTGTGATGGGTGGAGAACAAAGTGCCAATGTACTTGCTCAAATTACTCGTGAAAGTAAAGCCAAGAAAGGATTGACCTGGCCTGAAGAGGAACAAGAGAAGTTTATGGCCCCTATTCGTGAAAAGTACGAGGCGGAAGGACATCCATATTTCTCTAGTGCCCGTATGTGGGACGATGGTGTTATTAATCCTCGCGACACACGGACTGTCCTTGGTCTCGGATTAAGTGCCAGTATGAACGCACCGATTGAGAAAACCAAGTTTGGTATCTTTAGAATGTAGAAAAAGTGTTTTGAAGAAAGAAGAAAGATCCTTGTTGCTTATTAAGTACGAGAAATGAAGGAAACATTTACAATAGTCATAACATATATATATCTACCTACAGGAATATCTTGTACTAGAGTCTTTGATTAGAACGTTTGTTTGAAGGAATAAGTCTAATGTAAAGAATATCTATAAATAAATAAATTAAAATACTTGATACTTGATACTTGATACTTGATCTACTCACAAGTACTCAATGGATAACCTTGATAGTATAAATCCTTAGGTGTATTAAGGGTTTATATATGTAAGAGGTTCTCATAGAAAAATGACTTGTTACAGGTATAAAATATTAATCATTAAATACTCGTATGATATGATTGTATTTCAAGTATTTGATCAAATGGTAAGATTATGGTAATAAGAATATTTTTGTAGTGCACAATACATATACATACACGTAAATTGAAATATATATATTGTTCCTTATCTTGACGACCAGTGTTATATCAAAGCGTTATAAAATATGCGATTATTACCATTGTATCTCTGAGTAAAATGATCAAGTAGGGAGTTTCATGTTAAAACATAATTGATGCTTGTTTATTGCTCTCTCTTTGTGAACACAAGCTCGGATTTATTCTGTTAATAATACCTCTTTGCAAGTATTGTACTAATTCCCAGTTTTGTTCTTTACCGCATTAATATCTCTGCTTCTTGTTTGATTGTTTTTTCGAAAAAGAAAAAAAACGAGCTTTTCATTAAAAGACGTTTCTAGACACATAGTACATTATGCCAACTTCTAGAAGTAGATAAAGATATATGAAAAATAATAAGATTTTTATTATTGTCTATTGCCGTAAAATGTATATCAATAATAATAAAATTTGGGTGTAGTTTGTGTGGGTAATAATAAACCTTCAGAAAGAGATGTTTTTGTTCTACTAGTAGGTATGGGATCTGGAGTAGGGGCTTACTTAGTATATTTAATATAATTTCCCTTCTTACTATTACTGTTGTGATCAAAGTAGTATTGTTAGTATTATTATTATTATTATTATTTTGATAATTGTGAGCTATACTATATAAATAATGAATATGAATGACCTCAAAGAACATGTGTGAGCTGTATTAATAGTATTAATACAATGGGCGCGTTTTATGAGCATTTGTAAGTTTAATTGTAAGAATGTTATTGTATACATATTTTTCACAACAGAATAAAATTTACTGCAAATACATTACAGTTTTATTGAACAAAAATTTTATGAATATTAACATTATTATCTCTACGGGATTTTATAGGAATTTCGCTGGCAATGTAATTTTTATTTGTAACAGGTAAAACGAACTCTAATATTGTGAACCAGGCACTTCCGTTCCATTACGATAGTTTCTTAGTTCATTGACTGTTCCCGAGAATGCATCACCCGTATGTACGTTGTACTATGAGCTAAAATGGTCATTGAATTCAATTTGGAGTTGTGCAGCCTAAGAAAAAAAGGGGGGAATTGAGAATAAGAACTACTTGAAGTAATGCCGTCTTTCCCCGGCTATTATTTTATATTTTAAATAAAAAGAGAGATTTAGTTTGTGGGGTACAATATGGAGAAACTTTTTTCATTTTTTGTAGCACATTGATTAATATCCAAAAATCGTTTTTTTAAACCAAGAGAAGTATAGATTTGTAATTATGAAAGTGCGCAAGGACATCGTTTTTGACATAGTCATTTCTATAAACTCGTTTCTTAATATCAAGGCGAATGCTACAAAAGAAGCATATTGCTATTATTTGTCCAGAATATGTTCCTTATTCTGACGATATTTTATAGCAAACCCTTCTTTACAAAAAAAAAATAATCCTAAGAAATCCGTATTGAGAGTAGATCAAAATTATATATATGTGTGTATGTATGTGTGTATATAATTCAGTAACAAGTACTACTGAAGGGATGCTGTCATGGGTAATATTTTGATCCAAAGTGGCTTATTTTTTACCCAATTTCCCGCTCACCGTTAAAGTGTTAGGTACTAAGTGCACAAAATCTAACCCTATCAGATACTAGATTTATTAATGTTGAATATTCAACAATTTTCTCCAGAATAGATCTGTTGATTATAGACCCACACTTACGGAGATATTTCTTGGTTTGTATTTAAATATCCAGATCAGATACTGTATCTCCGTTGGGAAAGAAAAGAAAGAAGAAGAAGAAGAAAGAAAAAAAAAAGACCTTTACAAGAATAGCATAACTTGGTAGTATTCTATTTGAGCAGCAAATGATTAATAGACCCAAATTAGTATTGATACAAGTACAATCGGGTGTTACACACGTCAGAATCGCTTTTGTATTTACAGCTACACTATTAAAGATAAACAGCAATTAATATTGACTGAATTGACAAGAACAAAAAAAAATCAAGCATATAATTGATTGTGAGGCACTTTTCAAACTGGAACATAGTAATGATATATATATATATATGTATTTTTTCATTTCTATCATTAAACGTATCTTACAATCAATTATGATTATGTAAATTATGGTATATAGTACCGCACCTACACACATAAGCAGCGCGCACACATTGGGTGTACAATAAAATCTTTATACCCGGGTGACTATTTTCTATTTAAGAGAAAAATATCCCCAAAATATCTTAATAGACACAAAGGCCGTCTAGTAAAAGATAAGCTAAATATGAAATTGATCATAAAAGTACATGGGCAGAAATATACAATATTATCTAGGCTCCCTGTAAGCAAAGGAAGTAAAATTTAAGATTGTACTTGATGTTATTATTCCAATAGTCCAATAATTTATGAAAATCTATATATTTGCCTAGAAGATGAGAACAATTCAAGGTATATGACACCTGTAGACCAAGGACATAAAAGTGAACAAGTTAAATTAAAAATGTATATGTATATTTTATCTTTGATTAAATTTTCAAATGTACAAAAAATATAACATAATTGAGTACTCTATTTATTTTGTAAACTTAATAGTGATAACGATAATAAAGATAATAAGGCTTGAGATTAGTGTGCATAAAGTAAATATAAAATCTAACTAAAATTTGGGCTTATCGGCAAATCTTACTCTGTTGATATTTTTGACATGTAACAGACAAAATTGCGTGAATTATTATTAATTTTAAATTAACTGGGTGTTATCTGTAGGAGATATTTGCTTTTATCTATATGGTTCGAATCTGACATGGTAATCTGGGGGGTCTTGCATGGTATAAACGTATAGCCTTGAAAAAAAAAAGAAAAAAAAGACGCGTTTTGTATATATACATATTATTATTAAACCTATATAGTCATATAAAGAAAGTGATCGATTGACAGCTGTGTCTGTGTATATTCTTGTGTGGTTTTCCTGGACGTCTCGCAACTCATTTCCCTCAAATTAAACTCAAATGGCCTTACAACCTGGTTAGCGAACCACTCAGGGCAGTTTGTTTTGTATAGGAGAAAATCTCTATATTTGCGCCGCCTATTCAGTGTTGAATTAATGAATTAATTGACTGTAGCCAAAAGGAAAGATTCAAGAGATGGGAAGCCGGTAGATGGGGATAAGGTTTTATTTGAAGCGCAGTCGGTTTCGGAAATCTCATTGTTTCTTTATTCTGTATCTATTTTATTTTAGCTAGCGGAATCCATTGTATAAAATGAATCACAAACTGTTAAAAGTTTCTCTTTTAAGAACCAAACAAAAAAAAAGGGTACTATTAAGTTTAAAGCCTGCACAAAAAAAAAATTGAAACGGCTGATACCCCGGGATACAGTATTCCAAAAAAAAATTTTAAAAAAAAATTACAAAACACAGCCAAATTATTTTTTGTATAAAAAGAGGCCAACTTGAAATTCCAAAAATGCAGCTCAAAATATTTGGTAGAATTTTGGACTTTTTCTTTGTTCACAAAAAAAAATTTGCTCTAATCTAATCTAATAAAAAAATTTACAAAAAAACAAAACAAAACAAAACAAAAACCATTAACTTGGTGTGTTGTTCTTTATAAATCAATTATATAGCCTACCAGCTACTATACTTGACTTACTTTCTTCAAACTTCATCCACACCAGGATTCTCAAGCTGACTAAACCGGTTACACAGTCAACATTGACTCAATAGCTATGCCAAAGGAACGGGACGTGCGCAAAGGATATATGCTTGCAAATAAGGGCTGTTGATGTCCGCCCCCTTACAGCCAAAGAGTTGCTTATAAACTTGGCAATCGTGCGAAAGAATATGAGAATACTATTGGTCCGTTCGGAGTTTGTGTAACCCCAAAATTTTTAGGTGTCATGGCGACTCATGTTTGTGCCCCCCTTTATTCCTATTCATTGCCCCGACTTTCTTTTCCATCTCTTCTTCGTCGGTCCCCCCTTTTTGAAGCTAATATTCTTGGAAAATGGGCTCAAGTGCATATCCGCAAGAAGCCAATGAGGCAGGCTCAACCAAGTCCTCAATTTCATCCACTCCAACCGAGAACAGCCCTCTACTGCCCAATAAGGTCGAAGGCGAAACCACCTCAAAAAATGAGTTCTGGTGGCTTCTGACCAACAGTCTACCCATCGTAGGCACATACTTACTCCAGAACTCCCTTCAAATGGCCAGTATCTTCACTCTTGGCCATTTGGTAAGTCAAATACTTCAACTGCAGCGGTTTAGGTGCAATATGCTGCTTTACGTTGCCTTACATATCTTGTTTTCCACAGGGGCCTACACAATTGGCTGCATCTGCGCTGGCCAGTATGTTCGCTAGTGTATCCGCATGGAGTGTAGCATTCGGCACAGCTACTGCTCTTGATACACTTTGCTCTCAGGCCTGGACTGGTGCCCACGACAAAAAGCTGCTCGGTGTTCATCTCCAGAGAGCATTAATCATCCTTGCTATGTTATTTATTCCTATTGCCGTCATCTGGTGGAATGCGACCCGCATCTTACTTGCGCTTGGCCAAGAAGAAGAATTGGCTTTGCATGCAGGTAAAATACAATTTCTAGATATACCCTTACGACGTACTCGAAAAAAAAATATACTAGCTTAGCCCACTAAACTGAGATCTCCATGTGTATTTCTGCTATATCCAGGCATGTTTCTGCGTGTTCTTATTATCGGTGCCCCTGCCTTCATTGCTTTCGAGGCAGTCAAGAAATTTTTGCAGGCCCAGGGTATCATGCGTGCCTCGACCTATGTTCTGTTCATCGCTGCCCCACTCAACCTTATTATGAACTATGCGTTTGTCTACCAAGAACCTTTCAACCTTGGTTTCATTGGTGCCCCTCTGGCTACCAGCGTAAGCTATTGGGTCATGCTTTTGCTTCTTCTTGGTTACATTAGATGGTTCTCCAAGGCAAGCGAAGCTTGGGGTGGATGGACTCGCGAGTGCTTGACTGGATGGTGGCCATTTTTGCGTTTGGCTATTCCTGGTGTATTGATGGTCTGTAGTGAATGGTGGGCATTTGAATTGGCTGCTTTGGCTGGTAAGGGTTTATCTATAAAAACAACTAATTTGATTAGATCTTGAGTAACCTATAATGCGGACATTCAACTAAAAAAATACCTGCTTATTTTTTGATTATAGCTTCTTATCTTGGTACCGTTGATCTTGCTGCACAGTCAATTGTACTCACTTCTGGATCGGCTGCTTACACAATTCCTTACGGTATTTCCATTGCTGCTTCCAACCGTGTTGGAAACGCACTCGGTGAGGGTAATGCCTACAAAGCGAAAACTGCATCAAAGATGGCCATGGTCTTTGCCGCCGCATTTGCCTCAATCAACTCCCTCTTCTTTATGAGCACTCGTAAACATTTCGGATACATGTTCACTTCCGACCCCGAGGTTGTTGCTCTTGTAGCAAGTATTCTGCCATTCTGCGCATTTTTCCAGCTTGCTGACGGACTTTCTGGTGTCTGTGGTGGCGTGATCCGTGGTTTGGGTCGCCAAAAAGTGGCTGCATGGATCAACCTGTTCTCTTATTATGTTATTGCCTTGCCTATTGGTGCATTCTTGACCTTTACAGCTGGCTGGAGATTGTATGGCCTGTGGACTGGATTGTCCTTGGCCTTGTTTATCGCCGCATTGGGCGAGATTATCTTCTTGCGTATCATTAACTGGGACGCAGAAGTAGAAAGAATTCTTGAGCGTGTACATCATGAAGAAGATGAAATTCACGAACACGAAGAAGCAGCCTTGCACGAGGATTAAAAAAAAAGCATATATATATACATTTATACACAAAGATTCCCTTCTTCCTTATTTTTTTTCCCGTCTTTGATACTACTTATCATTAACGTAATATTCATCCATACTTCATTTGTTATCCTTTATATAAATCTACCGTTATTGAAATAAATCTAACTTTTTCATTTTACATCCCAACCAAATAATAAAATCATGCGTATATATATATATTCTTAATTGTATTGAAATTGTATTGATAAATGAAATGCAAAAGGTCGATCATAACAACAGCAGAATACATCGGACAAAGTAAGAGTTGGAGGGTTATCGAACATGATTTGACTGGCATGGATATGTAATTTAGACTTTGCCATTTGTATTATTTTTTGTAGTAAATGAGGTAGATAGTAAAGAAAAGGACCAGAGGGGGTTGGGTGATGATATTTAAGCCTCCTTGACGATTCTGGCAACAAGGTCGCCGGAAGAGAGAGAGTCGCCTTCCTGGATGGGAACGTACTCAATGCGACCAGCGACAGGTGCGGATACAACGGTCTCCATCTTCATGGCACTCAGAACACAGATAGGGTCGCCGGCCTTGATCTCAGCACCAGACTTGGCTCTGACTTCAACGACGACACCAGACATGGGAGCGGGAACATCTCCAGGGTTGGCGAGGTTAGCCTTCTCACGAGTAATACTCTCAACAGCTGTTTAATATAAACAAAAGCAAATATTTAGTATCTTGTTTTTTTTTTTAAAAAAAAATGATAATACTAATAATACCATATACATATATATTTCATTTATAATCAAACAAATCCCAAAACTTACCAGCATTCTTGTCAAGAATACCAACAACACGAGCTTCACCGTTAAGTTCAAAGTAAACATCGCGTTTGCCATTGTTGTTGATAGGACCAACGGCAAGTAACTTGATGATGAGAGTCTTACCCTCCTCAATCTCAACGTGGAACTCTTCACCGATTTCAGGCTTGGCCAAGAAGTAACGAGTGGGAACAACCGAAAGATCACCGTATTGTTCAACAGTGTCACGGTACTCGGCAAAGACCTTGGGGTACAATGCAGCAGAGATGACATCGTAGTCACGGATGCTCTTACCATACTTCTCAGTAAGTTCTGCTTTGAGCTTGACAAGGTCAAGAGCGGGCATAGTGGCACCAGGACGGCCGTCGAGGCGGGGCAAGTCACGGATGATCTTGGTGCGCAGGGGCTCAGGGAAACCGCCATAAGGCTGGCCGAGATAACCCTGGAAGAACTCCACAACAGAGGTGGGGAAGGAAAGGCTGGCAGCACGTTCAGTGACCTCCTCGGGGGTGAGGTTGTTGGAAACCATGAACTGGGCAAAGTCACCGACTACCTTACTGGAAGGAGTAACCTTGACAAGGTCACCACACAGCATGTTAGCCTCCTGGTAAGCTTTCTTGATCTGCTTCCACTGGGTACCGAGACCCAACTGCTGGGCCTGGAACATAAGGTTAGTGTACTGTCCACCAGGCATCTCATGGTCATAGACACCAGAATCGGCGGACTTGACGTTGGCCTCGAAGCAAGAGTAAAGGAGACGGCACTGCTCCCAGTAAGAGTTGAGGGCTTGGATGTCTTCCATGCGGATACCAGTACCAAGGTGAGTCTGCTCGAGACCGGCAACGATGGCACCCATGGCGGGCTGGGAGGTCATACCAGACATAGAGTCAATGGCAACATCGACAATATCAGCACCAGCAGCGGCAGCAGCCATCATAGAGGCAACACCAGTACCGGCGGTATCGTGAGTGTGGACGTGAATAGGAAGGTCGGGGAAACGCTCACGGATCTTGCTGACGAGGAGCTTGGCAGCCTCGGGCTTGAGAAGACCAGCCATATCCTTGATAGAAAGGATGTGGATTCCCTCGTTTACAAGCTGCTGGGTAAGATCAAGGTAGTAGGCAATGTCGTACTTAGTCTTCTTAGGGTTAGACACATCACCGGTGTAGCAAATAGTAGCTTCAACAACACCACCAGCCTTCTTAACAGCATCGATACCGAGTTTCATGTTGTCAACGTAGTTGAGAGAATCGAAGATACGGAACACATCCATACCAGCCTTAACAGCCTTGTCACAGAACTCATAGACAACGTTGTCGGGGTAAGAGGTGTAGCCGACAGCGTTGGCACCACGGAGCAACATCTGGAAGGGAATGTTGGGCACGGCAGCACGGAGCTGCATAAGACGATCCCATGGATCTTCAAACAAGAAACGCATGGCAACATCAAAGGTAGCACCACCCCAGCACTCGAGGGCAAAGGCGTTGCTAAGAGCGTGAGATGTAGCAGGTGCAACACGGAGAAGATCTGTTTGTGATAAGATGAAAATAAAAGTATTATTAGTATTGTGTGTGTGTAGAATCCCAACACATTTTCCAAAAATAAAATATAATAAAATAAAAACAAATAATATATATATATATGAAACTTACCAACGGTTCTGACACGAGTAGCCAACAGACTCTGGTGAGCATCTCTCCATGTGGTGTCCATGATCAATACACCAGGATAGGCACGGACAGCCTTAGCAAAGGCAGCAGGTCCCTCCTCAACAATGATCTTACGCCATCCCTCAGTGGGGGCAACTGAAACATCAACCTTGTTACCACTGTTGCTCTTAAGAGTGGGAAGCTCGATCTCTTGCTTGAACGAAGGCTCTCCCACCTGACCCTTAACCTGAGAGCCGTTGATAACGACATCACCGAGGTAACCCAACAAACGCTGGGCACGGTTCTGGTACTGAACCAGACGGAAAAGATCAGGAGTATCGTCAATAAAGGTAGTCCAGCAGTTGCCGGTCATGAAAGTGTCGTGTGTCAAGAGACGCTGGAGGAAAGGAATATTGGTCTTCACACCACGGATACGGAACTCAACAAGAGCACGGACGATCTTACGACGAGCAACTTCATAGGTAGAGCCACTGCAGGTGACCTTGACCAAGAGAGAATCGTAGTGAGGAGTGATAATGGCACCAGCATAACCAGCACCACCATCGAGACGGACACCGTTACCACCAGATGAACGGTAGACCTCGATCTTGCCGGTATCGGGCTGGAAGTTTTTCTCAGGGTCCTCGGTTGTGACACGGCACTGGATGGCGAATCCACGCTGGCGGATACGCTGCTGGGTGAGACCAAGCTGGGGCAAGAGGGCACCGGCAGCAATCTGGATCTGGGCAGCGACGATATCGATACCAGTGATTTCTTCGGTGATGGTGTGCTCGACCTGAATACGGGGGTTGATTTCAATGAAGTAATGACGGTTCTGGGAGTCGACCAAGAACTCGGCAGTACCAGCGTTCTTGTACTTGACAGCCTTGGCGATCTTGATGGCATCGTTGAGGATTGCCTCGCGACAGGCGTTGTCGAGGTTCTTTGCGGGGGCGATTTCGACAACCTTTTGGTGTCTACGCTGGACTGAACAATCACGCTCAAACAAGTGGACGACGTTACCAGCACGATCGGCCAAAAGCTGGACTTCGATGTGACGGGGCTTGTCCAAAAAGCGCTCAATGAAGACGGTGCCGTCACCAAAAGCAGAAAGGGCTTCTGAGCGGGCACGGCTGAAGGCGTCTTCGAGTTCAGACTCTTCACGGACGACACGCATACCACGACCACCGCCACCCATGGCAGCCTTGATAATGATGGGGAAGCCATATTCTTGGATAAAGGCCTTGGCATCGCCGAATTTTTCAACGGGGCCAGGGGTACCAGGTACTACAGGGACCTTGCAGTCCATTGCTAAAAAAGAATAATAAACATCAATTTTTTTAAGGGTGAGCTTGGTATGTCATCATTATATGTCATTACTTACCGATCTGGCGGGCCTTGGTCTTATCACCGAGACTCTCGATAACTGTAGGCGAAGGACCGATAAAAGTCATGCCAGCAGCTTCGACCTTGCGAGCAAACTCTGAATTCTCGGATAGGAAACCATAACCGGGATGGATCATGGACACACCGCGTTCCTTTGCAATGCGGACAATCTCATCCTGGGCAAGGTAAGCAGCGACCGGGGTAAACTCACCCAATTGGCCGATCTGGTAGGACTCGTCGGCCTATCAATCCCAACAAAAATAGATATTGTCAGTTTCTTTATTTTAATCTACAGCTCTCTCCACATTCAAGATTTCTTTACAAATGCCGACAGACAATGTCTCTCTTATACAGTGGAATATTTTATACACACACACACCATACCCCGAGAAAGGTATATGTATTTTACTTGTTCACCAAACTCAGTCTCCGTTATAAAACAGTGATTACACACCACTTGTCTTCATTCAAAAACATAGTGATCATTACCTTGTATCTATGCATAGACAGACGGTCCTCGTGAGAGAAGATGGCGACAGTGCGCATCGACAACTCGTGTGCTGTACGGAAGACACGAATAGCGATTTCCTATTGCAGCACATCAATGAGTTTCTGTTGTCGTATTCTTTTTCTTTCGATAGGATGTACTTGTGATAACTTACACCACGGTTGACAACCATCAGCTTTCTGAGGTTACCCATGACCTCGCTGTTTCGTCGGATCGTCTCAACGGAATGCTCTCGGGCGTGTGGCATCGTAAACTAAGCGTGAATCGGATTAGATGTGTCCAAAGGGCAAAAATGCGTACCTTTTAATGTAGAAAGGAAAAAGGCAAAAGAGAAAAGGGACCAGGATCAACACACGCTTTATATCTACTGGCTGACAGACAAGATTCGAAACCGGCGGTGACTCAACGCTGCTATGCAGAAAAGGGAAAGGGGAAGGTAGTCACGTAGGACGCCATTTTTGAGTCACAAGATCACCCAAAGATAAACAGCAGGTTTTGGAATCTGCGAGGGGGCAGGATATGGTAAATCTCCATCCAAACCCCCCCCTTTTTTTGTCTTCGTTTTTTTTTCCCTCTCCCCCCATTTTACCATGGCAACCGCGCTTTGTCATCCCATTCGCCAACAACAGTCCCATACTCTTTTCATATTTTTTTTATATCTTTTCTTTTTTTCTTTTTTTTTACAGGGACCGATCCCAACACCGTTAAAGTTCTATTCCTAAAACATGTCCCGTCGTACTTTGTATTTGACGGATTAGATTCACGTGTATTGGTGCACAGGAGGGGAAAGGCTTTACCATTGAGTTCACATTCACAGATAACATATAATTGACTGACTGACAAACTTGATTTATTTGATTTTTATATATATTTAATGGTTTATTTATTTATTTATTCATCGCCAAACTGACCGACTAGAGTTATTATGTACAAAAGAGCGAACGACGACGTCGCTAGCCATAAGATTGGAATGTTCGAGAAGAAAGATCTCGAGGTCTTGCCAACCACCACCAACACGCACAAGGACCTTGTTACGGGCCATCTTGCCAGTTGCGTTGCGCCTGTCGCGGTCAGCGTAGTTCATAAGTTTGCAGGTATAGAGTTTCTTGCCACCGCCCAGCGAGGGATTGAGTTCATTTCCAAAATAATATCCACCCCCATGAGGTCCACGTTGACATTTGATCGCTATAGGGCTACCGTTTACAATAGTAGCCACTTCTACATCAAGGGGGTCTTTAAGGTTGGGTGTGTAAGAGGGGTAGTCCCTAAAGGCGATTTCCATCGGCCTTTCGTCTTCGTCCGATGAGTACCGGGTGTGAGCTGGTTGTCGCTGGCGAAACGGTGAGGCGCTGCGTTGCATTAAAGCCGGTGTCGAGTGCTTCTTGTGCAGCACACGAGGACCGTGGGAGGAGCTATCAGGCACGGATAAGTATGAGCTGTGGGAAGGCGAATGATCTGGGGATACTACTTGTGCTTGTCCGGGACGGCCGGATGGATACCGGGCCATTGAAGACCGCGGTCGAGGAATCATACACGGTGACGCAGACCGGTCGCCCAGCGGGGTCTTGGCGCGGGGAATCATCGACGGTGTTCCTGCCCGTCTTACCGGCACTTCCTCCTGTTGATGCTGTAATTGATGCTGTAATTGTTGTTGCTGTGGTTGTTGTTGATGTTGTTGTGATTGGTATTGTTGTGATTGGTATTGTTGTTGCTGAGGCTGTTGAGTTTGCCGTTGTCGCTGTTGAGTTTGATGCTGATAATGCTGTTGTTGCTGTTGCATTTGCTGCTGCTGCTGTTGAGGTTGTGGTTGTTGACCTAAACTACTTCTTGGTCGACTATCCTGTCTATGATTACTCTTGGTAGGGCTTGGAATTGGCCACAATGAAGTAGAATTAGGAATAGTACTGACCCGAGATCCAACCGGACTCTTGGTCTGCCTCCTGGCCGGACTACCTACAGACGATGAATCTGACGCACTAGGTCTAAGTGCACTACTAACAAGATGCATAGGTGGATCACGAGCATGAGAAAGTGGACTGGCAGTTCTCTGCTGTGTCCGGCCAAACACAGGGCTAGGATTACTGTTAGCAAGTCGCCACATGGCACTATCACGACCAGTGCCACTATTAGGCGTCGCACTTCTGCCACGCCGGACTTCTTCATAAGGGGGCTGATATGTGGGAGAGGGGTTACGCTTGGAAAGATAAGAATAAGGACTACGAGAACGTACTTCGGTTGCACTGCCAGAACGATGGTAGTCAAATAATTCATTGTGGTTAGGCTCAGGGCTGCGATATCGCATGTCTTTCCAACTCGTCTGACTCTTGTCACTGAGATCGCTGAAACGCGACCAAGCCGGACTAACCGGCCGCTCAAACATTAACAGACGCTCAGTGTCGGGAAGGTCCCGTAGACGGAGGTCGTCCATCGTGATTTTCAGTTGGTTCCACTGATTTAAAGCTGCCTCATGTCGCTCAACAACAGACGCGTTAGGAATTGGCCGTTTTGAGATCCCATCACCAAGAGAGGCCATCATTCGGTTGATTGTGGAAGACGAGTTCTTGAATTTGTTCTCGAATGCCTTTTCGACGGCCCGGAACTTATTGTAGTCGACCGGAACAAGCCCATTGGCCGACCCGGACGACGACGTGGATGAGACAGATGTACCTTGTTGGTCTGTTTTGGGTGTTTTGAGAATGCCCTTTGTAGGCTGAGTCTGCATGGCCAGCACTGCCTGGGCTGCCTGCCAGTCGCGTGCCTGACGGATCATGGCATAGCAGTTCACGACCGTCTTTTCTAGTTTATGTATGAGACTTTCGACTTGATTAGCTACCCTGCTGAAGACAGAGAGCCAACGGTCTTCTTTCAAGTCGTATTTCAAATCATCGATTTCTATCCTCAGCGACTCCCATCGCTCCTGCACTACCCGATGCTTGCGTGACAGCACACCATTAGGATCAACATTATTGATACTTGTCATGCGACCATAAACTCGCTCAACCTCATGAAATAGCGGTACAACTTTGCTGTCAATTTCTACCAAAATAGCATCGTCCCTTTGTTGTTGTTGTTGCTGTTGTTGCTGTGATTGTTGGAGGTAATCACGGCTTTGTTCTGAGCTGGAAGATACACTACTCGAACTGCTCATGAGGCCGTCGTCAGTTGTTTCATGTTCGTGAGGTAGGTAAAGAATCGCAGTGGCATGACGACGTTCCTGGAACTGGAAGATAAGAGTGGAAAGGTCGTTTACTTGGAGTAAGATAGTTTCCATTAATAAGAGAAGATCCTTGCGGTCGGTACTGTCTTTGATGGTTTTCTTGACGGACGAGAGAAAATGTTGTAGACCAGACCACTCGGATTGTAACTTGGTGATTGATACCCTTACGGATCGTTTCCGTTCTATGAGGCCGGGAATGTCTTGTTTTAATTGCATGACTTCTACAAGGTCTCCTAAGGATTCAATCGATGGTTGGACAGAGTCGATAGTTTGTTCGAGTCGAACAGTGTCATGACCTATGTCTTGCTTGACTTGCTGCTCGATGGTAAACACAGTCAGGTGGGCAGTTTCTAACCAGCGGTTCATCTCGGCAGCCATGGCGTCAAAGCCGTCAAGAAATTCCTCTAGACTTGATTCGTGCGAGAGTGCTGGAGTGTTTATATCTGGAAGGTTGAGTACACACAGAGCGTCGAGCATGGTATCTTGCTCAGTTGGAGCACTACCCTCTGGCGGTATGTCTGCATCAGCACTGGTCATGCTAATTGTGTTTGATTACAATTAAAAGTAATTTTAGATGAGATGGATGATAGATCCTTCAGGTGCTCGAATTATTCCATTTAAATTTTTTATTACCTCTAAGTACACTTTGATTAATAAACAATCGAAAGAGGAGGTAGTCTTTCTCTATGTATGTAATATGTACGCTTTCTTCTTTCTTTATTTCTTTCTTTCTCTCTTTCTTGAACACGAGAATGACTTTAGGAAAGAAGAACAAAGAACGTGCGGTATAGTTGTGTGGGATGAGGTATTTCTTCTTATTTTTTTATTTTTTTTCGCTGTTGTTTTTTTCTTTTTCTATTAAAGGGGGGGTAAAGAGGAAGAAGAAGAAGAGGAGAGGTTAATCCAAAACAAGACGAAGAAGAAGGAAAAAAGGGGGTGTATGTGTGTGTGTGTACGATTACTGGACAACAGAATGCAGTGTGTGTGTGTTTTTTTGATGTTAAATAGAGGGGAGGAATTAGATGGCCATGAGAAAGAGAGAGAAAAAAAAAGAAAAAAAAGTGGTTGCTTGGTCTATACGATAATTTTTATTTTGGAAGCGCGTGGCTCTCACTCTCACTTCGGATTGTTTGCGGTTTGGCAGGGAGCACAGAGCTCAGGATCGCACAGGATTGGTTGGTGGATTTGATTTTTTATTTTCTTACTTTGCCGGCAAGTTCACATGAGGGCTGTTACAAGTACAGCTTGATCAGTTCATCACTCACTCCGCTAGGCGTCAAAACTCCAAGATCAGTAAGAAGAAGTGTAAGGTACTGGGGAGGAGTATAATCTACAGAAGGGTTGCTGGCAGCAATCTCATCTACACCTGTAGGACCCGAAGTACTGAAAGACTTGCGGCGAGAAGCAAAGCTTACGATATCAGGCGTCTCTGAGGGAAGATCATACTGGTTGAGTGGATACACACGCACAAACTTATAACTATAAAAGCATTATATGATAGCAATAATTCTTGTAAGGAGGTCTGAACAAATAAGAAGACTCGGATCTTCAAGTCTGATTTTTCCCTTTTTTTATTTTTTTATATACCTCTCTGCCACTGCATATACAGGCTTGCTCAACGCATTGGCCACTAGTGCAATTTGATAGGTACCAATCTACAGATATAAAAGACATCATTAGCAACAAGGCCACCTAAAAATAAAAATAAATTGTACTCTTTTTTTGTTTTGTTTTTTACCTGATTGATCACACCTCCGTTTTCCACAACACCTTCAGCACCCACAAAGACCATGTCAACCTTGTCCATAATATATCCAACTGCAGAGTCCAGTACAGCCCTGCAAGGAATACCAGCTGCTCTGAGAGCATCTACAGCTTGAATTCTGCAAAACAAAGTTTGAATTAGTGTTTTTTTTTGGGGTTTCTATCCACTCCAAAAAAGAATATAGAAATGACATATAAAAAATATAGACCCCCTTTAAAACCAACTTACCCATCACTATTTGGTCTTCCTTCGGCCACATACACCTTGAATCGTTTGTTCTGTACATTTGCTGCATGATACAGCACACTCATGATCACACGCGAATAGGCCTGCACAAGAATAACTGCATTGTCTCTCACAAACTGAGCACCTACTTCGGCAGCTCTTTCGCGGGCCATAGACGCCTTGTCAAGAATCAGCGCCGCTCTCGACAAGAGATTACCCTTGAAGTCTTCGAAGCTGCGGGCTTCTTCCGACAACTAATTATCATTTTACCACAAAGCGAAGAAAAAAGCAAAAAAAAGAAAAGTATTCTAGCCTATTAGGTGACCTGACCAATTCTCAATACAACCTTTCTTACCGAGAAATCATGCGAGTTTCTGGTCACAAATCTCATAAAGAGATCCAGACCTGCCAGAGTGGCAATTGTAGCCTTGTGCTGGTTACGTGGTCGCTCCTCACTGCGGCGTGAGCTCGCGTTAGTAGCAGAGTCCTCCCGGATCAATCTTGACGCATTTTCCAGGGTTTGCATAAACTCGGACATGGTAGGAGCTTTTTTTTATTTATGATTTTATTTTTGTTTTTATTCCAATTTGTCATCCTGCGCAACTACAGCACACAGCTATTGTTTCTTACCAGTGCTCTGGCGAACAAACTCGGTCAGGGCCTTGAAGATCGCGACAGGAGTAGACACTTCCTGCATCGTCCACCATGAGTTGCTGTCATCATACTTGACCCGATCTGGCTTACATTGTCTTTGAGGTATGTCTGGTATGTCTTTATGACGTCAAAGGTGTTCTTCTTTTCGGCTGCCATTAACTACATGAGCCATTTCTGTCAGCCACCTGACGACTTTTGTTCCCTTGGCCTTACTTCTTTCTCCTTGTGTGGCTGTGGGGGACAAGTAAGGCAAGTAATTTTTCGTCTATATTTATGAGCCCGCTCGTGACTTTTTTCAATTGTCCTGAAACGTCACAACCCCTTCTGTCGGCCCTAAAAATATATTATTGGATATAAAATAAAATGGTTTTTTTTATTATATATATATTCTTTTATAGTAATAATAATGATGGTGAGTATGATACTCATCAATAATACGGATAAATTACCCTCTTTTTTCTCTTCTTCTTTATCTATATATATTGTTGTTATTTTCAAGATTATCGACTTTGAATAGGTATTGATAATGAGTTAACAAACCTCTGTTTTATCCAATTGAAAACACCAAAATGTGAACGAGTTGGCGTCGTCTATAAATGGCATTTGTGAACACCGGCTTTATGTATGTATGTGTATGTATGTACAATAATGTTTCGCGTTTGAAAAAGAAAAAAGAAAATAGAACACAAAGATTGGTACCACAAACAAAAGTTTTTTCTCTTTCTCTTTGTTGAACAGTAAAATGTACTTTTTTTTTTGATGTCAAAGTAGTTCGGTCAAATGTCTCCAGAATTAACCAACAAAAATTACAATTCTGTTAATGGAGGGTTTGCCATTTCGGTTCGCTTTACAAAGACCTCATTTGAGGGCATTATTTCCACAGAATCTGCATTTTATTTCAAACGCCAAGAGGCACAGTTTCTGATAATTCATTGTCACTGTCTTCAAATGTATACTTATATTTAAAATGCCTGCGATTTATGCTGATATTAATACCAAATTACAATCATCATAAGATATAATCTAATCTAATACCTTAATTTACTTTGATCTTTTTAGATAATCCTTATACATAGACCTTAACTACCCAGATTAAATGCACTTAATGGGACAAGAAATGAGTTATTTTAGGAAAGCAGATCAGGTAATAGGGTCTTTTTGTAACATTATTGGCTATTTTTGAATTTATTCTTTTGCTGTTGAAAACTTGTCGTCTGCGGTTCTTGCTAGATCGCTCATATTATGAATTGTACAAATATAAAACACATCTACCATGCCTTTTGATCCAAGCTCTTATTGATATGATTATCATAGCTGTACCCAATTAATCCAATCGCTTTCCAGTTCTCAGGTTCTATTCTAATGACGTACGATCCTGTCGTTTGAGTTAGACTATTATTTATGTTGAGGCATCCATTATTTGTTGATAAAAACATTACTGCCAGTTTGGATGTAGACATAACTTTTACCCCAAATCCATAATCATTAGGGGATATCGCAATAAGTGAATATTGTAGTTGGAATATAAAGACACCTATTACACTGCTTATTACTGGGTTAAGGATACTCGCAGGTTGAGTAATGATCAAATTCAGTAATGTGCTGTTGAGGCGCTGGTAAATTTGGTTTAATATTCCAAGAATTGTTCTTCACCCTACTTTCGAACGCTCTTACACTGATTTTAAGTATATTTACCCCGTTGGTTCCGATTATAAGCTTTTGTTTTCATTTTTCTTTCGACCTTTCAAGTATTTTATGCTGATAATTGCACTACTGCAATAATAATGAAAGAAAATAAATTACCAAGAGTTATATCTTTCTTTTTTGTAATTTGCAATTCTAATAAACAAGCATATGTATTTGGATAATGTTGAACTTTCAAAGTTCAAAAATCTTATTAAACTTGTAGATGTCCTTGATTTTTAATAAATAGTTGGGCACGCACCTATCCCCCTATCGTTGCTAAACTCACTCATGGCTTTATTAAATCATGTATGGTTTGACATTCATCGGTTGAAAGATGTCACCACTGGGTCATCCAGGCGTTTTCTCACTCTTCTTTATGTCTGAAACTATCCAGAAATTGTGAACGTTTTCTTCTTATTATTCTTGTGCTCTCTCAAACAGTTGGTATGGGAGAATCCCTCTCTACAGGAAACTGTTCTCATGGGACTTGACTGATGCTCAGCAGCTTCTTTTTTTGTGGGACTTTCCCACCTCCATCCGATCTATTGGTCTTGCAAGTTCCTGTGGTCTCAGTCATGCTATTATTTGTACTATCTACCTTTCCTTTGTTTAATACTGTATTCTTTCTTTAAAAATCAAATATATACCAGCAGAAAATAGAAACCTGTGAAATAAGTGGAAATAAAGAAATAAATAACGAAAGCATGTTTGACCTCGGTGAGGTAATTTTTACCAGAGAATATGCCTCTTGGTGTTTGAAATGAAACGTAATTTCCTTGGCAATATTATCCTCAAATGAAGCCTTTTTAAAGGGAATAAAAGGGCGGAAACCGATTAATAGAATTTGAACCTTTGTTAATTGACGCTGAAGACATTTGACCAACTCACCTTGACATTACAAAGTACATTTTCTTTATCTTATCTTTTGTTTTGATGATATAAAATAATGCCCCCATCTTATTATTCAACAAAAAAAAACTTTGTTGGTAATGCCAACTTTTTTGTATTTTTTTGCAAACGCTAAAGACTGTATGTGTTCGTGTTCTTGTGTTTGTGTCTACGTGATAAGGTTATACAGAAAGTAGGGATACACACCCACACACTTATATATATATATATTGTGTACTTTTATGATGATGACCAAAACCCTTACAAAGCAAAAAAGCAAAGTAAAGTCTGGTTGCCTGGTTACCTGGTTACCTAGTTGCTTAGTTGTCTAGTTTCCTGTGAGTTTTATCGTTTTCATTAAAAACTGCCTGAAAGCCGATAATGGAAGCTGCAGACAGTAGGTTAATCATGAGATTATGATTATGATAATGCCAATAGTAATAGTAATGGTAATTTTATATGATTTTTTACTGAAAATTTTGTCCTTCCTTACACAAACTCAGGGTAACAAGGATTTAAAATGTGCGTGGCTTGATATCTAGAACCACAATCATCAAGGTTTCATCAATCGTATCTATACAGATTCCCAGACTCTTACTGTGACTTACAAAGTTTATCAAACATCCTTTATATTGTGGTTTTTACGTTTATTGTTAGAAATCTAATGGTTTTCTAGTCTAGATAGCCACAGACTTCCACTATACCTGTTTGTTTTCTTATTATACTGTACTGTACTGTACTGTAATAAAACCAGAATAAGAAAGGTATATGTTTGCAGCTGTGTATCTATTTTTACATGTTGTTTTGCTCACCCACCGTATCGTATAGGCTTCTCCGTCGTTATCCATAATTGGTACTCTTGTAAACATGAATTGCTACGATACTCTTTTTTTAAGCTTTTAGCATGTGCTGGGAATTTCAACTGCTCAAAGAAGAACTGATTCCAAGTTCATTTTCAGCTTGACTTTTGGTTATTTTTACTTTTACTTTTGTTTTAAGTTCACAAATATATTTTAATCAGCTTTTTTGAAAAGTCAACGGGCCAAAAATTTAATCAGAATTGGTCATAATATAAAAGAAAATATACGCACATATTATAGTATGTTATATGGCTAAATTCTCTAATCTTGGGTTTTTTTTTGTGTTTGTTTTTCGTTCCGGATTTTCTATACACTGTGTGAACTAGGTAATGATGCAATTCTCATGCTCCTCAAGACCCATTAAAAACCTATCGGTCAATAAAACAGCACCAAGGAAAGAAGGAGAGACGTGCGCCTTGATACACAATCCAGGTTACTGATGTTGATGTATTAATGGGTTGCTAGTATTCTTGAATACCAAAGAAACAACGTTTATGTGTATATATATATATAAAAGTGTGTAGTCATAATGCAGGGAGGACCATGTTTGATTAGCAAATGTGACGAATCAACTTGGATGGTATACGAGAGAAAGTGATAAAGTCTTTTATCTAGTAATAAAATAATAAAGATCACATCATATATTGTAAGAAAGACTTGTTTGATTTATTACAAATATATTGATTTCTTCTTCTTCTTCTTCTCATTTTAATTCTTGCTAGACATTCATTATATTTACTGGTTATCAACCAGTCTATATAGACCAACTATTGATAGACCAAGATCAATTATGTAAGGAGCTCGAAAGCAAAGATTGATTAATCTTTTTCTTTTGTCTTTTTTTTATATATATGAGTTACAGTTAGAAACTAAATAGACAAAACCTAGATCAATTGATAACTGAACAAATTACTAGAAATTATGTACAAGATACTTGGTGTAATTTGAACTATCATGAAACTCTTTGGGATTCTTTGTAATTAACACCAATTGACAGAGTGTGATTTATACAGTGACCTTCCTCATAGCTAGACTATGATATATATATATACCTATTATCTTTAATATTATTATTTTAAAAAAAGTAAAATCACGGACTATAGCTTATTAAACTTTTAGACAATTACATAGACTTGATTTCCTACAAATTCATATTATCTGCGTGAAATTACCATTGATATCCTTAATATACGCATTTCATTTCAATTTATTTTATTTTGATTTAATTTAATTTAATTTAATTTAATTTAATTTATTTAATTTTTATTTTTATTTTTCAAATGCTGTTTGTAATTTGTGAGCCAAAAATGCATTAATGATATTGATTTTCTTGCCAATGAATTGGCATAAATTTAATATTATTTTCCAACAAGCAACACCAGTTTTTTATTGATTACATTAACAACACTTATACATACATATGTACATACATATGTGCAATATATACTCATTAATTGTGAATTCTACGTCATTTAAAGAACTAGGTGACGCAACTAAAGCATCCACTCCGACACATATTTACCACTTTATAATAAGAAAAAAAAAGTGAAAGAAAGAAAAGAACGAAGGAAAGCAAGAGGAAGAAGAAAATAAAATCTTGCTATATATATATATATATACACGATCCAAGTCGACGTTAACTGTCTCCATTACACAGAACAATATAGCAACAATAATTATATTCATATATTGTTAATATTACTTGTACACACACACACAAACACACACACATACACACACACACACACACACGAAGAATCAAAAGAAAGAAGCAATGTTCAAGCCAACAACACCCCATTTTCCGGGACAAAAAGATGTATTTTCTACAGATCCAGACGCATCCAAAAATGGCATTAAGCGTAATTCTCATCCTCTCTTTGTACCAGTCGTTTCAAGATCAGAGATTAGCAACAATAAGACCATTCCAATTCAACACCCAACATACACCCAGCCACCAAAAAATACAGATCAATTGTACGTGTTTCCAGAGCTCCCTGAACCAGCAAGCTGGAAAGGCTGGAAACTAATCTTAGAAGAGCATCCAAACAACCAATATGTACCAACGTTAAAATACATGCCAGTAATCAGCAGATCTCAGTCATTCTACGAAGACACGACAATGGAAGATTCATCAAACAAGAATTCATTTATTGGCACATCCTCATTCCAGAATGTATTTAGAAATGAACAACCAAGTTCATCGACCAGCATGTTAATCGACTCTGACCAACATCCATTAAGCTCAAACAATAGCTCATTGTTCAACCAGAGAAACAACATCAACATCAATAATAATAACAATAACAATAATAATACGCATAATTTGATATCCGGACAACAAGAATCAGGCTACAAAAATAGCATGAATTATGTTATGTCTTCACCTAAATTAAAACCATTTTTCACAAGAGACACCAGACCGAAAGATACTCGCCGATCATTTATAGATTGTGTACAGGACCCAAGAAGCTCGGCTAACATGTCATTTGAATACACCGAACAAACAAATTCTGATGATTCGTATGATCCATGGGTAAGCATATTTGAAATTACAGTACGGATATTATGTATATAGATAAACAGACTATAAACTTACAAATAATCTACAGAGCCAAATTGGAGACAAACGCCAGATTAAAGAAACTAAAACTACAGAGTAAGCATTTTGTAATTAAATGTGTACATTTGTGTATATATAACAAATATCTTCTTCATTCTTTGTAGTCGCCGAGTATTGCCAAAAACTGACTCGAATGAAAGTACCGAAATGTTCACTCTTCCTTCACACCCTACCACTAAAAAGAATTCAAGTGAAGTAACAACGGAAAATGGTTTGGGCCCACAATCAATGTTCTCAAGCTTTATGCCTATGTCTGATAAAAGGTAAATATTTCTCTTACTTTTGATCTTCATCTCCTGTTTTGTTTTAGTATTTTTTTAAATAATTATAATAATTATAATCAAATATCGAATATCAAATATCTCATATATACTATTACGATTTAGCTCTGTCAAGACTCGGGATCCTACATTAGTAAAAGTGTATGGTTATCCAAAAGATCTTTACTCAAAAGTACTGAACGAGTTCTTAAAGTGTGGTGAGGTTGAGTCTCACAGCCAAGAAGGCTCCGTACTCTTTATTCGCTACAAAACCTCTGAAGCAGCATCTCAGGCACTCAGGCATCACGGAGATATTATGTTCGATTCATGCGTAATCGGAGCAGTTCCTGCTGAACAGGCAATTGATACAAAAGAAACCGAGATTGAGCAGCCAACTACAAATCAGGTCGCCGAAACCACAGTTACCGAGCCAAAAGTGATAGAAACAATCGACAATAGTATCAGTAGCAATGTATCTCACAGTGGCATCCAGATCCATCCTCCTGGTCCAATAGAAAAGGCCAAGGATTTGCTCCTTACTTGGTGAACTAAAAGAAGAAGAAAAAGTCGAAGAAAAGGAGAAGGAAACAGAATTTATATGTCGCATTACTCATTATCACCTACAAGCTTTACAGCCTTACACTTTACACATACTCTCTTTAAAACTGTCTCATTTCACCTCTATTTATATATATATATATATGACAACGTTTTCTAACAAACAAAAAATGCCCATCTTGCTTCTTGTACAACTGTCAAATCAGCCATTAAAGACTACCACAGCCAACAAACTCATATATAATTATTATAATATTTTTTTTCTTCTCTTTGGAAAACTTGCAAATATACAAAAAAATTGTTAGATTCAAGACGAGATAAACTGATCCAGTCTCATTGCGCTGTTTTAATCATTTGTGTTGATTAAAGCAGATTAGATTTTTTTAAAGAAAAGAAACCCAGTTATCTTGTCTTGTATAAATAATTTCTTGAGAAAAAAAAAGGGGGGGTCTGTGCAGTGACAGCTTGAAATTACAGCAATAATATCTAAACTAATATATATATATATAAAGATCAGGGCTAAGAAAAGGGTAGAGGAAATGGACATTGGGTATAAAAGCAAAAATTATAGGCTTTAATATTCACCTTTTAGTCTCTTGTTTGTATTTAAAAAGACAATGAGAAGTTGACCAGGGGAAAGAGAAATAGAGTAAGGATACCAGGAATTGGGACATTTGTAGACATTCAAAAATAAATAAATTACCTCGCTTAATTGATTGAAGTTAAAGAATAAAGGAGCATTGGCGGACTGGTAGGGATTGTATTTACCTCTCTTGTGGTAAAGGTAAATACATAAAGTAACATGAAAGATAAAAGATAGCTTCCTACTAAATAGGACACAGCCAAGGATGCTAAAAGAAGGTGGTAAGCTATGAGCCACTATTATTGACTAGTAAAAATTCTAAGATCTTACATACCTCTATAATTTAGTACCCCTTTTTGCTGTGATATCTGAATAAATATAAAGATATATATATATATTTAACTAGTTATTAATTTATTGTTTAATATGTTCTAGCTATGTCAGATGGTGTGAGCTCAAGGTAAAGTTTAATAGATATTAAAGTTATACCTGCGCAATACAGAGTTAGTAATCTTATAACTCACCATCATAAAATCTGCACAAGAGAAACACTTCACATGTAAATCTATATCTATTGCAGACCATTGGGTTTAAGAGGGTCAAAAGGTAGGTTATATTCTTTACAAAATGATAGGGCTCTAGGTTCATTCGACTTGTAAGTGTGTGTGTGTATTTTTTAATTATACTATGGTTAGAATAATAGATATTTGAGATGTACGAACAGTTCCTTTCAAAACATCTAGAAGGTAACGTCGTGAAACAAAGATTTTACTCACTGTTAAGCTATTCTTCCTCTTTGAAAGATTCTTTATAAGCTTCATGAATAATAGTCTAGATAGTTAAATAAATATATATATATATATATATTGATAGTCATTTTTTAAAGAAAAACGGACGCATACCCTATAATCTAAAGCAGTTGATGTTTCTGCAAATATACCCAACTCTTGGCCTCAATTTTTTGCTCTTAAAACAACAAGTAAAAGTGGGGAAATAAGCAAATTAGAAACCATAATGTTTGTTAGTTCATTAATTAATTATATTAAATCTCCTTGGTCTATGCAGGATACTCATTTTTTATTAGAAATGTCACGGTCTGTTATTTTTTGAGAGGTACAGATATAGTCGTTTCTTGTGTCCAAACGACGATTATTGTGAATGTTTTGATCACATATTCAAATTCTATGCAATACTCTGTTTTCTATGAAAAAGATTAGGTTTGAGTTTAAGTTTGGATTTTGGGCTTGCAGAATTCTACATAGGTTGTCACCGCCACCAACAACAACAAAAAAAGAAGGTTAATTATAATTATTTTCAGGGAATAAAGTAAAAGGTAGATTTATATGTGAATTGACCAAATAATCTTTGGTTTGGTTTGTTTTGTGTTTGGTGCAATTTGTCTTGGAATAATCAGTCTCTTCATATTATATATATATTAACTTATTTCTACACCTTTCGTTGTCTTGGTTGATGACCAATAAGATTGTTCAAGACTTGATCTTTCATCCCAATTGAATAATTCTCCTATTCATTTCTCTCTTCTAAAGTTGATGATAACTAATTGAGATCTATGAAAAAGAGATTTAGCATGCTGACTTTACAATCAGATACCTAATTGGATGTTTTACTGGGCAGGTTTAATAATTGAAATCAGAGAGAACCAAGTCTCTTTCTTTATTTTATTTTTATTTTATTTTTTATTTTTTAGCCTTTCATACTAATAAGCTTTATATGTATGCCGTTTCATTTGTCTAACCTTGATCAAAAAATAATAATAATAAAAATAAAGAAATCAAGTTACATGTATTGGGCAGACAGGACAGAAAGTCAGAGGAACTTTAAATCTGAATATATACGCCATATCAATTTACTGTGTGAGAGTGAACATTGCCCAACGTCAAAATTCTGTGTCGGTTAGACCAATCAGGACGAAGAACAGAATGAGCAAGGGATCGTCAAGATCCATTTCACGATTAATCTAGTGTGATTGGTCAAAAGCTTGAGTCATCCCGCACCACTCACCTCTGCCATTTTCTTGTGCCTTTTGTATAAAAAGCTTTAGATTTTTTTTGGTATCCTTGATCTCTTAACAAATACAATACATACCTGTATTAACATCAATATCAACACATCAAGATATACCTCCATTTATTCTAAACATGTCATCTCAAAAACAATCTCTATCTCAAGCCCAGGTCTTCAAATGTAAATACTATACTCAAGAAACCCATCAAAGTACGATGTACTAAACTAGTATTCCTTCTTCTCCTTTCTTTTCTTTTCTGTTTGCAGACCATTTCATCGCAGGTGCAGTCGGTCTCTCGCTATCTTACTCATGCATGCACCCTCTCGACACCATCAAGACACGAATCCAAGCAGACCCTCTAAACGGCTGGAAATCGATCTTTACTCGCCAAACAGCCCAAAGTCTAGGCAAAGGCTTCTTTGTATCTGCTCTCGGTGCAGCAGGTCAAGGCGGTGCCAGATTCAGTACATATGAATTCTGCAAATCTTATCTCCTACCAACCAAAGACAACGGAAACACAAAGTTGATTCCCTGGCTTGGAAACACACCTGCCACTGCACTGTCTGCAGTCATTGGCGACCTTGCATCTAGTGTTATCAAAGTCCCTCGAGAAGTAATCACTGCAAAGTAAGTCCATATCTCAATCCATTGGCTTTTTTCTTCTTTGGTCCTAACAATCCATTCTTATAGACTCCAGACCGATCATTACAATAACATACTAAAGGGCGAACGTGCAACTGCTGGCTTTGTTGTACGTCAAACTCTTCTCGAAGAAGGTCCTCGTGGTCTGTTCAAAGGATTCTGGGCTATTGCTGCCCGTGATTCTCCTTTTATGATAATCTTGTTGGTGTCGTACGAAAATTTCAAGGCATTTCACCATCGATCGGTTCGCGATAATTGGCTGAGTGCGCCTCGTAAAGCATATGACCCAGTTGTCGCCAATGCTCCATTCGAAGAACTAGAGGCAGACATTCCAACATTTAGAAGTATCATGTATGGCGGTATCAGTGGTTTCTTGGCCGGTTATTTCACTACACCCATGGACGTTCTCCGTACCCGTATGATCACCCAACGTGCCACACCAAACCGTCAGTCTGCAACAGTTACAGACGTAGCAAAATCTATGATCAACCGAGTAATGACCCAGTACAAGACACCTGGACAAAGAGCGGTTCAAATGAGTCAAGCATTCTTTGTTGGTGCTATCCCAAGAAGCTTCTGGTGGTTTGGTATCTGTGGTATCTTTTTCCCTACATATGAAACCCTCAAGTCAGTTATGGTCCCTCAGTAAAAAAAAAACATCAACATCAACATCAACATCAACAACAAAATCATTGCACCAACATACGCCAATCAAAATGATAATAATAATTATAATAGTATTCCCCACACACTTCCACAAGCACAATTCGACGCTTATTACCATCGTTAAAGAAAAAAAACATACACACCTACATCATCTTCATATGGACCTTCTTCTCTCCCTCTTATTTTTAACTCAAACGCCTTGTATATTACACATTCCATCCTTGCATATCATTTTCAAAAATAAAAATCAAGATCAAAACAAAAAATGGCAAATAAAATATATACATGTAATGTACACATTTATATGTAAATAACACAAATTTTTTTTAGCCATCGATTTTTTTCTTCTTTTTTTTTTTTCTTTTTTACAAATAGCAAAAAAATTAAAGAAAGACATAGATAAATAGGAGACAAAGGGTATGCAGGTTTCTTAAGTAATAGAGAAAAGATATGTTAATGGTTGGTATAGAGCTATGTAAAGAAGTAAAAAGAAAAATAAGGAGGAGAATAATATTTTTTTAAAGTTCTTCTTCCCCGAGTACACTACGAATACGATCACGTAAAGCTTCAATGGCAGCCATCTTCATCTCAAGAACCTCATCAAGATTATCAAGGTAGTCGATGAATTCGCTCGATGTCTTGAGGTCATCCATCAACGAGTTCCTTGATCCACTATCGTCCATCTCTTTGCGACTAGACATTCCCAACGAGAAATTGGCCAACAATTTGGTTTCTCGCTTTGAACATTCCGTGACTTCTCTTATCTGTGCTCGGTGCACCTTGATAAAATCATCAATTGCCCTTGGGTCAAACAAAACACTCTCATCAGCCAAATCGACAATTTGCTGTTGTTGTTGTTGTTGTTGTTGCTGCTGCTGCTGTTGGGGTTGTGAAGATTGTGGTAGCGGTGGAGCCGATGCTGGTTTGGAGAGTGGCACCATAAAGTCATTGAGTGAAGCAGACGAATGACTACGATGAAGAGAATGCGATGATGTCTCCCGAGACATATGCGTACGTCCGGCCTGGCGATGGCCATTGTTATTATTACTATTATTACTATTATTATTATTATTATGATTATTATTATTACTGCTACTGCTACTGCTGTTCCGGTTTGAGGATTCGATGTCATAAATAGTCTCGGGAGAAGAGGAAACAAGGTTATCAAACCGAGAATCCCCAGAGTGGCGGTTGTTCTGGGTACGACCATGGTCTACCAAGGGTTTCGATCGCATCTGAGCCAAACCTCCCATGCGATCGTTGTAGCTTTGTTGTTGTCTTCGTGAAGAGGTATTATACTGACGAGACTCTGACTCATCAGGTGGGTAATAGTGGTGGGTATTTTCGTGAGGAAGTTCTTCATCAAGGATATTGACATCCCCGTCACTGGGGAAATACTCGTCATCCAGAAACAAATCATCATCTTCCCCATCATTGTAAAGTTCAGGATCATCGGACTCTAAATAATCCCCCTCATTGTCTTCGTCCTGGTATGCCTCGTTTCCAAAGTCGGTTTCATCGGTGGGACGATTAGAGTCATCAATCGCACTTTCGCTCATCCCGCGTCTGTCTCGTTCTCCCTTGAGTTCTTTGACTCTGTCAGCATAACGCAATGTGTTGAGCGTGTGTTCGCTGTTGCTTTGATTGGGTGATATGGTTGCAATCATACAAGTACGTGAGTTGCCTACAAATGAATCTTTCAACACCTATATATATATATTTGTATTTAGCTTCAATTTTCTATCATTCTTTTTAAATATATATATATATATTGTAAGGTGTACCTGTGTAAGCTTGCTCTGCCTAAATGGGGTGTGCCTCTTGTCTTGATCCAAAGCACGAATACACTCTTTGAGGGCCAGTAAACTCTTGTTGATCTCTGCACCTTCCATTCTTTAATACATTAAATAAGTGTACTCTCGGTTATTACGGGTTGTGCTGTGGGTATATATATATATTGAGATAACATACCTTGTCTTGACATCTGCATCACCTCTGTCTGCACCTCTCTCACTACCTGCCAAATCAATAAAGCTCAATTTTCCGGCAATTTTTTTGCGACTCTTCTCGGGTCGGAGTAAGATTTGAAGCACGGCATGCGAGCGAGATGAATCCGAGTTTGCTCCGGTACTACCGGTACTTCTGGCCTGACTTCCGTACTCAAATACTTGCATAAGATCTTCCACATTCTTAATCACATATTCTTTGAGACCGACAATCACCACGTTGTGTTTTCCATCCTCGCGTGCGAACAATTTTTTACGACTATTGAGCAAGTCGTAAAGCTGGCCCTGATATATTTCATAAAAACCAATCCAGGCTGTTAGGTGTTGATACTGTGGCTGACGAAGGAGTGAGAAGACGTCACGGGCAGCAAGGACATAGAGACCCAGCTTAGGGTCGAGCATGGTGTATGTCTTTCCAGAACCTGTCTGACCACTATAACCCCAATATAATGTAATATAAGATACATAATATGATATGATTGGTATTTCTTTTGTAGGACCTGTAATTTTTAATTAAATAAACTTACTAGGCAAAACAGGTTGCTCTTCCTCCTTCAAATATATATTTGACCAATGGCTGTGCTGTTCGTTGGTAGATCTGATCCATAATATTAGTAATAAAAAAAAAGTTATTATTTAGAGAGAAAGAGCAATAAAACATTATAGTAAGGCTGCTTAATATTTTCACCAGAATAAAAATGTAATACCTGTTCATTTGCTGCATCACAATCAAAAACATCGTCAAACGTAAAGCAGTGTTGCTCTATGTATCGTGTCAAATCAACCTTCATCCTACACATACACATATTGAGTAAGAACCACAATCACAATCACAATCACAATCACAATCACAATCACAATCATAATCATAATGCCAATTCCAATTCCAATTCCAATCCAAATCCAAATCACATGTAGGTTAGGTCTGGACTACTTTACTTTGGTTCGTTAATATTGATACTACGAGCGCCAGCTGTAGGAGCAATGTCTTTCTCGGACCGCTCGAGTTCCTTCTTATTCAATGGCCGTTTACGAACACAGACACGAATCTTTTGGTTAAGATCACTCTGAGAAATAACAAAATTGGTGTTGTTGCTACTGTTGAGCTGTGACCTGGCTTGCATTCTGCGGTGAACCGGAATACCATAAGGATCAAGAAGGGGACCCGAGCCTCGTCTGATCTCACACTTGTTCTCCTCATCAGAGTTTTCATCGTCTTCTTCCTCCTGCATATGATTAGAATAGAGATGATCAGGGGCTGCAGGATTTGCTTTGGCTTTGATAAATTCGGGTCGAGAGGCCTGATCTGGTAATGTGCGCGACCGGGAGCGTGTCTGGGGGGCGGGCAATGAGGACGGTGTATTTGATTGACCAGAAGGCATATTCTGTGCAGGAGGAGTTGCTGGAGAGCGCCTAGCCATGGACAGACCAGCAAAGTCCGGCAATCCACTTGGTTTGTCAGTTACTCGGCGACGGTAAGATTGTGGGGCTTTGAGTCCAGTAACAGGAACAGGATTTGAGCTGGGCGGAGTGGCTGGAGATGATACAAGTCCATTTTCAAGTGTAGGTAATTCCTGGCGAAGTGTTTGTACAAGCTATACGTACACACAATTGTTGTCAATTTTTGGATTAATACACACACGCAAATCGTAATAAAGAAATTCTTTTTTTTTTTTTTAAAAAAAAAAGGAAAGTACAGGGTAAAGGATTTGGACTTACTTGGAAAAGCTTTTTTCTGTCTTGAATTGATGTTATTCCTAGACTACCATAGTCTTGCATGGACAACTATGTAATGTGATGAGATTCCTAGACTCTTCTCCTTTTTGTATGTGTGTGTATGAATGTTCCAAGAATGGACATTCATTCGCAATTTTCTTCTTTTGTTTTTTTTGTTACCTGGGCTAGTGACTCAAGTTGAGTGATTCCATGAGTAGAGAAGCTAAATAAAGAATAATAATGGCGTGTTGAGTGATTGTGATTTTAATTTGAAAATGAGTAAAGATGCTTGAGTCTATTGAGCCTGTCTGTATATTGATTACTGCTGCTTCTTCTTTTATTACCTTGGATAGTACTGATGAGTAGAGATGAGCAAAAATAAAATAAAATAAAAGCGAAAATAAAGCCATTCTTTTATATTTCACTTTTGATAATAAATGTATATAATATCTGTTTAGTTTACCTGTCCAAGATCAGCCTTTCGAAGGGTGTCCTGTAGCAGTGTTGCCATTTCTTATATGAAAAGAAGACTAATAGCAAACGGAAAAAAGGTAAAAGAAGAATAAGAAAAAGAAGAGAAAAAAAAAGGAAGCTAAAGTCAAAAAATCAAAGAGAGAGAAAGAAATATACTATGAAACTGAAAAATATATCCAACTCTTTTCTCCCTTTCTCCCTCTCTCTCATTAATACACACTTCCACACACACACAAATAAATAAATAAATAAATCTAAATTCAAAATCATTACATTTAATATTATAAAATATATTTAAAAGCTGTATATACATATATACGTTTGTATATTGTTCAAAGTTGCTTCAAATTTATTCATTTCATTTTATAGTCTAAATGCCCACCATTGCACACACACACACACACACACACACACACACACAAACAAACACAGACTTAGGGAGAGTACAAGGCAGGGGACAGAGGGAGTGTTAACCTAATAACGGTCTTTATGTTTTTTTCTTCTTTTCATTTTTATTAAATATAGATATAGATATATAGATATATTATACAATATTAATCTATTTATCTCCAGCCTAGTTATTCCACAATATAAATAATACACACTTCTTTAACCAGCAATATGAAAAATAAAATCACCGTTCAAACACACTATATATATATATATAAAGATTGGCGTGGGAGAATAGGTGAATGAGAGATGTCTAGTGATTTTAAATATTTTAATTTACAATATATGAACGAGGATATTTTTCAGATTAAAGAGAAAGAGAAAGGAAGAAATATAAAAGAACAGTGTAAAATTGAAAATTAAAATAAAAAAATACCAGGGTTTTTATACTCAAAATAAAATTAAAATATATTATATAAAATTAAAATGGCTTTCTTTTCCCGTGTTCCCATTTGTAAAGGTGTAGCACTCAACCATAGAGAAGAAGAAGAAAAGAAGAAAAAGAAGGGCATTCCAACTTTGAATTTTACGGGTACAGATCGTTTCCGTTGTACCGTATTTGCCAGCACTTTTGAATTGTGTCTCTGGAATATTATTATTATTTTAAGCTTGTATAATGGTGTCATGCATTAAATGTATACACAGACACACAGACACACAGACACACAAACACACAAAAGAGAGAGAGGGATATATGTAATTTAGAATAGAACAAATAACTCAACATATTGCTTTCTATCTTGTGTGCTTGGCTACCTTTACTTGGTGCATATCAGTCTATTCATTTTATGCTATTTAAAAGGCAAGAAGTCTATTGTAGAATTCAAGTAATAAAAGAGAAATGGATAGATGAAACGTCAGGGTTACCGACGTATGGCCGAATTAAGCTTGGGGGACTATGAAATAGACCGGGATTATTTCACCATTTTTTAACACATACCCGAACTTTCTGTACCACATAGTCTGTCATCACTCAAATACTAATATACGATACGATACGATACGATATTTTAGTACTTTATGCTGCAAGGATTTCAAGAGCCAAGAAAGAAACCGAAAAAGGGAGAGAAAGAAAATAGATGACTACTCACAAGGTCTAGTAAAAGGTAGATGTAAGATGAGGACAATAAACATGTCATCCTGAGACTAGCATTGTGTCCAGGACCAAGTTGTTCTGTAGACCAACAAATAGGCACAAAGATGTAGGTGTGATACAAGACACTAATAAAAGCAAGAGGACTGGCTAAGGCTTGTTTCCAATGAAATCAGCATGAACTAGACTCGGGTTACACCACCGATACCCCCGTTTATCACTAATACAGTAATGTCTTGGCTTTTCATTCTCCACGTCAGGCTATATAATAAGTCAAAATGTGCTCTAATTTTGTTTTTTCTTTCACCATCATTCTTCTTTGTCATGACCAAGTTGCATATCTTCCAGAGAGTAGCCAACGTCTTGGTCTACCTATTCTTCCTCTCGGCCACCGTCTACAGTGTTGTCGCCCCTCCTCCTGATGATGAGGTTGGCCACGAAGGATTGACCTACATTACTCCTTGTAAGTAAATTATATTATATAAGATTTGCATTTCTTATGCACCGTTTCTAATTTCAACCTTACATTTTTTTTTCATTAAAAATAAACAGCTTTCTGGGTATCTTCTATCTGGACTGTTATCCACTTCTTGCTCGGTGGCTTCGTCATCTACCAGTGGTTTGAGCCTGCCCACGCTGCTGCCCTCCACGGTGTTGGCTGGCACTTTGTCATCTCAGTCTTGCTCAGTGCTGGCTGGCTCGCTCTCTTGGTAATTTTTTTTCTTAATATTTCGGGTCATTTTTTTTTGGTGTCTGGGATGACACAAGAAGCGTGATACTAACCTTAGACTACAGAAATCGGGTCACTTTATCATCGGTTTCATCTTTGTTCTCCTTACTGCTTCCTCGGTCTCTTTTGTGTTCTGTAAGTGAAAGAAAAATTTTGTAAATAAAGAAAGTTATACTAAGCTATATATCTCTTTTATAGACAACCTTGAGAAGAACTACCCCACCTCTAGCATCTATGACAAGCTCTTCATCCACGCTCCCTTCTCCTTGTGGCACGGATGGATCGTCTTCTCTGCTGTTGTCAACCTGTTCCAGGCTTTCACTGGCTTGAAGGAGGATGGACCCACCGTCTTCTTGCGCATTCTCGTCATCTTTGGTATTCTCTTCTTGACCTCCACTGCTGTCGGTTACGTCGAGTACAAGAAGACCAAGGGCGATCTTACTGGCGCCTTTGTTATCGGACTTGGTCTCGTTGCCATTTTCACCAACCAGTCCGACCCATGGATTCACTGGACCGCTCTCGGTGCTGCCATCATCACCTTCATCTACCCTGCCCGCCCCTACGTCTTCAAGCTTGTCGGTCGTGACACCGATGCTGAGAACAGCCCTCTCTTGGGTTAAAAGGATTTCTTTTTCTTTTGCTTAAAAGAACAAAAAAAAACAAAACTACCAAATTTTACATAATTCTGTATATCATTAATGAATAATCGAACTTCCTTGATGAATAAATTCAATAGGAAATAAAACATCCTTGTATATCCAAACTTCTTCTTTTTTTTCTGTGCCACAGCATTTTTTTTTGGTTGTTTAAAACGGTTGTACGATTTGATCAATTTTAGCCAAGACACCGTAAAGAGCCATATAGCATGTATGTATATATGATTATATATAACACCAGGAAAAAAGAAGCAAGGCAATTTTGATCTTGTTCAAGAAATGATATAAATGCCTATGTGGGTCAGTCGTTGGTTGTATATATGGATATAATTTACAAATAAGATCAATAATCAGACCATGGGTATAATTTTTTTTAGTGGATGACTAGATTTACCCGCGCACAGAGAGAGAAAGAAAGGGAAGTATAAAATAGATTGTACTGATAATTTTCAATACAGTTGGTATGGACAGACTAAAAGTTCAAAAAAGGGCAAAACAAATTCATTCAAAACTTAGTCAGTCAGACTAATTCATGACTGTCTGCACCTTTTTTTTTAAAAAAAAAATAGTTCAAAATTAATGCAAGTACATATTAGATAAAATTGTGCTTGAAATGTCGTCTCTGTCATTAAGTGAAAAGCATCTATCGCGAGTTTTTCCAGACCTCTCATTCTATGGCACATAGTCTCCATAAAAAAGAATGCTTTTCTTCTCAATCATAGTGGCAACGGAAGAAAACTAGCTAATTAGAGTCGATTAAAAATCTTGCCCTTTTTTTTTGAACTTTTAGTCTGTCCACCAGCTATATTCATTGTACGCATTAGCTTACTACTTTGTACCTACACTTTATGCATTCATCATTCTCTCCCCAGAAACTTACCTCTCCTTTTTTTTAAAAATACGATGTGTTTTTGGGGCAATTTAATAACAAAATGTTATCCAAAGAAAAATCCTATATATTCAACTAATACCCGTTTGCGTCCTGAATTTATATTCGACAATAAAGAAATAGTAATTAGTCACAAATACACTATATCAATAACCAGTTATGCAAAAGGCTATAAGGAGCTGTTGTCATTACGCATTCTATGACGCAATCTTGCTTGACGTCTTACTATTTATTAGCCTTCTTACGCGTATCATGTCTTTCTCTTTCTTTCACATAATTTTCCCAAAGTTTGACAGCACCAGCTGGTACGTAATTACCATACGCTTTTTTTTTTTCAAAGCACAAAAGAAAGTCTTTATGAATATTTTGTATCCTCGCTGGTATTAATTACTCTAATAATAATGGATCCTTAGGGACCAGATATAGTTATTCCACGCCTGGAAATATGTTACGATTTGTGGTCCAGTAAAACTAAGATGTCGTCTCCCTAAATCTAGCGCATTTAAAGTACCCCAAATTGTCAGCAACCAATATATCAGTGGCATCAGCAGCAGCAACTGTCAATAATGTCAATCAGCTTAGTGTTAACCTTGTCATCAGTGGTGTTGGCAATAACAACAACACTCCGAGTAACATCTGCAACAACAAGGGCAAAAACAAAGTCGATAATGACGATAACGACAGAATTTCCGGTGCGTAGTCTACTGAAAACTATAGTCGTACATTGATTATGGCAATAATCAACTCTCTTTACTTCAAGGAAGTTCAAACGAAGAGTTTATTTGACTATGGGTTTTACACGACATGACAGATTTATGATGATCTGAAAACTCACTTGCCTCGATTGCACAAGGCTGTTACCTTTGGGGCTTTCAGTAAATTGATTACAGACGCTAATTTTGGAACTAAAACGTCGGCACGTGTGAATGGCAAGCATGTTAAAGGCCGTCAACTTTATAAAATCAAGGACAGTGCAAAGGGCAACACCAACGAAACGACATCAGCCTTTCGGAAAGAGTTGGCTAACCGTGGCCCAGATTGGGTCTTGGTTGGATGTGTTCGAAAATCAATTACCGAATAATCGGATGAAAATACGACAAGATTATTGGAACTGATGATCAAAAAACTGCAAAATCGTTGTTTTTGTTCCCGGATATACGCTTCTCCAAATAGGCCAACATCCGAGCATATCATAAAAAGGGACTTCAACATGAACAAAAGAAACACCAACATAATGGATAGTCTAACTGATTGTGACGGCAATACGCAGCAGATTATGCATTTTCTGACACACCACCAAACATGTCCAACTCTGTGTTATATCTTATGCTGGACTATCGAATCGACCAGATGATGTGGAATGTTTCCTGCGATAAAAAAAAGAAAAAAGAATGAAAACATGCTAATTCACATACTTTTTTTTACTTACGCAACCATAGTGGATGCATGATGGTGAAGGTCTTGACAATTGATCACGATTCTCATATTGAATCGATTGATCGATACGCATTGTTACATAGAAACAAAGAAGAGCTTCGAAAATTCAAATATCGAAATGGCTGTATCAAGCAATACAAGTGATGGCTGTAACCATTATTGTTCTTTTATAGCTATCCCGCATTTTATGTCACTTTCATATGTTTTATTCCATATCGGTATCCTCTTCGTTCAGTTTGTAAAAAAAAAAAAAAAGATATGGCTGTTTTTTTTTTCAACCAATCATTTGCTAGAACAATGTAATTCTCCATTTTATTCAGTGATGTTCAAGTACAAATAACGGTGGCACACCTGTTATGACTGTGAATCGTGCTTTGTGCTTGATGGTTCATTCCATCTAAACTTGACACCATACCATACCATTATGAACACCTATCCTATTTGCATAATAAAAAGTATCTTTTCTAATAGATGCATCACAAACTCGTCGGACCATTACAACTGGTTGTGAGGGATATAGCTAGTGGAGCGAAATTAAGTGACAGGGAGAAATCCGCCCTCCAGCAGTCAGTATTAAGTGCTTCCATAAATGTTTTGGTAATAGTGGCAGAAAGGGTAGGAAAAGTGGGTCGAGAGGTTAAAATGATCCAATTTATCGGCGATGACGGTGTAGTCACTTGTAAGAATGCGGAACAAACCCTTTCAAATGACTTTTCTCCACGGTGTTGCAGGCTTCCATAATCCGTTTTGATAAAGTATCTTCCTGCAAAAACCTATGACGCTTAACTTTACTCTTTGCTACTGCTCAAAATTTTTCAGTTGGATTAATTTCAGGAGAATAAGTAGGAAGATATACACCCTTATATCTTCGTTACTCAATATACTTTTGTATTTTTTCATGTGTGTGGATGGGTGCATTATACATAACAATATAGCCACCTTTAATATGCGGATTCTTGTACATTTCATCCAGAGTCGATTTTAAGAAACTAATATAATGACCTATTACAGTTCCTGAGCTGATATACCCGTCAAAATTTCTATTCTTGACAGGTCTTGGTTTTTCTTTACGCCGACGGTGATCGAACCTGCGGCAGAAATAGCACCCAATATTAATGCTGTGTTTGTTCTTGTAGTAGGCCTGGTAACAATAGCAACGGGCACCCTTTTTTTTGGGCCAAGCTCCTGAGCGTTCCAGGCTTATATCAAAAGCAAACTTGTCAAGAAACCCACAATTCGTCAAGAAGTTTATGTCTGTATTTTCTCCTTTACAAACCCAATCGTACCGCTCCTCAATCTTTGCTGGACTGTCTCTTTCGATAGAATTAAAATATCCTTTTTTTATCGAAAGGTTGCATTCACATCTCATAAAGTTATAAACGGTACTGTGCGAAACCTTAAGATCACTGAAGCGTCTCAATAAATGCTCAGTCACTTCAACAATAGTTGCAGATGAATTAGCGCCAATAGATTCAACAACAGCCCTTTTGTGCTCTTCTATCGAGATACATTCACGACCAATCTGATTACAATTGTCAAACATACTGTCAAGACACACATTATATTGCCTAGCCCATCTCCGAGGAGTTTGAATGTGAAGGCCCAACTGTTTCGCTGCAGCTGATGCACTCGTACACTTTTCAATCTTTAGATCAAAAAACTTAGCCTTATCCTGTGCAGTATAGCGAATATAGTCTAGTTTTAGGCTTGCCTCATTCATATGAATGTCTTCATTTTTTGGCTTTTCTATTCGCATTTGACAAGCCGAAGAATCGTTGGAAGCTGCACTTTAAAGTAATAAGTGTGAGCGGTAATTGTTTCAACGACAAACTCATTATGATCAACAACGTAGTCCATGGGCTCAGGGCCGTAATTTTCATCGATGACATTTTCATGCCCATTTTCAAATAAAAAGAGTAAACACATATTAAAAGGTCTGCTTTTATATTTTTTCGAATGTCAAGAGATTAATGTGACCCGATATCGATTTTTAATGACTAGCGACATCATTTTTGATTAGTTGCGACATTGCTTGTTGGAAGCACTGTACTTGAACACAGCGTGTAATATACTTAATCAGATATGTATAACTTGTAAGACATACGGTTTAAAGCAAAAGAATCATGTTTCTATCAAGAATATTACATATATAACAAGTATATATACAAAATATTTTATATACACCTGGCTTAGGGTGAAATTGACTTACTTCCAACTCCGCTAAAATCAAAGAAGTACACCTCTGTTTTTCAAGGTTAAATAAGTTCTCAAAGACATGATCCTTAAAGACAAAAAATGAATGGAAGATTTTGTAATATGTGTTGCTTATTTATATTAAAAATTGATGGAGGTTTAATAGTTAATAGCTCCTCCATGCTTCTTCCTAACTAATATCATACGATCTTTAATGCTCAGGCAAAACTTCACACAAGTACTTGCTGTGATTTCTGCCCACTCCTCCAACAAAGCAACGTCCAGTTCTTTTAGCGTGGTAGGCTGGGGTCTTCTATCTCTAACCTTGTTATCAAGGTAGCTCCACATATTCTCAATTGGATTAAAATCTGGACTTTTTGCAGGCCATGGTAAGATAGCCACATCGTTTCTTTTTTTCCACTGTTCCGCCAACTTGCTCTTATGTGGCTTGGCATTGTCTTCTTGGAGAAGGTAGGTGGTGGTGTCCTTGTCAGGAAGGGCAGCAAGAAATGGGAGATAGTTGTCCCTCAGTGTCTGGACATACATTTCTTTTGTCATGTAGTCATCTAATATAACTAGTGGGCCAACACCTCCTGCCCAAATACATCCCCAAACTGATACTGAACCACCCAACCCTTGCACTGCTGGTACCAGACAGTCATCGTCATACTTCTCATGCGGTTGGCGCCAAACATATTGCTGTCCACCTTTCTGAAAAAGGGTGAATCTGGACTCATCACTCCAGATTACTGATGTCCATTCATCATTCCAATTTTTTCGCTCCCTAACCCATTGCAAGCGTGCCTTCTTATGTGCTTCATCTAGGTAAGGCTTGGCTACAGCAACACAAGAGCGAAGGTCCATATCGTGCAGATATTTGCGTACTGTTGCTTGACTGATTGAGATGTCATGCATCTCTTTAACACTGCGCGTGATGGTAGCTAATGTGTCGCGTCTATTTTTTTTTGCGGTGAACTTCAAATAACGAATTTCCCGTGGTGATAGCTTCTTAGAGGCCCTAGGATGCTCCTTCTCAGCGCACGTCTTCTTTGTCTCGTATTTTTTAATTATACGATAAACAGTTGATTGGGGTATGCCTTCTGCATGTGAAATCTCATAGGAGCTACGTCCTTCTTTATATCTTCCAATAATCATTCCTTTTTCGAAATCTGTTGTCTTATAATATGAGTTGGTAGTTTTAGCTTTATTGTTCTTTGGCATTGTGATTTGTTTTATTAGAGAGATTACAGAATTAAAATAAAAGGAAAATAGAGGATGGTCTTCTTGCATAGAAAGAAGTCATGGCGGAGTTGGAAGTAAGTCAATTTCACCCTAAGCCGGGTGTATAAAGAAGCTATATTCTCTATCAACAAGCGAAAAATACATAGTAGGTAATTCTAGATCCTAGTGGTGTGCTGAATTATAACTATGTTAGGGTGTTTCACCAGATTTGGATGCTTGACTGTTGAATGTAGTACAGTGGTCCCTCGATAATTTCAAGGCCAAGGCGGGAACTAAGTACCTTGAAATTATCGAGGGACCACTGTAGTGGTTTAATTCGAAAAAATTATTGGCTGCAATGAATCTTCACAAAATGAAAACCGAGCCTCGACTCATCTAAAAAAATAGTTCGATACTCTAGATGTCATGATTTGGCCAACCTTTACACAATTTTGTACTTTATGTATAATTGATAAAAAAAGTTCATATAAAAGCAAAGTTAAAAAATAAAACCTAATCAATCTATATAAAAGTAGTTATCTTGATACCAGATTATAGAAGTCTAACTTACTTGTGAGGAATTTGAGCATAGGCACTATATCTATGGGTACTCTAATCAAGCGTATTGTACATATGAATTTTGAGGTATATGAGAGAAACCATATCAACCAAGAGACATTAATTGTATTCAATAGTTCTTTTTTTCTATATTTGTTATTATCGGATAGTGCTTAAGCTACCAATACATCCAACAGTCAAACATCCAGATCTGGTGAAACCCCATATAAGGAAAAGGTCTTTGAACTGAAAATCTAATATATTATGAGAAAAGGATAGTTTTACAATCTGGGCATATTTCACCTTATTTCTGAATCATTATTCTTTACATTTGAAAAGGTGATACGGGCAGTATTGGCTTATATGATGAAGTGGTCCAAACGGTTAAAAGAAAGAAAAGAATAGATATCGATCTCCTTTATCATATCCTTGACCCAAAGATTTGCATTTGGCAGCTTGTTCTCTCAAGAAAGATAAAAAGAAAACAAAAGTGCTGTGTAAGGATGGTATTTATTGCTTTCATCTTTCGATGTTTATATGGATATTTCGATAATTAATAAAGAAAAATAAGATAATTCGTAAGATATTACTAAGCTATTACCAAGATGTTGAGATAAACTATGCTTCTTTGGATAATTAGTAATAAGTAAGAGAGAGAAGTAGAAATAGCTAATTATTTCTGTGGTTGATTGTTACAATGCTTGTGTCTTTTAATTGATTTCTTCACCAGCTATAAGAATTATATTCTTCTTGCGGCCACGACTTGAGCAATTTTTTTACATAATTGATACAAAGAGAGGTTTAGAAAGATAGGATATGTCTGGGTCATATGGAAGTTTAAAGACACACGCAATTAACTAATGAACTAATGAAGAATCTTCTATTTATGTAAGCTCTCAATAAAGATAAAGATAGCGAATATATCTACTAAGAAGATAATGCTCCCTGTCACAAGTTTAATATTGGATAAGAGTGGAAGAGATGACATAATTTTATAGTAATAGTAAGGCTGCCAAGTAGTTTAGATTTTAGCTCTATGGAGATCTCATAAGAATATTCCACCAGAAGAGTGAAAAAGAAAAAAGAGGTTAATCTTCAAAAACTTTTAATGAGGTTGTGGTTATTACCTATATGGAATAAAACAGTACTCGGGTTGGTGTTTGTAATGTTAAGTGCATGTCAATGCCTAATTGCATGTCAATGCCTAGTTGCGTGGCAATGCCTAATTGAATGTCAATGCTTAATTGCATACATGAGATGAAGAAAGTTAATGAAACATCATCAAACTATTGATTTTCTTAAAAGAAAAACTATACCTTTGTATTTATATGTTTTCAGACATGAGTTGTCAAGTGAAAGAAGATCGGCTAAACCAAGATTGCTAAAGAAGTTGTATTATTGATATATTAGAACTTAATAAGTATGATGCCCATTGTTGATACGTGTCTATACATATACATACCTTGCTTGTAAAAGAAAATTTAACCTGATTTTAATACTGAATATTGTATTAAAATATTCATTTATATACTTTTAAAGTATATCCGATAAATCCCAAAAGTAAAAATAAAGATTTTTTTGTCAAGACCTGCGCTTGAAGGCCGATCCACTCAAGTTTACACCCAAGCTTCTCAACAACCCTCATTCCTGCCTACTCGGCATGGCATCAAATTTACCATGACGGCAAAGTATCGGTGAAATGCTTTAATGCCAAACTGCTCGGGACAGGTGTCTGAGACACCCAAGTGAACAGCATAGCATTTACTTAGGCACCTTAACTTTGCTTCGGGTTCGTCCCTCATGTCCAGTTCTGTTTACCAGAGCGTGGGTTACAAGTATCAAAGTCTAAGCAATGAGGGACTTGAAAAGCACAGGGATCATTTCAACAGGAAGCAGTAAAATACAGGCGATTGTACTGGGTAATCTGTCGATTCTGCTGGAATCTACCTGTATTACCTCACGTCCAGGTGCTCAACGAATTTAAAAAACTCTACGCATCCAGGTGATACACCCTTATACTTGCACCTTTCTGTGACAATCTTGACATGCCCCAAAGGACAAAATCTGGAGAGCCAATATCCAACGTCCTAAGAAAATAGCATAAAGCTACCTCTGCGTTCCTCAGTCTTCTCCATGTTATGTGCCGCACAACACAGAAAAAACTGACGTGGATTTCATCCGGCTTTCGCCTTCATGTGAGTGGCTCAGGAAGGTCTTTAACGTCCAGTATGCTCTACACTAAGAGCTACTTTCCCTTACGGTACTTGTGTTCAGTTGGTTTTTTATAAGTATATTTAGCCTTCGATGAAACTTTTCACCAGGATTAGGGAGTTTGTAAAACAACCCGACTCATCGGAAGCTACTTAACACAAAGACAAGAACTCAAGACAAGGTGAGGGGATTGCACCCTCCAGTAACCTTTTCCAGGGAGTGAAGGCTACTGACTTGTTGGTATGCCTGGAAAAGCAGTTCACTAGTTCACAATCCAGAGCAGTCAAAAGACTACTCCGGTTCAAACATTGGAGCTTCTCCATCTCAAACAATAAAGTCCAAGACGGAATCCCTTTTGGT